CATGATGATAAACTCATCGTCTTTTTTCGTCGTCAAGAAGAAAAAAATCAAACCAAGACAAGCAAGAAAAAAAAATTAACGAATTCTTACAAGAAAACGAAGGAAAGAAAGAAAGAAAAAAAATTAAATCTGAAATCCTCATGATGATGATGATGATGACAACGATGATGTAAATCTCTTCAATTTTTTTTTGTAATCTCAATACTAAATCATATGTAACTGAATCCAGAATCTAGATCCAATTACTTTTTTTATATTTGCAATTTGAAGTGCAAAGATAAATTGCAGAATTTATATAAAATCTATCCACACAGACACACACACACACAGATACACTAGAATTGATTCAATTTTCCATTCAATCAAGAAGGAAATCTCTATGTAAATTTTATGTGTCTTGAATATTTTCATCTTGATCATTCGATAATGAATTGATCTAACCAATATGGATTTCCATTGATTTATATTAGTTTTATCTGGCCATTTGAGATCCAATCCAATCCAATAATAATAATAACGAAAAAAAAACCGTCTGATTACATTTCGTATTCGTAACGTTTCTTTTTCTATTTCACTAACAAATTCCGGTTCCGTTCATTTTTTGGACAAATGCAACATTGAAATTATTATTATTCAAAACTTGTCTTGTATTTTACCTCTTTGTTTGTTTATCATTGATTCGGTGGTTTTGATTTTGTTCCAAGTTATGAATTCTTTTTCCTATTTCCGTATTTGTTTGTCTATGTGTGTGTGTGTTTACATTTCTTTTTTTTTATTCTTGCTGGCCAACCATCTCCATTGATTCAATACAGCAAACTGAGAGAAAAAAAAATGATGTCAAATAAATAAACGTGATCATTGTGTGTGTGTGTGATATGATTTTTTGTTTTTTTTTTTTTTTCATCATCATCATCATCATTTTCATTGATGATGATTGAAAGAAAACGAACAAATTCACCGGATATCGAAACAAATATCATCCGTATGTTCCGGTACTATTTTTTCTTTGTCCATCCATTCATTCATTGTTTTCAATTCATCAATTGCAGTTGTGTGGTTTGTGATTAGTGGAAAAAAATTCATATAGAAAAAAAGTTCCAATTGGAACATTCATCATGATGATGATGATGATGATGATGATGACGGGCAATTTGAATACAGGTGGTTATAGTGAATAAAAAAATTTCCATTTCATTTTCTGTTTCATTCAGATATATTCGAATATTCAAATCGTGAACGAAATTTTTTTTTCAACGTTCAAGCATCGTTAAATGATAATGATGATGATGATGATTATAATAGATCGATATGAATAATTTTTTTTTTGGCCATAAATGATGATGAAAATTTATGATGAAAAAAAAAAAAAAAAATTTTTTGAAAAATGACATTTTTATTCAGTGCATTTGTATTCCTGAAATGGCCAGAATTCAGAATCTGCAGAGGAAAAAAAAGGAAGAAAAAAAGCTAATTATTAAATCGTTATCATCATCATCATCATCATCGCTAACCGGATGATGATGCGTTTTTTTTCTTCGAGTTTTGCTGCGAGAATAAAAAAAAATGATACAAGCCTGAATAATGGCCACCATATACACACACACACACACACACACACACACACCTGAATAATAATTATGCTAATTTGGTCTATGGTTCCTTGTTTCTTTATTTGACCACCACCACCACCACCACCACAACACAATAATGATGATGATGATGATGATGATATGATTCACATGGTCTATTTTTTTTCCTCACTTTTCAACAGTATCCACAATGGTTAAAAAAAAAAAAAAATTTCAGTTGCTCGACCATTACGCCCGAATGAATTCGAATGTTTTTTTTTCTCGTCTTTTCAGTTGGTTATGTTCCATACTCAGTGATGATGATGATAACCAAAACCCAAACCAAACCAAACCAAACACAACGACAACAACAACAACAAGAACCATGAAGTAAAAAACGTGAGTTGAGATATTAATAGTACCAATCATCATCATCATCATCATCAAAGAATTGTATAGAATTCTTTGAGTCTTGTTGTCGTTGTTTGTTTGTTGTTGTTGTTGATTTTTTTTCTTTTTGTTTGATGTCGATTCTTTCAAACACACACAAACAATTCACACACTCATTCATTCATTTTTTTTCTGATATAAAATACATACATTTTGATGATGATGATGATGATGATGATTTGTCGATTCAATAATAATAAGAATCACGAAAATGATGATGATGATGATGATGATGGTGGTAGTCTGTATTTCGATCGACTAATTGAAACCTCAATCAAACAACAACAACAACAAAAACGCTCTCTCTCCATTTCTTTTTTTTTGTGCGTGGAAGTAATAATAACAGCAACAACAACAACAACAACAACGAATAAAAAACAAAAATTCATAGTACGACTATTTTCACTCATTCATTCGCATTTTTTCCTTTTCCGTTATAGTCATCATTATTAACAATAAAATTTGTTTGTGCCGAAACTGTAAGAATCGATTTTTCTGTGTTTTTTTTTCATTCATTCATTTCCACTTCCACTTTCAATTTTGTTGTTTTTTGTTTGTTGTTGTTGTTTTTGTTGTCCAAATGGCAATAATAATGATGATCATTCATGATGATGATGATGATTATGATGATTCCTAAACCCAAAAAAAAGTGTTAAGAGTATGAAAATAGAAATCACAACTATTTAGATACATCTAGCCTCATCTCATTCATTTACACTAATTCAAATGTAGTACAAATCCTTTTTTCATCGTTGGCCTAGTACATCATCATGTTATTATTTCGGTAGCATCATAAAAATTTCAGGATTGTATTCGGCTAAACGAGAAGTGAAAAAAAATCGATCCAAATATTTTAGGTCATCATCCAAATACAATGATGATGATGATGACGATGATGATTTCGATCGGATACCAAGCTATACAGAAATTTTTTTTTTTACATTTTACACAACAAAAAAAAATCGAGAATCAAGATCATCATCATATGACAATGACAATAGCAACAGTAACCACAATATTCATATATGAAAACCACCACTACTACTACAAACTTGGAAACAGGAACTATATTCTATTCACAGCCATGATGATGATGATGATTACCATCATCATTCTCAAATATTGATGGTGATGACACAATGAAAATGATGATGATGATGATGATAATGATAATGATGATGTGACCGACAGAAAAAAAAAAAATTCAACCATTTCAAAGGTCGATGAATGAATATATGAAACAATGTCGATATTTTTGATTTATTTTTTTCCCAAAAAATGAAGACATCATAAAGAGATAAAGCAAAATGAGATTGTGACGATGATGATGATGATGAAATACGAGAGTAAAAAAATCCACGACGATTATTAGCCCAGCTATAGTTAGTTGTCTCATTTTTTTTGTTTTCGTTCTGTCTTTGTTTGTGTTCATTGATGCAAAATTTTTTTTTTTATTCATGTTTTTTTGCATGTACGCTTTTTATGATTTTGGAAATTTTTTTTTCTCACCAGAATCGAATGGCCATGAATTTATTTAGGCCACAAAAATAAAAATCAATTTTTTTTTATCTGATGAAATTCGAATGAATTTGAATTTGGAATTTTTTTTTCATATATATTTGTTTATTGTGTGTGTGTGCATTTGTAATGATTTTTTTTTGTTTTTCAGTGTGCGAAAAAAAAATGAAATGAAATGAAATGCAATTCCCATCACCATCATCATCATCATCATCATCATTTATATAAAGACATGAAAATGGAAAATTCCTACGATGATGGTAAAGATTGCATTGAATGCACGAGATTTAACCATCCACAAAGAAAAAATTTTTTTTGCTTGTTATCAAACAAACAAACAAAAAACAAACAATGGGAAAAAATACAACAAATTGGCTCGATTCTAAGTAGGGTTCCAGAAAACATTTACAGATTCTTCTGTTTAGGTCGTTCACATTCTCTTTTTTCTCTCTCTCTCTCTCTTTATCTTTTATTAATTATCTCTAAAAATGAAAAACAAAAAAAACAAAAATCGAAAAAAAAGAATGGACTTCATTAGTCGAAAATCATCAGTCGAAAATTTTTCAATGGAAAAAAAAGATTTCATTTTTTTTTTTTGTTTACCAAGAAAGATTTACCAATTGTCTCCAGTGTTATTTAGTTTAATCCCAATGGACATGGAGATTTTTTTTTTTTTGCTATGGATATCCGAACAAAAAAACACATCTTGGACATGGATGGAGACGAAAAAACAACGAAATAGAAACGAAAGCAAAGTAAAGAAATTGAATTTTATTTTTTTTTCTGTTTAATTTCCATTTTCATTCAATTTGTGTGTGTGTGTGTGTGTGTGAAAAAAATCGCGGTTTCAGTTTTTCAATTTTTTTTTGGCTGTGTTTATAAAATAATATACGAGTGAATAAAATGGTTGGCTCAATCAAAAATGCTAAATGGAAATGATTCTGGTTAGATTCTACAAAATGTAATATAAAAAAAAAAAAAAAAAAAACATTAACAATAACAAACAAACCAGAAAACAAGAATTTAAAAATTTACAGTTTTTTTTCCTATACTCAATGTTTTCAGATTCAAATGAATTTTGATCATCGAATCGAATTGAAGATGTTTTTTTTTTGGTTTATTTTTCTTTTCTCGTTTTCATTAACCGAAATTTCATCAATAGATTATCTTGCCATCTAGTGAAATATCAAAGTATTTAGCCAGTTTTGCTTGTCGATCATATCTTGAATTGAACAGTAGTGCACTATTCGGTGTACATGAATGACCGATTTGTGATTCCGCAATATAAAGGCCTGAGCCTACTTTTTTTTTCCATTTCATAATTTTTAATCTTAAAGAATTTGGTGTAACTTTTACAATAAAAATTTAAATAGATTTGATTGTTGTTTTTTTTCAAAAAAAATTTGTTGAAAAATGGCGGACATTTTTTTTGATTGATTGATGTAACCGATGATTTTCATTTGGATCATTAACATTCTGCTGTGTGTGTGTGTGTGCTTGTTATTTAATAATCATCATATCTCTTCATATACATGCATACGACGTAAATCTAATACAAATAACACTGATAAACAAATGAAACATAATTCAATAATAAAAGGTATCCAATAAATTTGTCCAATAATAAATGCTTTCACCGAATTGATGATGAAACCAATGATCCATAATATTGAATATGTAATGGATAGGCAATAATTTTCATTTATAGCACCAAATAAACCAATTAATGCGAAAGCGATCGAAATGATTGAAAATATTGTACTAGCAATCATTAATTTAATCTAAAGAATATATTATATACATTATTATTAATGTTACAAAATTTTAAATCAATGATCAAACCTTGGCTGTTTTGATTGATATATTTGGATCTTGATCATGAACAATTATAGCCAATTTGTCAGTGATTACAAAAACAAAAATGAAAACAATTAATGTCAATAAAATTGAAATTGAAGTCAAAATAATGATGGAATATTTTTTGCATTTAAAACTTAATGATGGATCCTTTTTTTTTTTTTTTTTTGGTTCACTTTGTTGTTGGTTGATATTTGTTGGCCAGAAAAAAAACCAGAAAACCAAATGAATTGCGAATGAGAATATGGGATTAGGATTTACACACACACACAATCAAGTTTATGGTTCTTCGTTTATTTTTCTGTTTTATTGCAACAAGTGATTTCTTTTTTTTCACGTTACCATAAGAGACAAGCAACATGTTTATTTATCGTCGTAAAGTTATATTGATGATCGTCTCTGTTGATTGATTACATAGATATATGTGGAATCTTGATATATAGGAGAAATAAAGTAAACAGATTATCAACAGAATTATTTATCGTCAAAAAAAAAAATGATTTTGATTCCAATAAATACGTTGCATTTTTTTTTGTTGCATTACATTCTTATTAATGATGATCATGATGATCAATGAACAATTGTTATACATTTGAAAAAAAATTGATAACGGTTAGTTTGCCAGTTAGTTAGTCGGTTGATTGATTGATTGATTGATTGATGAAAATAAATTAAATTAAGCCAATGATGAAATGGAATTATTTCCATTATTCATTCGACGTAAATCAATAACAAATGAAACCATTATGATGATTATGAACAGATAAACAAGTATAGGAATCAAGAATAATTTTTCCATAATGGCAAATATAAATTTAGGTATAAAATCCATGATAATCAATACCAAATATAAAAGTGATAGGGAAAAATTTTCTTTCATTGCACCAAATAAACCTAATGATGATACAAAAATACTGGAAAGTAAAAAAATATTGGCAGTAATCAACACTAAAGTCTACATATATAGATATATGTACAATAAGAAAAAGTAAGAAAAAAAATCAAACGGTAAACTTATTGTGTGAACAAACATTCAAATCAATAATATTTACATTAACTTCGTCCGAAGAAATGTTTGGAAATATTTCTTGTATCATTTCAGCCAATTTTTTATCGTTTAATACGTAAATAAAAACGCCTATTGTCATTACGATTGTCAATGTTGTCCAATAAATTATGGCAAATTTTTTACAATTAAATACAAATCGTCCCATTTTGAAATTTTGAGAGTTAACAAAAATAAAAAAAACCACCAAACTGTTGAACTTGACGATGATCACAATGGAAATGATTGTTGATTGTTGATGATCGTTGATGATGAGAACAAAAAAACACTCGAACTGATCAAATTGAAAATGATCCATATATTGGAATTTGTGAGAAAATTTCTTCAATCAATCAAATTGTGGAAACAAAAAAAAAAAAAAAATTCAGCTGTTTGATGATGATGATGATGATGATTTAGTGTATTTTTGAACAAACAAAATTTTTCGAATTCTTTTTTTTTGGTAAAACAAACATCAAAATCTCGATGATAATGATGATGAAATTGAAAAATATTTTCGAAACACCACACTAATACCCCCCCCCCATCGTTCATAAAAGACGTATGCATCAATTTTATTATAAAAAAAATTACAATTAAATCAAACACAATTTTAATGAGTCATCATATACATATATATATTGAAAACTTAATTACAAAAATGAAAATTAAAATCAAAAAAAGTGTAAAGTAAATTATATATCTTTAAAGCTAAACAGTTTTGATTATTGAACTATTAGTAGTAGTTGTATTAGAATCATTATTAGCGGCTGTTGTTGCTGTTGTTGTTGTTGTTAACGGTGGTGGTGGTGATAATGATGGTGATGGCGATTGTGATGTTTGACGTTTTTGACGCAAATCGATTATGAATAGAATCAATACAGCAAAAATAATCAGATTGATTATGAGACCCAATGAATGTATTGGTGATGCGATTGTTTTCACCAACGAATTAATCAATTCAATAAGCCATAATAATGAATATGTAATGGATAGGCAATAATTTTCTTTGATAGCACCAAATAAACCGATTGATGAAAATGTCAATGAAATGATGAAAATGACTACACCGATGGCCATAGTTGCAGTCTATGAACAAAACAAAACAAGATTGTTATTAGTGAATTATTGACAAGTAAAAATTCAAAAAATTCAAAAAATTTTTGCTTTTACCTTTGCTTCATTGGGAGAAATTTCTGGATTTTTTTCATGTGTTATTTGAGCATATTTATCTACATCCAAACAGATACTGATGAATGATATCAAAGCCATTAACATAAAAATCAATGTCATCACAATGATTGTATATTTTTTACAAATAAATCCCGATATTTGTCGTTCCATGTCGTCGTTGTTGTTGTTGTTGTTGTATGTCAAATGGAAAAAAAACAATTTCGTTGAAATTGGTGAAAAATAAAAATACGAAACAATTTAAGCTGATTTATGATTACAACAATTTGTGGTAATTAAATTTACAACCATAATGATGATGATGATTATATTTTTCCATTTTATATTGTTCTTGTAAATCATTATAAATATTATGTTTAAGTATTAATGATGATTTTTTTTCCTTATTCTGTTTTTCTATCAATAATATTCTTCTTGTATAAGTTATATGATAAAATCTTTCAAGAATATTCAAAAATCTATCCATGAATTGTTGTGTGTTTTTGGCCGAATCATATTCACCATTATTATTATTATTATTACGTAATGCCATTGTTATTAATAATGGATCAGATTCTTCATACAATTTGAATTCATTATCAATTTGTTTGGAATGATTCAAAAATGATGCTTTATGTATTGGAAATTGTTGCCATAATTTTTTATTGTCATTATTATTATTCGATGATGATGACCATGGCGATGATGATGTATCTATTGTTTTCAGTATATCAACAAAAACTTTACGATCATGATCGATATTATTTACATGTTCTAGTTCATAAATTTTTGTATCATTATTATCGATAATCATAAATGTTTTCCAACCAAAAGGTGTAAATCGATTGAATAGTTTGGCAGAACAAAGATTTTTTGGCATTCGTTTTTGATTATAATCTAGATTTTGGTCAATTTTTTCTGATTGATTTTCACTATTATTTTGATTTTCCATTACCGTCTTTGATGTTGATGGTGATGGTGGTGGTGACGGCGGTTGCGATGGCAATGGTGATGATGATGATGATGATAATTCGATTATATGATTACTATCAGTATCAGTATCGGAAATAGTAATCTTACCAATAGGAGAAGGTGGCTCCAATAATCTATTTTCGATTTCCGATTTCGGAGAATAACTTGATTGTAATGATGGCGATGGTGATGATGATGATGATGATAATTCGATTATATGATTACTATCAGTATCACTATCGGTAATAGTAATCATATTAATAGGAGAAGGTGGTTCCAATAATTTATTTTCGATTTCCGATTTCGGAGAATAACTTGATTGTAATGATGGCGATGGTGATGATGATGATGATGATGATAATTCGATTATATGATTACTATCAGTATCACTATCGGTAATAGTAATCGTATTAATAGGAGAAGGTGGTTCCAATAATTTATTTTCGATTTCCGATTTTGGAGAATAACTTGATTGTAATGATAATGATACCGATTCTTGATGTTCTTGGCTTGACAATTGATTTATTGTATCATTATTGCTTCGATAATAATTATTGCGTAACCATTCTGGTTCATCATCATGATCAATTGATTTACGTTTTTTGCCGATATTCATTTGTTTAAGTTTTTTTTGAACATAATTTAATGATTGCCATTCTGAGAATGATTTAAAATCATCAAAATTATCGAATGCATTCAATTCGAATTCATCAATTATATAAGATTCTTGTGGCATTATGGTCATTGTTTGATCATATTCATTTTTTATCGATGAATAAATTTTTGTCAAAAAATTGTCAGTGAAATATTGAAACGGACAACCAAAGATGATTTTATCCAAATCAATTTGTTGTTGATCATTTGTATTTGGACATGATGTTTGGTTTGATGATGATGATGATGATGACTGGTTACTTTTCGTAGATTTCGATGTATGAATTGAATCATTATTTGAACGAGAACCGTTAGATCGACGAAATTTTTTACGAGGCATCTTGATTCACAATAATCAAAATCAAAATGATGGTTCAATAATCAAAACAAAAAAAAATATTCAAATGAAGGACGTGAAAATCTACTAACAAATTACATACAGCACACACACACACACAAACGTAGATTTTATTGATGAAGTTTTTTTTTGTTTCGTTCGAAATTCTGTCGGTTGTTGTGTGATATATATGAATAGTCAAATTGGAAAATAGCGAGCGCACAAAGCCAATGGACTGGAAACAGTCAAAGTCAACTGCGGCGTGGCTGAGTCGTCACAACCTCTATGACGGACCCCAAATGTGATCATAAAAAGAAAAAAGTTTTCAAACCCAGATCAATTCCTTAAATCAGAATATATTTATTCAAACTAAAAAAAAAACGAACATAAATTACACAACCGAAAACGGACATGATTCAAACTGATGAAATAAATTACTGTCTTTCACAATCAATTGAAAAATTTATAAAAGAATTTGATTCCATCTTTGCAAAGAAGAAAGGAAAAGTGGATAGAATCACAAGTGAAGAATGCTACATCCATCAACAAACAACAACACAAAATACAATTCATCTACGACCATATATATACCGCACATCAGTCGAAGATCAAGAAAAAATCGACGAATTCATCGAAGAATACCGAAATACAAACGTGTTACAAGATTTTGTTACCGACCAATTTGGTCAACCTTTGAATTTTATTATTGATGTGAAAACACTGATGGAGGATAGTCTCTTCCATTGCTTTAGCAAACAACATTTGATAACAGTAACAATATGACTAATGAAAACGGAACAATGCCAGGATTTTCAATATTGCCTTTCATTGTGAATGTTTTGCCAGCAATGAAATAAAGATTTCAACACTATTGCTTTTTGTGAATGTTTTGCCAGCAATGAAATAAAGATTTCAACACTATTGCTTTTTAGATTTTTTTTTTATAATTGGTTTTTTTATTACTTTAAAATTAGGGTTAATTATTGATTGAAATTGAGATATAAAATTACACATAAATCTGTTTGGGATGTAATTTCATAAATTTGTCCCAGAAACAAAGATAACACCTTGGTGATGAGTATTTCTAGCTCGTGGCTTTGATGAATGAACATCCATCTCCTATAAAACAGTTCGGATGATGTTATGTCCCAATTAAAACGGATGGAACGTTTTGACCAAATTAGGCGATTCGAAAGGTATATCTTGGACTAATGAAAATTTTAGTAAATGAACTTGATTACACTCATAAACACTTATACCAGAAGTCCAGATTTTTTTTATTTATAAATTAACTCCTGATACAGACGAGCCAAAGATTTAGCAACGTTCCTGAAATTCTTGCTTTGTTTATAATGCTGTTTCAAGGAAGCGTGCTGCCTTTCGAGAATCGCACTGCTGAAAATTTGAGCAATTGGCCATGCCATATAGCCACATATCCAAGTAATGACTTAGGAAATGTGACTTGGCCGTTGTTCAGAATATCATTTGTTCCAACATAACTGAAAAATCAGAATTTTAATTTTATCGCTATAAAGAACACATATGTATAAAGTAAAATAGATACTTACATGTTGAACTTCCAATATTGCTATCCGAACTGTATCCAGGTTTTCTATTCTCGAAGCCATTAATACAAGATCAATCATATATTGAAAGTTTCGATAAATTTCGTTCGGATGATGATCATTCACCAATATATGTTTTCGAACGGCGTTGTTCAATTGATTGCTTTTTATCTCTCCATCTATATATAGATCAGAGATGATTTTTGATCAAATTTTCATTGCTGTTTATGACAATATTTTATTTGATTAAATCATTTTTTTAATCTTATAATAATCAATATAATCTTGACATTCCATTGCTATTAAGCATTCTTTAATGGATTCGTAATAATGATGATGGACAGATGTTTGTGTGTGCGTGTGTCTGAACATAATGAACAACAGGAAAAGGTTTTTGAATACCTCTGAACAGGTTCGAATTCGAATTTTTTTCGAATTGATTATAGTGATTAATACACGTGACACACACACACACACACGTGATTTTCATTTTGTGTACATGTGTATGAATGTGTATTTGATGATGATCAATGATCTACTCATCATTTTGTATTTTGTACCTGTAATTTTTTCATGAAAAAAAGTGTTCCTTTGTTTGTTAGTGTCGAATAATAACGTTGGTTATGAACGACCATAAAATGTACCAGAGCTTCCTTTTTCATTTTTTTGCGCCAATTTATTTCGCTGTTTTTGTTTTTTTGGCTATTTTCAGTCTTTGGCTATTTTAACCAACAATCATTCTGTCTATTTATACCATTATCATTTCCTTTTGATAGAAAAAAAATGTTATGTTTATCATCACTGGATGGCGTTCGTTCATTATTTGATCCAAATATCATCTTTTCACAATAATTCGAATATGAACCAAAAAAAAAAAAAAAAATTTCTTTTTCTTGACTTTCCAGAAAATCTCTTTTCATTACCACCACCACCACCACCACATTATCAATGGCCATCAAATCAGCCGTCAAATAAATTGAATATATTTTGATTTCAAACAAACAAAAAACAAAACACTAAATTCAAATCCAATAAAACTTGTCATTATCATCATCATCATCATCATCAAACAAAAGTGATCCAGTTCAAGGTTCCAATTTGCACAAAGATTTTTTTTTTTTTGACTTTCCTGTTTTTCAATTAAAAGAAAACTACAAATTGAATATATTCAACAAAATGATGATGATGGAACACAATGACAACAACAATTTGACAATGTTGTTGTTTTACCTTTTTCTCAAAAAAAAAAAAAAATCGAATCTATCGAATCCAATTCGATTTTTTATCATTGGCTTGGCAAATTTATACATATATCGTCATTGCATATGTGTTCATCAAGCAACTACAACAACAACAACACACATGCATTTTTTTTCAAGCAAAAGAGAAAAAAACCGACATTGTCGAGGTATTTCTCTCTCTCTCTCTCTCTTTTTACTCTTGTATTTCATTCATGGTGATTTTCAGTCAAATAGTATACTACCACCACCACCACCACCACCACTATCATTCACCATTCATATATCGATATGATAATATAAACAAAAAGTCCAAGCAATGTAATAAATGAAAATTTCGAGTCTCTTTTTCTTGTTTGCTTGTGTGTGTGTGTGTGTGTATTTTTTGTTTTTGGTTTATTTGACGATTCATTTTTTGACATCGACAATTTTATCGATTATTTCATCATCATCATCATCATCAAATTTGATCGATGCAAAAACAAAACAAATCATTTCATTTTGTTTTTTTTTGTTTCTGTTTGATTCCATTTCGAATCGTTCACACATCATATGGCAAACAATTTCTCTCTTTCTCTATACCTGTGTGGATGTGTGTGTGTGATGTGATGTGATGTGATGGCGATGTATTTATGGCGATGATGATGATACCCAGCCAAAAAAAAGACCTGTTGATGACGAATACAAATAAATGAATGTGGAAAGAAAAGAGAGAGAAAGAGAAACGGTGGGTTTTTGGCATTGCAACTACAAATCAACCAATCATCATCATTTTAAAACGAAGTAACCGAAATATTAACGACGACGACGACGATGGTGAAGCAATCCTTTTCTTTACATTGAATAATTTTTTTGTTAAACGATTGACTAGAAATTGCCAGGAAGAAACAAAAAAATTAATGTCGTAGTAGTAGTCACAATGATGATGTTTAGGAAAACTTGAATTGAATTAAACTTTTTTGGTGGATTTTTTTTTTTTTTTTTCATTTCATCATTAAACCACTAATATGGTGCCATCATAATCATCATTGAATTGATTTCACCTTTATTATTCCGTGATCCGATCAGAATATAGTCAAAATTATTTCATTCGCTGAGAATGATTTTTTTCGTCGTTTTTCAAGTCAAATCATCATCATCATCGTATATAACCCATGTAAGTTGTTACAATAAAAAAAAATACACAAGAAAATTGTAACTGGTTTCATTTCTTTTCCATGATAGCGGCGACGATAACGGCCCACAGCAACAACAGCAGCAACAACAACAACTAAAACAACAACAACAACAACAACATTGAATTGAATGATACTTGTCATGAATAAGACAATTCAAAGATTGATCCATCCATAAGATGCATTCATCAGACAAAATATTTGAATAGTACAAACAACATTTTATTTTATTTTTTTTTCAATTACATGCTCATCATCATCGTCATCATCATCATAGGTGTGAATTATTCAAAAAAAAAAAAAATTTCATTTAAGAAAATAATAATAATCTCAACACTTTTTCAGTTTGTTCAGTCTGTCAAAAAAAAAAAAAAAAAAAAAAATTCAACAACAAAAAATTCATCATTATCGAATCGAATCGAAAAAATCATATATAAACATTGACATGGTATGTATATATATAATTTTTGTTATCTTCTTGTTATTTACTCAAAAATAAATTTTGCTTGTTGTTTGATTTGTCTGTTATCCTTGATTTTCATCGATATAAATTAATTTGTGGCTATAATATTCTGAATTTCCTGTATTGCAAAAGATTTTAATTCACTGCCATTATTGTTATTATTATTGAAATTATCTCTTGTTGAAGAGAGAAATCAAGACAAAACCAAAATGATGATTGTCGGGCCCATATTTTTTTTCCATTACTTTGTTTTCTTTCTTTTGAATTCATTCATTTCGTTCATATAATCATTGCATGATTTTTTTTTTCATCAATCGATCGACAGACTTTAATCATTATCAATTGTATTTTTGTTTGCGTGTGTTCGTGTGTGTGTGTTTTTTGATTTGGATTCAGGCGCCATGCTCTGATTATTATGATGATTTCAAACAAGAACAAAAAAAAAATAAATAAAGAAATAGAGTCAGACACAGACACATTCTTGACACTTTAATTATATCTGGATTATTGTTCGTCGTTTATTGATTACAAAAAAAACAATTTGATTGTAAATGATCATATCCAGATCATAATCATAATCATCAACTTGATGATCGTCAATTGACCAATTTTTTTTGCTTATTTATATTTCGTGATTCTATAGTGGTAGGAAGTAAGAAACAAAAAAAAAATCTGGTTCATCAACGATAAATATATATATATTTATTGAAAGAGACACATTAATGATTGTTGATTTTTATGATGATGAAGATAGATAGATAGATCTACTAGGAGAGATATATTTGTATTTCAAGAGAAATAAAAAAAAAGAGATCGAGAGAAAGAATGAAATGATGAGTGATGATGAACCCCATATATTATGATTGACCTTTTTTTTAAACACTGGCTCCATCAATTTTTTCCTGTTCAGTTTTAGTTTAGTTATAGTTTAGTTTCCGTTATAACTAGATTTTTTTTTTTTTTGGGTGGCCAGAATCCAATACAATATGGAGAGATGAACACCATTGTGTATTGTATCTAAAATGGCATAAATTTTTTTTTTTGTTTACTGACATCCAATTGTTGGGATCATCATCATCATCATCATATGTCCGTTATATGACTCTTTTTTTTTCATCAGAAAAAAATTTTTTTTTTTTTTGTTCCTCTGATGTTGAACTCTCAACTGTTGCTTTTTTGCTATTTGCTATTTGTTTGTTTGTTTGTTTGTTGTGTCAGCCAGTGTCTGTTTCCACCACCACCACCACCACCACCGATTGACTTGTTTGGCCAGTTTTTTTTATATATACGTTTCCTATATTGCTCTCTCTCTCTCCCCTTCTCTCTTTCAATGTTACTTCCTTTTCATCTGAATAATAATAATAATAATAAAAATCCTCATCCATCAAATGCCATACTCAATGGCAATTTTGAAATGATTTGGCACAATTGTGTTATACAATTTTTGAATCATTGAAGTTGTTATATATGTGTGGTGGTGGTGGTGGTCATTTTTTTCCCGTTGTTTTTGTTGGTAGTTTTTTTTTGGAAGGGGGGTTATTCATTTGATTGTATTGGTGGTTACAATTGAATTTCATTTTTCATTCCTTGTTGTTTTGAAATACATTTCAACCAATAACCATTTTTTTTTTGATTGCACCAAAAACAGAAAAAAAAATTGTTCTGAATATTGTTATTTATCTATTCACGAATCATATTTTTTGTATCTATGAAACGAACAAACAAACGAACGAACGGAAAAAACGATCAAAACAGTAACAAAACATACGTCAAGTTTCGATCAAAACAAAGTTGTCTCCATATTTGCATCTCTGTGTTTTGTTGATTGTCAGTGTTTTTTTTTGTATTGCCGAGCAACAAGTGTTTTTTTTGGCGTTTCATTTGTTTTCGAATTCGATTGACATCTATCACATATCATATTATCCAGTAAATAAATATTTGTTTTCTCTCCCCTTTTTTTTACATCATCATTATTTATTTCATATTTGTTTTTTGTTTGTCTGCCAATTAATTGGTTGATTGATTCATTTGACAATTCTGATAGTTGAATGATTAATTTTTCATTTATTTTTAATTACAATATATAATAGATGAGAATGATTAAACATGCATCGTTATTTAAATGGCCACAAACAAATGGTGGTGCAAGTAAAATGACCAATAGTACTGATAGTGTTATTGGTACATCAATTGGATCCAATGATAATGGAACATCATCGTCATCAAATAATAGCAATGGAAATGGTAAATCAAAACAACATCAACAATCATCATCATCATCATCATCGTCATCGTTATCAAGTCAACAACAACAACAACAACAACAGCAACAACAATCATCATCATCATCATCTACACAGCAACAAAAACTATGGATTCATCCTCCAGCTACATTACAAAATGGACACATCGCATATTTAGTCAAGGTAATCTTCATCATTGAATTTTGTATTTAGTAAATTTTTTTTTCTTTTCATTCATTTGATTGGATTTATTCGAGGATTGACGAATAGAATGATTGGTTTATAAATGAATTGTGTGTGTGTATTGAGATGTATATATGATAATGATGATTGTGATACTAGTTACAAAACTTTATCATCATGGTTGCTATGTGGCCATAGGTTGGAATAGACATTCATAACAACAACAACAACAAAGCACACGTTTTAGGGATTAATCAATTGTGGATAATTATAATTTTCTTCTTTGTCATCATCATCATCATCGTCATTTAGCTTTTTGATAATAATTTTAGCGTTTTGTAACATTTTTATTCATTTATCTTTTTTTGTATTTTAATTTTTCTCTTTTATTTTATCGTTTTCAACATTCATTTTTTTTATATATATATAGTATTTTGGCAATGTAGAAGTTAATCAACCGAAAGGCATTGATGTTGTTAAAGAAAGTATCAATAAATTGAAATTTATTCAACCGTTAAAAAAATCTGAAGGCCAAAAGATTCCTAAAGTTGAGCTGACAATCTCGGTGAATGGTGTTGCCATACAGGAACCAAAAACGAAGAAAATTTATTGCCAATTTCCATTACATAGGATATCGTATTGTGCTGATGATAAGAATGAGAAAAAATTTTTCAGTTTTATTGCCAAAGATTCGGATACGGATAAACATTTGTGTTTTGTATTCATGTCGGAAAAAATGAGTGAAGAAATCATTTTAACTATTGGACAAGCATTCGATTTGGCATATGCTAAATTTATCGAAACTTCTGGCAGAGAATTAGAGATACGGAAACAGCTTATTATATTGCAGAAAAAAGTTTGCCATTTAGAAGAGGAAAATAAAACATTGAAAGAAAGGCTTAGAAAATATGAACCGGTGTCTGATAGCACAATCGATATTGATGATGGTCATCATAGCGATAATAATAATACAAAACCATCATCATTATTTTCATCATCATCATCATCATCATCGTCACCGTTATCATCAGCTTCATCCAATAATAATAAAAACGAGATGAATAATGGCCTAGATCTGTTGTCCGATGATATTGTCAACGTAACCGGTAATAATAAAGATTCAACAATGACAAATGGTCATAGTATGATGAATAATAAATTAAAGTCAACTTTGAATTCGGTTCAAGTTCCTCCATTACAACCGCCACCATCAAGTTCGAAAAATCATCGTAGTAATCAACAAATTAATCTTATTGATGTTGATATCGAGTGCAATGATAATACGGCAACATTATTGAATCATGATAATTTATTATCATTGAACAATAGCCAATCGATAAATGATTTGTTTGATGAAGATTTCAATCCAAGAGCCGAGGATAATAAACCAATCAATACTAATAATAATGTGCCCATTGTTTTAGCAAACAATTTGATCAACAATCCTATTGTTGTGGCTAATAATCAAAATATTAGTCCAATTGATCAAAATTTGCTTGGTGTAACCATATCACAGGAGAAAGATATTTTTGGTTGTGAACCATTTCATCAGATAAAAAAAGAATGTGATCCATTCGGTATGCCACAATTTAATGGTTCAACCGATTTAGATTCAGCCATCGATAATATTGATAAAAAATTGGCCGAAATGAGAGTAAGTACTAATTATCATCATAATGATCCTTATTATTTTTTTTCTATTTCATTTTTATATTTGAATTTTTAAATAATTAGGATGGATTCAGTCAAGGATTATCGGCAGATGGATTCAATTTGGATTCTTAATCCATTACGATTCATATCAAATGGGCCATACACACACCCACACACACACACACACACACAACAAGCGTTTATACATCCAAATCAATGTTATAGCAGCAAACAACAACAAACTATCTAATAATTTGTAACGAATCAAATATACATATCTATCAGGCTAATATGATGTGTTTGTGAACACACAATACAGACAAAAAGAATAATTAAGAGAAAAAAAATATTTCAATTCAATTTAAATTGTGATCATCAATTCCTTTCATTCCATTGAATAATAATGAAAAACAATAATAATAATAATAATTTTTTATATCTTAATGTTGAATCGTTTTTTACTTTGAAAAATGAAAAAAATATTAAAATTTTTTATATATTGAATTTTTAATTGCCGTTATATTTCATTTTATTACTATGGAATTCATCAAATGGCAACAACAACGGAAAAAATTAAAATTTTTTTTTCTTTGAAAAAAAATTTATTAAATGTGCCTAAATAGTAGTTATATATGTTGCATTTATGTTTTTTTTTTGAAAAAATTTCTTTTGTAAATAAAATTGATATACAAAAAAAAACACACACAAAACCGTGTGAGAAAAGTGTTCATGGAAATGTATAAAATGGTTGTTGTATAAAAATTATATAGTAAATTAGTTTCAAAAAAAAAAAAAAAAAATCTGTATTGTGGAACAAAATTGGATATCCTCAAACATCATCAGCATCAGGTCACACCATTAATCATCATCATCATCATCATTATCAACAATGAATATTGCCATTATTATTATTGATCAATGTGGTCATTTGATTATTATATGGCTTCATAAGACCATGATATTCTCCTTTGTAATCTATATATATATATATATATTGTGGAAAGAAAAAAAATTATTTGTTATTATTAACAAGAAAGAAAAGATTAAAAAATCAAATTACCTTTGGTAAATTCAATCAGATAGAGTGATTCATCTTGCAGATTACGTACAACATCATCGGTGATTAAAATTTTCACAGCCGATGGTCCCATCATACAAAATCTTTTAAGATATGTACATTTTGGATTTGTTGAATTCGAAGATAACATTGTTGCAATCAATTTCGATTGTAGCTCATTGACTGTCAATGTATCCAGATAAATGGCACGAAATAATTCATCATTATGTGAACAAACATAGATGGATAATTTTGATTTGATACTTTTCCAATGTAATGCATTATATAATCGTATACCATCGGTTAGGCCACAGATTTGTATGAGATCTTCTTTAGATAACATTAAGAAATCAAAACCAGAAAAATTTTCAAACATTGATAGATAAGCATCAAAACGATTATCTTTAAGCCATTTTTGTGTCTCATCCCATGTTGCCGTCGATGTTAACATTTGTTTCGGTGATGATAATGGTGATGGCAGTGTTGTCGATGATGTTGTTGGAAATGCTGAAAAAGAAAATTCATAGCTATTATCACTGATATCTGAAAGTAGATGGCAAATGGAATTATTTGCTGAAGATGGTGTTTTATCAACAACTATATTGCTTATATTTGGACTTGCAGGACCAACAGGTTTTGGCATCGGTGATAATATTTTTGATTTATGTATTGTTTCCATAAGATTTAAATATTCATCTGAATCGATTGATTTGGAAAGATTATGTAATATATCACTTCCGATCATCATGTTTGAATTTGATGATAGATTATACAAAGCGAATGCATCTAATGAACAATCGGTGAACACGGTACAATCATATGATGGTTGAAATTTTTCCTGTTCGGTCACCGGTTTTCGGTTCATTTTTTCTCGATCAGTTTTATGTTTTCTATCCGCACCTTTCGGTTTGAATACTTTGACCTGACAGGAGGCAGCATGAAGACAGTGTGTTGGATCATCTTTTGAATAAGTTTCAATCAATATTCGAAATGGTACACCTTTTTCGCCACCATGTTTTTTCGGTGTAAATTCCGTACTGATACAATTGATCTGAAAACATGAAAATAAAATAATGGTGAAATTTATTGATAAAAAAATTTTCAATAACAATAATACCCGAATAAAAACACCAGTCTCTTTAGTTGGATCCCAAAAGAATTCAGAACGATTAATGTATTTGAGGTCATTGCGAACATCTTGTATACCATACGAAAGAGGAACATCAATTTCAATAACTCTTTCAGATGGACGTTGTTCTTTCCATTGTTCGATTAATTCCTTTTCAATGTATTGTAATCGTCGATCATGAAAACAGACACGGATAATTGTTTTCAACATTTTGCCTTTCATCTCACTTAAATCTCCAACTTTTTTCAATTTTATTTCATATGATTGTCCTAGAATGCAAACAAATTCATACAAATATATTAGATATCATTATTCTATTGAATTGATCAATTGATTGATTGGTTGAGGAAATGAAAATACAAACCTTGATTAAGATATGTCATTGTTTCTTCATTCATTTTGATTGCCATCGAAGTAGATGCTCCTAGAACGTATTGAAATTTTGATGGTTCATTCGATTTTGATGAAACAGCTGATGTCGATGCATTCGTTGTCGATACATTTGTTGAACGATGATCGATATGAGCTAATGATGAAGAACTACTACCGGTACCAGATGATACATTATTGTCTTGTCCACCATTATTATTAGAATTGGACAAACATTGTGAGGCAGAAATTATATGAGAAAAAAATGTGGTCGAAGGCGTTGATATTGATGTAGATGATGATGGTGATGAAGCTGTCGATTGTGATGCAATCTGTAATGTTGGACTATATGACTCGTTTCCTCCTCCAGCAGCAGACACATCACCACCATTTCCGCTATTAACAATCGAAAGATTGTTCGATCTTAAATCGGAAGCCGAAGAACCATGTCGAACAGATGTAGAAAGTTCACCATCTGATGGTGGTTGTAAACCATCTTGATGATGATGATGATGATGATGATGATGATGATGATGGCCATGATTATGTGAATGATGATCTTGATTGTCATTATTAATCAAATTATTCGAAATCAACAAATGAATATTACCATTGTTCGGTTCACTGTTATTTCGATCCGAATTAAGACAAAATCTTTTAATCGTTGTAGATTGAACAACATCATCGGCATCATGACCATAAGCTGCTAGACGATTTTTCTTTCCATGAACTACAGCTACGGGCTTTTCTTCCTGATTATTACCATTATTGCTATTATTATTATTGTTAGTATTACTATGATTATTGCCATTTGTGATATGTTGTTGACCATGTTGCTGTTGATTATCATTATTTGGATTATTATTACCATTATTATTGGAACGATGATCAAGCAATGAGGTAGCTAAATGATTATGGTCACCATGATTTGAATGATGATGAAGACCATGTTGATGATTATTATTATGATTATGATGATGTTGTTGTTGCTGTTGTTGATGATGTTGATGTTGTTGTTGTTGTTGCTGATGTTGATGCTGTTGATGATGATGATGATTTTGCTGTTGCTGTTGCTGTTGCTGTAATCGTAAAGATGCAGCCAGACTAGAAGTTAGGATAAAATTATTATGTGATGATGATGATGATGATGATTGTGGCTGAGTTGTACCAACTACAACACCACTATTACTGCTGCTACTGTTATTATTATTACTGCTGCTGTTATTGTTTGAAATATTTTGTCCATTAGAGTTATCATTGTCATTTTCATTGGACGAATGATGATGTCCATGATGTTGATGATGATGATGATGATGATGATGATGATGATGATGATGGAATGATGATTGATTGCCATGATGATGATGATTATGATTGGTATTATGCTTCAATGAAGAAAGACTTGGTAATGCCATTAATGCTTCACTATAATAAAATAATTATATATGATTAATTGATTAAAATCGATAAAATCTATATATCTATATCTGCAAAATAATTAAAGATCTCTGGTCAAGTATGTGGATTAGTTTTCTTTCTCTACTATTTTTACTAGTTCTCATCTATCATCACTAACAATGATATCATTCGAATCGAATGAATATGAATTCGGATCTGAATCTGATTCGATTGACAATAATGTTGTTGTTGATGATGATGATGATTGTGACAAAAAAAAGCACAAGTTTCAAGTTATTTGAATGGATCACTAATGATTATATGATGATGATGATGATGACGGTGAATGTAATCAGAAATCAAAAATCAAAATCAAATCAAATCTTTTTGTTGTGTTTTTTCTTTAACGTTCTATATAATAATAATACACATTATTATTATATATTATCTTCTCAATACTCAAACATTTTCCTTTCATTCGATTTGATTTGATTTGATTTGTTGATGTTTGTTGTTGTTGTTGTTGTTATGTGTGTATTTGTGGTTTCATTCAATGTCTGTACAAGAAAAAAAAAATTTCCATTTTTCCAACAAAAAAAAATGGAAAAATTTTCTCGAAAATAAAACCAACATAAACTTTTTGATTATTATTATTTTTGCAAGACACAACTGATTAATCCTATTGACCTTTGAACTTTGATTATTATAAAGTTCATGAAATAATCATTAAGATTTCCATTTTTTTTTCTTACTATCACAAAAAAACAATAACAAAAAGTGATAATATCCAGTAATATCATCATCATCATATATTCATTCATTGATTTTCTAATATATTATATCTCTATGTGTATTACTAAAAAAAAAACTAGTCAACACCGGATAAGACCGGATTGGTAAAATTAAAAAAAAAATTGATTTTCTTATTCCTCTTGTTCTTGGTTTCGGTCATTAAATTGATTGAATATATATGATGTGTGTGTGTGTGTAAAGGAAAAAAACTGGTATGTCATGATGATTTATGTTTTTTTTTTTGGATAAATTTAAAAATGTCGAATGATGTAGAAAAAAATAAGGATTTTTTGGATGATAATACTGACCTCATGTTAAATGAAGCTGTTCCAAGTTCTATACCTAAACCCGATAGACTACCATCAAAATCAGCGGCCAATGCATCATCAATTTCAACATTCCATTGGCCAATGGCCGTACTCATATTGGATGTTGTATGATTATGATGATGATGTTGTTGAGAATGATGATGATAATGATGTTGATTATCCACTTCCTCTTCACCGTTATCGTTATTGGCGTTATCAATAACGTCTTCGTCTTCTTCTTCATCATCAACAATAACGATTACATCGCCACCACCACCACCAACACCACCAATACCGCTACTATTACCGTTATTGTTCGCTGTTCTCAATGATGATATTATTGGACGAATTGATTGCGGTGACAATGATGATAATGATGATGATGGTGATATTGATGATACTGTTGTTATTGTTGAATTATTAGAATCTGATTTATTATTATTATCATTAATAATCGATAATGATGAATATCTTGATGTTATAGCTGTTGTGGATGTTACATTTGAAATTGTTGAAGATGTTGTTATAGTAGTAGTAGTAGTAGTAGTAGTAGTAGGAGTAGCTTGTTGTTGTTGTTGTTGTTGTTGTTGCTAAATAATTTGAATATATAAAAGAATGAAAAAAAAAAAAAATGTTAATCAAGGAAATATAATTAAGAAGATTCTTGCAACATCATTATAATGAAAACACAGAGAAAAATAAACATATCCATAGGAAGAATAATGAGAATTTCAAAGAAATGAAAGAAATCTGTAACGAAAAAAAGATAAGTATTCAAATGAAACGATTAAAAATTATTGGAAAAAAATAAATTTTCAGATTTAGCATTAGTTCAGGGTTAAATTTAACTATCAGATTCCATTCTTTTTTTTAGAGAATTACCAATTTGATAAATGCAGAATGTAGTTGATGATGATGATGATGATGAATATTATTACTTAAATGATTTGTTTGTGATGATGATGATGATGATGATGGTGATAAAGCCACTGGAAAAATTGGTGTAGGTGGCCGATAATGATGATGATAATGATGGCTATTATTATTATTATTGTGATTGTGATTATTATTATCTTGACTATCATCATTAACATTAAGGAAAAAATTTGAATTTGAATCATCAGGTGAAAGATCCAATGAAAATGATCGCCGTAATGGAAATAATCGAAGCATTTTTGTTTTCTTTGTTGTTGTTATTGTTGTTGTTGGACGGTTACTATTAAAAGAATTACAAAACGATTATAATGGTGGTGAGGGGTAATGCTGACATATAAAAAGAAGGGGTATGTAACGAATTTCAGAAAAATTTTTTTTATAAAATTCGTCCAACTAAAAGAAAGAGAGAGAGAAAGAAAGAAAGTTTTGATAAATTTAAATCAGTTACACCTTGTTATATCTATGGTCAACAAGATCACTTTTTTTTCAAAGGAAAACTCCTCATCATCATCATCATCATCAGCATCATAACCAAGAAAACAAAAATTATAACCTTCCTGTTATATATCTATCACCTGTTGCTTTCATCTTTTTTAAGGTAGAAGAAAAGACAAAACCAAAAAAAAAAAAAAAAATTGGACAACATCAAATGATGTATCTATTTGAACAAATCATTTTTTTTCTCTATGGCCACATATCATCATCATAAAAAAAAGTTTTGAAATTAACAAATTGGACAACTGATGATGATGATGATGATGATGATGACATATTTTTTAGGTCATTTAATATTTGTTTTTTTTCTCAATTTATTTTCTAGGTAGCTATAACCTGTTGTTGTTATAATAAAAACAAACGAAAGGAATGATGATGATAATGATGATGATGATCTAGATTCATCATGATGATCCAAAATCAATTCATCTGAAAAGAAAAAAAAAGAATTCTTGATTCTGAAATACCTGATATTGGATTTTTTTTTTGTAAAAATTTACAATAATCAACAGGATAGTATAGGAAAAAATTTATACAAAATGATGCAAATTTTTTTGATCAACATTAATTGATCAATAATGATGATAATGATGATCATTGATGATGATGATGATGATGAATCATTGATGGATTTTAACAATAATGATGGTGGCAATGTTGATGATGATAATGATGATGATGATGATGATGAAACTTTCATCAACAATCGATTAGATATGATAAACATAATCATCATTTTTTTCTTATGATTCAGATTCATTATAAATAAATAACATTAAAGAATTCATCAAAAAAAAAAAAAAACAAACAGAAACAAGACAAAACAACAAAAATAATCAATCAATCATTAGACTGAAAATCCAAAATGGATCAATCATGCGAAATTTATATGAGACAAATAAAAAAATTCATCTGGGTAAACACTCGGAAACACACACACACACACACAGAGAGAGATTAAAAATTGACATCAAACAACCACAACAACGATAATGATGATGATGATGATGATGAGGATGGTGATGGTCGCAAAAAACAAATAATAAAAAAAAAATTAAACTAGTTTTTTTTTGTTCACTATTTGTTTATTAATATCATCATCATTTTGTTTCGATGGTCGCGAAGAGTCTCGATTTTTTATTTTGTTGTTTTTACTTGTTCAAACCAATAGGAAAATATCATACACACACACACACACACACACACAAGATATATCATCCTCAACAACAAAAACTAGAAGGTCCCTGTTATAAACACCACCACCACCACTAACCAAAAATCCACATCATCATCATCGTCATCGTCATTATCATTAATATCGACCACCACCACCACAAATGATCATTAAATTTTGTCAAATGAAATTCACAACCAACATCACAACAATCATTACATACAAAGTCAACAGAAAAAAAAATAAAACTTCAAATCAATATCAAGGAAAAAAATGGCACCGAAAATAAAACAACAAAACAAAACAAAACACACTATGACGAACAAAAATAAAATAAAAATCAATGATTGATATCGAATTATCGAATCTTTATTTATTTTTTTTTCTTGTTTCTTGATATGAATTTTATTCTATTCTCTAGACGTTTTGACCACACAAATGTGTCTGTTTGTGTTGTGGACATTTAGATATAAAGCAAAATGTAAATAACAAGAGAAAAAGCTATCAAAAATTGTGTGATTAACAACAACAACAACAACGACAACAAAAATGATATATTTACGATTGAAAAACCAAATGGAAAAAAATCGAATAGAATAGAAAAAGAAAACAACAAGAATATATACGCACATTTGGAATGAAATTCATTGGAAAATATGACGACCACATGTACAAAACATACTTAATGATGATGATGATGATTTCAATATGATGATGATCATTGAATTAATGATTGTTGTTGATCTGCAAAAATTTCAAAACAAAAGTATCATCATCATCACCAAAAAAAAAAAAATTGAGATGCAATGTGCTTTTTTTCTGATTTCGAATGTTTGATTTTTTGTTGTTGTTGTTGTCGTAGTCGTAGTTGTTGTTGTTGTTGTTGTTGATTATTGGCAATCATTCATTTTCGTCTTCATATTTGAAATCGTTATCGTTAGTTTATTTCATTTGATAATTATATATTTTTGCTTTTCTTCTTAAGAATAAAATGTACCAACTTGTTGATGTGTGTGCGTGTGTGTGTGTGTGTGTGTTGTTCGATTGATTGCAACATCTATTTGACTATTTTTTTTTCAGTGGCAATATAGCCCCAACAACACAACCAACGAAAACGAAAAAAAAAAAAAAATAGCCGATGATGATTGAATAGAATAGAAACAATGAGAATTATCTTTGATTGTTTATCGGGTTGTTTAAAAAAAAACCATATTCAAGGATGATGATGACGATGATGATGATGCGACGTTGTTTATGAGAGAAAATTCAAATCAAATTACATAAAGAATCGAGAATACGATTTAAAAAAAAACATGTTCATAATCATTACGTAAACTTTAATGAATTTCATCATCATCATTATATTATTGTTTTTGTATATATTATTCTCGATCATTCATTCGAAAGATTCGAGTGGATTTTTTTTTTTTTTTTTTGATACTAGCAGTCAGTCTAAATAGAAGACGACGCTATATATATAGAATCGAACGCCTGTAAAAAATTTGGCGTCTATATTGACACAATGCACAGACAGACTGAAATCATCGACAAGACACAAACGATGATATTTTTGGTTTCGTGTTTACCATGTATTTGGTAAATTTATTATCAAATAAAATTAATCATCAAACATCATTTACAAATTATGAATTTGACAAAAAAAAATGTTTATTTTGGTCCAAAATGAATATTGTTTTCGTACTTCTAATAATACTGATGATAATATATGTTTACATGCTCAATGTTCATGATAATGAACAAAATGAAATTATTGATGACTGAATCGGTTCGGTTCGGCAATCAATGACATTGAACTGTTTTTATCAAAAAGTGTTTTCTCCATTATTCCGGCTAAATATCGTATAATATATGTGTGTTATTATTATTATTATTATCATTTTTCATGTTCAATGACCTATCAATGTTGGATGTTGTTTTTTTTTCGAATCAATTCAAATACCATATTGTTGAATGATTGGTAAAGAAACAAACAAACAAACAAACAAAAACACCGGAAGAAAGGATAAATTGAACGGAAATCAAAGATATATCCAATGATGATGAACTTTAATTCATAGGATGGATTTTTTCATTTTATTTTACCCACACATTGTTTTTGCCAAAAAAAAATCGACAACAACAACAACAAAAAAAAACCAGAAACGCAAACATCAACACCAAACACACGAACTAAAACTAATCGATCAAATTCATCACCGAAGGAGTTCGCGTTCAATATTAAGGAACAAGAACATAATCGAATAAATATAAAATTTTTTTTTATATAAATCACAAATCATCATGTGGGTGGTGGTGTTGGGTTTTTTTTTCTCTCTGTTTTGTTTTGTTTTGTTTTGTTTGCTTTAATTTTCTTTTCTTTACATGAATATAATGTAGATATAATTTATATAATAAAGACAGGAAACAGAAAAAAAAGAATAGAAATGAAATGAAATTGAAATTGAAATGAATGAAAAAACGAAAAGAATTTTTGGGTAAAAATGTTTCTGTGTGTGTGTGGAAACGGGAAAAAAATTCCAAAGAATTTTGTTTCCAAAAATATTCTGTTTTTTGCCTTCGTTTTTTTACCACTGTGTGTGTGTGTGTGTGTATTAGATTTATCTGTTTTGGATATATATGGTGGAGGTGTTTAATTTCATTTCATTTGGCGGATTACGTTTTATGTGAATGTGTTTGTGGGTGTGTGTGTGTGTGTGTGTGTAAAATATTCTTCACATTTATATAATAAGAATAATATTCTGTGTTTCATTTCATTTGATCAAAAAAAAAAAAAATTTTTTTTTGTTATTATTTGGTATAAATGAGACAGAAAAAAAACCAACAATCAAACAATTGTTGTTGTTCATTTTATTATATATTCTGTGTTTATGTTTTAGAAAAATTCTGTTTTGCTGTTTTGTTTTTGTTTTTAGTGTATTTTGGGACTTGGCTTTTTATTTATAAAGTTGAACAAAAATATGGAAAGCGATAGCAAGAGTGGATCGGTTTCTGATTTGTTTCTTTCTTGTGATGATGGTTTGAAGAATATGGTGTTTTCTTTTTTGTTTTAATTAATTGATGATGATACTTTTTTTGCATATCTTGGTTGCTGTTGTTGTTGTTTGTGCCAATAAAATATGATTTCTATTACAAACACCTAAACCTGACAACAATTATTCTTTTTACGTTCAGCATTATCTGTTGGCAGAATGGTGACTGGTGTAATATTATCCGGTGATGATTGATCGTCAGCATTATCATTACGAATCTGTTTCTGTGATACTATACGATAGATTTCCGTAAGAATCTGTTGAAACGCCGCTTCAACATTGGTCGAATCCAAAGCAGATGTTTCGATAAACGAAAGATTATTTCGTTCTATAGAAATGAAATTTTTAAAAAAACGAAAGATTAAAAAATAAAGAAAAATGATCCATAAATGGATGATGATGATGATGATGACTAACCAGCAAAAGCTCGAGCTTCATCTGTAGGCACGGCACGAAGATGGCGTAGATCACTTTTATTGCCAACAAGCATTATCACAATGTTCTGATCGGCATGATCGCGTAATTCTTTGAGCCATCGTTCAACATTTTCATAGGTCAAATGTTTTGCAATATCATATACCAAAAGTGCACCAACAGCACCACGATAATATGCACTGGTAATTGCACGATACCTTTCCTGTCCGGCAGTATCCCAGATTTGAGCCTTAATTGTTTTATTATCCACTTGAATACTACGCGTTGCAAATTCAACACCAATTGTTGATTTACTTTCCAAATTGAATTCATTACGTGTAAAACGTGATAATAGATTACTTTTGCCAACACCAGAATCACCGATTAAGACCACTGTTTGTGTACGCGTATGTGTGTATGTAATTGGATTTTGGTCATTTTTATATAAAACGCCCAGAAACCCAAAAAAAACAACCATAAATAAATTGGACAAAGAAAAAAAAACAGTAATAAAAATCATAATACATTAAACACAAAACATTTAAAACGTCAAATGGATGATAAGATCAACAAACCTTTAAATAGATAATCATATTCATCATCTTTCGAACTCATTGTTGTTGTTGATTTTTCTTAAAATATAGCCGAAATATAATATAGAAAAAAATTATGATGATCAAAAAAAACTATTCGATGTCAATTGTTGCCGATGATGATGACAGTAGAATCAGAATTTAAAGAAAAAAACAATCCGAAAGAATATTCTTGATTTGTGAATTTAAATTTTCGCTAATGATGATGTTTGTTATTACAACAACAATAATAATGATGATGATGATGATGATTATTCGAACGAAAAATATTTTGGAAACAAGATGCTGCTACACACACCAGAGATATACACGCTTGTTAAATAATGAATGTTGATGATGATTTGACTGTCAACGTTGTTAGAGACGACAATCTTTCTATTATTATTCGGTTCGTTTGAAAAATGAATTTATTCTCTGTAATGGAAAAAAGGGAAAAAATCAGTATTTGACAATGAATGATTTGTGGAAATAATAATCAAAAATCAAGAGATTTCTATCAAAAAAAAAAAAAATCGAATATTTCGTTTCAACCAGCTACTAATAATAACAACCAGAAAAAAACTCACGATGCAAATGAAAACAAACAAAAAAAAACAGAGGAATCTATAGACACTGTGTGATGATAATAAGATATTTATGATGATGATGATGATGATACTGAAATATGGTAAAAAAAAACTCGATAGGATGTGTGTGTGTGTGTTTTGTGGCTGTGTGTGTGTGTGTGTGTGTAATATATACAGTCAACAATCGACAACAACAACAAAAAACAATTTAAATCGAAAAATTAAACAAGCACAAACACCTACTTTATTATCAAACGACAACTAACCAAATCAACCAACCAACAAACGAAACTCATATATATTTTTACCACAAACAACCAGGAAAATTACAATATATAAAACATAACACACAATGGAATTATTAATAAATAAAATTCTCGATCTCGATATGGATGCGTTTTGTGTTGATGAAAAATTTTTAAATTTGATTGTTGAAAAACACACAAATCAAATCAAATTTTGATTTTACAACCAAAAATTCAACAAAACAAAACAAAATAAAACAACCAAAAAAAAAAAAATGTTTTAAAGTGATGCTGAAAAACAAATTATACCACGACCCAAAAGCCAACGAATTCCTCTGCGCCTAGCTTTTTTTTCTTCTTCTTCTATATGTGTGATATCGGCGAGTGTTATAAACACACCACACACACACGAAAAAAAAAAATCGGTCCATCATTTTGGAATACCACTACCAATTTGGTTGATGCACCATACACACACACACACAAAGAAAAGTACCGAGAATATACAGGAACTTTACCGTTTCATATTTTTTTTTTTTTCGATGAATAAAATTCATTTCGGACCAGGAACTATAGTTTTAAACTTTTCACATTTCTATAATTTCGGATAAATTTTTTTAATCTGATTGATGAATAGAGGTTTCACTGTTTGATGTTTTTCTTTCTTTCTTTCATTTTTTTTTTTTGCTTAACTTTTGGCAATCGTCATGCAAACATTTTTTTTTTTGCCATTTATAAAATCGAATTTCATATATGTGACGCCTCCTCCTCTATATTGGGTATTGATGATGATGAATTTTTTTTTAAATATTCCAGACACCAACAGATGTCGCTATCTGTCACAGACTATTTTAACATTGTGGCTAAATGCTGTTAATTTTTTTTTTTACTATCAAAACTCAATTTTTTCCAGTGTGTGTGTGTGTGTGTGTGCTTTTTCTCTTTCTCTTTCATCACACTGCATTGTGTTTCGATTATATATGTGTATATTTCGATTTTATATATATATTCTCTAACCACATTTAATTTTCGAAAATAAATTTTCGTCAAATTTTATCAACATTTTAATTTAAAACGAATTAAAATTCATTCATATAAACAATGGTCGATCTAAATGAAGATTCAATTAATCTACGTGCATTGAAAAGAATCGATGACAACATTCGTGAGATTATTATTTGTGCCGGTCAAGTTGCCGTATATTATTTTGATTTTAATCGTGAAGATTGGGAAAGAAAAAATATTGAAGGTACATTGTTCTTTGTTCGTCGTAGTATTGTACCGGAATATGCATTTGTTGTCATTAATCGTTTGAATACGATTAATTTTCTACAAAAAATCACCAAAGATTTGGAGATTAATGTACAAAGTCCATATCTGATGTATAAGAATATTAATAAAGATATTTATTGTATTTGGTTCTATGATGCAAATCAATGTATTGTATTGAATGAAAATATTGATCAAGTTAGGAATTTGATCAAGAAAACATCGGATACACCATCCAAATTGATGAATGGTCAATCACATACACCGAAATCAAGACAACAATTGGCTTCAACTGGAACAACACCGAACAATAATCAACAACAAGCATCAGAAATTATGAAATTGTTTTTCAACAACAACAATAATAATACGAATACGAATACGAATACGAATGATAATCAACAAAGCCAACAAGGTTCATTGGGCATCTTTGGTGATTCGGCTTTACCACCACCTGATTTGATGAAACAACGATGGTTACAAAATCAATCGACAGAAAATCATATTGACAATGTATCTTCTGAACAACAACAACAACAACAAAAATCGGATGATGATTTGGTGAAACCAATAGCACAACGTAGAAGTGTTAATCTTAAAGAATTGTTTGAATCACAATTGGTTTTACAAGAAACATCTAACACTTCAATGAAAGAAAATTCTCAACATATTGCTGCTGATGACAATAATTCTCAATCGTTGATCGATAAACCACAATCATCGACACCGAAAACAGTTAAACAAACACCAAACAAAAACGAATTATTAATGTCATCATCACCATCAATGAATTCGGCTACATTTATGACTGATGATTTGAAGAAAAAAAGTTTGACATCACTTCCAACATCAAATGCAAATCCTTCATCATCAAATTCAATGTCGGATGGGATTTACACAGCAAAACCTCAACAATTGATTGGAGACGATATTCTTCAGGATGAACCACAACAAATAATGCATAATGTGATCCCAGCCATTCATCCATCACTTTTTCCTATTCCAATGAATTTTGAACCTGGTTTTCAGCAGGCATTACTACCAGCATTTCATGCACAACCACCCCCACAACCACCACTTCCACAACAGGTATCAAACCATCATCATTTGGCTAATTGTATTACGAATGTATTCGAAATTCAACAAGACCATAATCCCATAATCGGACATCAGCAGCAGCAGCAACAACAACCCATTACACAGAATACAGGACGAACATCAATTTCAAAACCGGATATGTATCTAACAATGGAACAATTGAAAAAGGCATTAATTCATTGTTTAACAAATGATGCCGATTTTCTTCATGCTATTCATACTGCATATGTGGAAAATATCAAAAAATGAATGAAATTTTTCCAATCATCCAACTCATATCCATATAATAATGAATGAGATGATGATGATCATCATCATCATCAATTCAATTTAATCATCCAATTCTATAGAAATTTATACACAACATTCAGCAGGAAAACAAAAACACATCAAAAAAACTTATGATATAATTTACGTTTTTGTAGAATACACACACACACACAAACACATACCCCCTCATCAGTTGATAAACAAAACAAAACAAAAAAAAATCCATAACCAAATTCTTTTTCAAATAGTTCAGATTTTTAAAAAAAAAATTACATTTACATTTATTGATGAAAAAATAATAAAAATTTAAGATGTTTTTGGTTTGACACTGAAAAATCCACTTGAATTACTAAAATATTTAGCATTAGCTTCATTCACTTTTTTTTCAGCTGCCAATGGATTATTTATTTCTAGACCTTGTTTCGGTGTAAATGCTATTGTTGATGCTGTACCGGAAACCTGTTTACGAACGGTAGTTGTTCCACCAAACACCTGTTGATGACGTTGTAGATTTTTTTGCAATGTTTTCGATATACGAACTTTTGTTTTTTCATCAATCTGTGGTCCACGAATTTTACCGCTACCAGATTTACCCATCTGGCCAGTAGTGAATCCTAAATCATTTTGATAAGCATCATCTTCAATTTCGGCAAAATTCAATCGATTTGCTTGTTTTCGTAAATCAGTAATTACTAAACGTTCTTTTAATTTACGAACACGTTTACCGCCACGTTTTTTCTTCGGTGTATCAATTGGTGCTGGTAATGGTTTCACCTGTTTCACTGGTGGTGGTTCTTGTAGTTTATCCAAAGCTCGTTCAACTTCTTCACGAAATTTTTCACCCATTGATCCATCTGGATATGAATGAACAGCATCAGCACGTGCAGCTAATGTAGATTTATTTGCCACTAATGTAGCCGCTTTTTTACGTAAATCTGGTGGCGAACTTTGAACAATTTCTGATTGAAATACTAATCCTGAATGAGGCATTATAACGGTGGTGGAAAATCCCGATAAAGTTTTACGTGTAGATCCCAATGATTTTAAATTACATGATGGAATTTTCGATAGACTGGTCAATCCGCCAGCTAAACCGATTAATTTGGCCGCAATAGAAGCACCAATGATGACAGTCAAATTTGGTGCAATAAATGTCATTCTCGATTCGACAAATTCATATATCAACATTTTACATTCATTCAATTCGATAGCAACATCACAAGCATCAATTATATAGCTTAATTCTTCTTCTAACAGCATTGATCCTTGAGTAGTGGAAGCTGTTACACTAACCACCATAATTGTAGCTTGTGTAAGGAATTCTTGAAGTTTTTCATTATTTTTCACTTTTTCCAAATTATTTGCCAATTCTTTGACTGTCATCAAATAATCCATTGGATTCGGTACTAATGATTCTAGTTCAGGAAAACGTTTGGAATATTTATCGCGAACAAATTTATGACAAATATTGACATCATTATCAATTTGTACGGCCATATTATTGGCATCCACTACTAATTTATATTCAGGATGTGATTCAATTGGACCATCAATCTGACATTTGTTGAATTTGACTGAAAATAAAATAAATTTTGATATAAATTCAAATTATTTATGCAAACAAATAAATAAATAAATTTTTCAATTCAAATTAATACCATCATTCGATTGTCGACTATTTATTTCGGCCATTATCCGTTTAAGTTCATCACTACCAATGATTTTTGTTAATGAACGAACCGATGAATATTGTTTTTGTGTTGATTCAAAATTTGTTTCATTTGGAACAACTTCCATTGATTCCAAATTAGATTGTTCATCATCATCGAAAACTTCATCATCTTCTAAATCGGCTAACAATTCATCGGCTAAAGACATTTTTGAAACACTATATAGTGTGCAAAAAAAAAACTACAAATTACCGGCAACAACAATGAAAAAAACCAAATGATCAAACCTGATGCAAAAACTATTCGAAATTTCATACAATGAAAGTTAATCATAAATTTTTTTTTGGTGGCGCCATCTAGTCACCAGAATATCTACTATATATAGGTAAAATTAAAATCGTTTTCTGCGACTTTGCTATGTGGTGAATTGGCTGTGTGTACTCCTTTCTAGTAATTGCTCTAACTCTTCTTCTTCTGTTTCCAGCTGTTCAACAGATTCCATAGGTAAATTTGATGTTTTCAAACCCAATTTCATTCTTGTTCCGAATAAAGCTTCATAGGGAGTTTGCTTTATATCCTCATGAAAAGCTCTATTTTTCATCAGTTGAACATATTTTAAACCTTCTGACCACTTGGTTGTTTGGTTAGCGATAAGCCAGGTTGTAAGCATATTTTGAACATCTTGATTCGCTTGCTCTATCGAGCCCTCTGGCTTTGAGAATGGCAAGGCTTCCCGTGTATTATTTTCACACCATCCCACATATTTGTTAATTCTTGGATAATTTTATTTGCAAACTCCCTACCATTATCACATTGGAGAATGGATGGGGCTCCCAAAAGAGTGAAAATGTCCATAAGTTGTTTTGCTACTTCTGACGCAGTTTTTGTTTTTAGTGGACGCAATACAACAAATTTGGTTAAATGATCTTGATAATTTAAAATAAATTTAAATTCATTATCTGGTTGTGTCTGTAAATCTATAAGATCCACTTGACATCTAGAATTCATTTCATTCGTCAAAATTGGTTCCATCACAATTCCTTTTTTCTTGCCTTTTGCCTTTTTTTGACATGCTTCACATAAAGATAAATACAACATAATTGCTTCAATAGTAATGTTGTTGTATTTGTTATTAATTTCTTTCAATAATCTGTTTCGGCCACCATGGCCAGTTGCCAAATGAGTATCGTGTATAATTCCATAAGTTTCTTCAATTTTTACAAAATATTTTATACTACCCCTTCTTTAAAAGGGGTTATTAATTTTTCTTTCTTCCCTACCATTATTATATCGTATCTTTTCAGCCGGCGGTAATCTACGTCATTTTTATTCTTTTCTTTTAATTTTGCTGCCTTTACTTCCAATAATATTTTTTCATATTGATGTTGGTTTAAATAAACATTATTTTTGTTTTTTTGTGATACAATCTGTTCTAGTTGGTTTTTAAATTTTTCTTTTTGTTCCATTTTGTTTTTTTAAAAATTTTAACTAGAAAAAAATATTTTTTTGTAGAAAAATTAAAATTTTAAATCTATATAATTTATGATATAATTTTAACTTACCTGAGTCTTATTTCTCTGAATATCTTCTTAAATTATATCCAGAATTCTTCAGTACTATATATGGCATTAATTTGTAAAATGTAGTTTTATTGTAAAAACGCCAATTGTATCATTTTTATTGAAATGTGTAACGTGAAATAGCAGCGTCTAACATCAATTTTGCATTTGTTTTGAAAATCTTGTTCTAAGATCTAGAAAAAAAATTATGGTTTATTCTGTGCCATTTTTACATCGAGAAAATGACAAGTCCAACCTACGACCAGTTCAGAATCGAGAAAATAAATCGAAATTCATTCATTCATTATTCGTCGAAATCATCATGACATTATTTTCGCTATTAAAATGCTATTATCATTGATTTTAAGATTTTTCTACATTATCATTACATTGATCATTATTGTTTATGTGAAATCCGTCAAACAATTCGATGTCGGACATTATCTTGATCCATTTGATTCACAGTAAGTTTTTTTTGAATTGAATTTTAAATTTTAAAATTTAATGTAATGTAATTTTTTTCCCCAAAAAAAAAGTCCACGACTTTTAATGAAAAATGGACATCTTGTCCTATTGACTGGCCGTAATAAAGATATCGTTTTTCGTTCATCCGGTTCTGGACAAATACGAATAAATGGAAATGATTTATTGGCAACAAAACTTCAATCCATTAATCAAGAATTGGATCCAATCAATTCGAATACAAATGATATTGTTGCACAGCAAAATTCTTCCTTTGATCGTTTGGTGGATCGAAAACTTTCAATTGTTGAAACAAGAATCAGTTCACGTATTGATGAACTTACACAACGTTTAAATGATACGATTATTTTTCAAAAAAAAATATTTGGTCGAAAACAATTGTTTTTATTTTATTTAAATCAAAAACAAGTACATTCACACATCACTGACGTCATTTTTGGCTTGTATGGATGGAATTGGTTTAAAAAAACTGTCAAGTGTTGCTTGTCTAGCTTTTTTGTCCATTTCATTTTTTAATGATTTGTAGCAACTAATGAGTGAATCCTGTCCTTGAGAAAATTTAGCGCTACGCTCTTCGTCAGGATCGTTTTTGATGATGATGTTTATTGCTTGTTCAATATGGGAAAAAGCATTTGACAAATTTTTTGATGTTAGCTTTTTTGATACCACAGGCTCTGATTCTGTCTCATCACTAAATTGTGGTTCGGTTTGCAACTGAATGAGTTCCTCATATGAAAGAGATTCCCTATCAGCTTCAAGAAGATCAGTCACATCACCTCTCAATTTCAAATTACGTAAATTGAATCGATTTTTAAATTTTTCAAACCATCCTCGGCTTGCTTGGAATGTGATATCTTTAACAGATTCATCGGTTTGGTCATTCTTCAAATTTTCGAAAATGCTTAAAGCTTTTTGCTGTATAGTCATTTGATTCATTGGTATTTTACGTTTGTTATTGTCTTGAATCCATATAAACAATAGTTTTTCCATTTTTTCAATAACCCAGTATCGTTGTCGGGTTAATCTCGCGACATTTGTATGTGCAGCAGATTGCGAATATGCTTTGATTTCTTCTTTTTTATCACGAATAGTTTGAATGGTAGATTTTGCAAGCCCCATTGCCTTGCAAATTTCAACAATTTTCTCTCTAGCTTCTATACGACGTAATACTTCGAGTTTTGTTTCGAGCGTGATTGATTTTCGGCATCTTTTAATCGAAGTCGATAATTGTACTTTTGGCATTTTGTCTAAAAAATCACAAAACAAGTCAACAATGATCATCGAAGTGAGCAACAGTGAACTTTATTCGAATAGAAATTACATTTACATTTACATTTTACATTTTACATTGTCTTATTATTATACCAGCCCGAGAACAGGCGCTTCGCGCCTGTCCTGGTCTGGCCCTGCGGGGCTGCTCTTTGACGGTCAATATAACTGGATACCCGCAGGGGTTGGTATCCAGTCATGACTCAATATAGCTGGATACCCGCAGATTGCTTGCAAAAGGTATCATGTAGCTATTTCGAAAATCTCCCCAAAGATGATTAATTTACCACCAAAAACTTCTTGCGACTGCATGAGATCTTTGAGCAATAAGTCAATTATGTCACATGAATCGACATCACTATTACAATACTCACTTTTCAAACTTATAATCATTACTCATCAAATACTCATATACATTCACACAAAATGAAAATCACGTGGTCGCTATCAAAATTCGAATTCGACGATTCGAACTCTTTCTATGTTCTATTGAATGACTGCACCATCTATGGCAGGGTTGGCCAACGTGCGCCCCCTGTTCAATAGAGCTCTGTGGGAAATGTGGCTCGCGAGCCGCAGATTGGCCACCCCGGATCTATGGGATGCAAAATCTGCAGCAAAGTGTGCGGAGCTAGAACAATGAAAAAAAGCTTTGTCAAAGCTACATAACACAGAATGCGTTTCTTTGGAAGCGACTTCTACTTCTGAGCTGGACGAACTGTTCAGCGGCATTCAAAAGTTTTCCCGCATTGAGTAGCTCACTGAAAATAAGTAGGAATTTTCGGCTCAGCTTCGCCGCAGTTTACAGACATCCTTAGCTACTATATGCTGAATAGATTGGCAACATAATTGAAGAGAGAGCCGTTATATGCCGTATAAATAGACATTTACCATTTGCTCTTTCGACGACTTTGTAATTTTATATAGCAAAAAAATTTTGAGCAAACAAACAAAAATTACAAAGCTAAAAATAGTACCATATATCGTAAAAGGATGAAATTTAAAAAAATTTCAACCTTGAAACACACAAATGTTGCAACAACAACGACGAAAAAAAAAAAAATTTTTCACATTCAAAGAATTATTTTAATAATAATAATCAAAATCATTGATAATCGATAATAATGAATAAATCATGAAATGAAATATAGAAAGAAAGTATTGCTGCTGTGTGTGGATTTTTGGACATTTTTTTTTTTTTTTTTTTTTGACAAACAAACTATAATTTAGAAATGAATGAAATGAAATGAAATGAAAAATAAAAGAAAAAAAAACTAAAAGGGAATGTATATCAATTTATCAATCAAATCGGTATTAATCAATAATCGATAAAACTTTGAAATTTAAATGGTATCAAACAATAAAAATAGATTATATATACGATTATAATGGTTGATGTGATGTGATTATGTAATGAAATGAAAGAAAGTAAGAAAAAACAATGTTGTGTCATGTGTTTTTTTTTGTCCTGATAAGGGGGTGGTGGTGGTAGAATTTCCGGTTAACCAAAAAAAAAAAAACAATTTCTGTTTTTTTTAAGTGCTGAAAAGATGAAAAAAAAACAATATCAGATTAACAGAATAGTGCTTGAATTATTAAATGGATGATCAAGTTTTTTCATTGATGTGTTTGTTTTGGTGTGTGTGTGTGTGTATGTGTTTTTTTTTGTCGTGGAGATAAAAACAACAGCCTTACTCATCTAATAAAAGAATTAGGCTTCATTATATATATATTCTGATGACGACGATTTAACTTTACTATTATTAAAGATATTATGTATGTATGTCTTTTATCGATGACCATTATCTTTTTGTTTATCCAAAAATATCATATGCCATATAGACCATATCATCGGATCCATTTGCCGGTATTGCTGGATGATCGGGTGGCAACAAAACGAAGCCGATAAAATTGAACAAACGTATCATGACGTCTATGTTTAATAGAATCAAAAAAAAAAATAAGTTATGATTAGATTATGTCCGAATAAAAAAAAAGTTTTTGTTTATCACTATACTATCATATTATATTACTTACTTCGATCAGGATTTTGTTTATCCAAATACACGACAACCTTTTTGCAATGCAATTCCTCTTCAGCGAATTCTAGCAAAGCGATAAACGCTTCTTTCGAATTTCCTGTCGGTGGTTGCGAAATGTACACATAGAGAATTTCGTTGATTAACACCGATTCCCATTGTACTTCAATCGAATCCAGCAATGTTATCTTGACAGTAATTTTAATTGGTTCTTTAATTGAATGTTTACTTAGCTCATCGATCGGCAATTGAATTGATGATGGAGGTGTTTGACCGAAAAATTTACTGCTGTTATTGAATAATGGACTGCCGTTGCTAATATTGTTGTTGAATGGATGGCTAAAGATTCTATTAATATTTATTGGGGGGCTGTTGCTGCTTTCGTCCACGACCGTAATGGATGTTTGATTTTGAATAGGTGGAGCTGTGATATTCCCGTTAGGGACATCAGGAATACCTGCAATAATATCATGAAGATTATGGTTGCCATGATTATTAAGAAAATGATGTTGATGATGATGATGATTGGGATATAAAAACAAAACAGACATTGAGAAATTTTATTATCATCATCATTCAATTTGATACAGCAAAAAAAAAAATTATATAATAAAATTATAGCCGAATTGTTATTGTCGTCGATGATAATTTATCTAATGGTATATCATTGAATGATTTACGTCATTTATATAATATATACTACCATATATTATCATTATTATTGTGGCAAACAAAAAACAACAACACAATCGACAACAGAATAAAAAGAAAAAAAAATGTATTACTTACCACAGCGTTCCTGTGCCGAGCGAGACGCAAAAATGTCTCAAAGGAACGTATCCTTCGAGAGAATCACTACTAAAAATATAAAACAAAACAAAAAAAAAAACAATTATTATTCGAGAACAACAAACACAAATTCATTCAAGATAAAAATGAAATAAAATATCAAAGAAAAAGCTGAATAAAACATTTTCATTCTTTGACAAATCACAATTGTTTCACATCACGCAAAAACATTCAAATTCAATTTGGCATTGTCTCAAAAAGAAAAAAACAAATGAAAAAATTCACACAACACCATCATCAAAATCATTTCATAATTTACGTCATCAAAACAATAAAGATAATTACGAATGATGATGTGTTTGTGTATACGAGTTTATTATCATGACAAATATTGAAAAACAAACATTTAGATCCGATCGGATATATGAATGTGTATTATAATCATCTAATCGATCATAGTCAAAATCATGTGTTTGTTTTGTAAAAGAAAAAATCAATCATCAATCAATCAATTATATAATCTCTATATTACTACAAAAAATGATGAGGGGTCAAAGTCATTTTGGACGATTAATTCAAAAAAAAAAAAATAAACACACACACGCACAAATTCATTTTTCAATTCGATTAAAATGTTTGTTCAATACAAAGTTCATCATTCTTTTTGTTCTTTATCAACATAAAAAAAAATTGTACTTTGAATTCCATAATAATAATCAATTAAAAATCATCCATCATTCGACCTTCAAAATTGATAAACAAAAACTCTGTCTATTTGTTGGACTATGATTTTTGTCTTTTCTATATCCTGTTTTTCAACATTCGATTTCTTTCATTATTATACTACTATACTCAAGAAAAAAATCATATGATAATTGGAGAGAGAGAGGAGAGGATTTTTGGTTTTCATTCTCATTCATAAACCTAAATAAATATTTGCCAATAAGTATATATAATCAATAGACAACATATAGATGAAATTATCATTATGAAATTTACTGAGAAAAAAAAAACATTTCTTTATCTTTATCTCGAAAAAAATGGATCGATAATCAAAGGAAAAAAAAATGTGCACAGACACACCATAATATGACTACTACTAATATATCAATGTGGAAAACCAGTCGATTGACGACGAGTAATGATGGTATATGTGCAATAACAACAAAAATAAATTCTCAAAGAAATCTTGTTTCGAATGAATAACAAAAAAAAAGAAGTACCTCCAAAAGCAAACAGAGAGGTATATGAGAGGATCATGAGATTCATTCGAATCTTATGATTTAGACAACAAATGAAAAAAAAAATTCGAATTTTCAGCATTTAACCCTCCACCACACAATATCGATTGTATCATAAAAAAATCAATATTTAAACACAAAACAAAAAACTTACCTCAATTCATAAAGGTTACTACTACAATTACTCATTAATGCTGGCATCTTTATATTTTCGTCGTCGTCTTGATTACTATTACAACTGGGCTTTGAGTCGGATAAAATTGCTTGAAAACCTATTTTAAGGGGTTTGAAAATGAAAAAAAAAAATTTTGAGATTTAAATCAACAAAATCAATCAATAATAATAATGATAATTAAATGGATATTTATAACGGGTTAAAAATGGAAATCAATATTGTTTGTATAACAACTGGTAGCGGTCAAACATAAGACATTATCATCACACACACACACATACAAACACACGTACATTGATCCAAAGAAAAAAAAATTAAGAAAAAGATTTTGAAAGTCAAAAACAAAACAAAACAAAAATATACTTACAAGTCGTACTCATACCGAATTTATTGAATACAAAACAAAGAATGACGCATCGGATTCAAAAATGCACAATTTATAAGTTGGAAAAAAAGCGACACATATACACAAAGTGATAGAAAAACGAGCAGCGATTTATCAGTGTGTGTGTGTATAGCAGCATCAGCAAAAATGAGCATGAGCAACAACAACAACAACAACAACAAAAAAATTTCCCATGGCAACACTTTAAAAAAAAAACCAAAAACATTGGCGTCAAATGTTGATGATGGGAGATGATGATTTTTCTATAGCTGGTTCTGTTTGCTTTGCTGTAAATCTTTTTCTTTTTTACGGATACCTTTTTTGTTATTGTTGTTGTTGTTGTTGTTGTTATTATTTATTGGAGCCAAGATCATACGATTCAAGTATCACTTTTTAAAAGAATCACATGTGTGTTTTGTGTCGAAATAGTCGATGTTTTGGTTTGTTTGTTTATGTAAATTTTGTGTTATTTTTTTTTTGAATTTTCATATTTTTTTTTTGGTTTACGAAAAAAAAAAATAATAATTTCCAAACATGGCTGAACGTAAAGCTACAAATAAATATTATCCACCCGATTGGAATCCATCAAAAGGATCGATCAATAAATATCGTGGTAGTCATCCATTACGTGAACGTGCAAGAAAACTTGATCAAGGAATACTTATAATTCGTTTTGAATTACCATTTAATATATGGTGTGATGGATGTAATAATCATGTTGGTATGGGTGTTCGTTATAATGCACAAAAATCCAAAATCGGGATGTATTATACAACACCATTGTATAAATTTCGTATGAAATGTCATCTATGTGATAATCATTTTGAGATACAAAATGATCCAAAAAATCTGGATTATATCATATTGAATGGTGCACGCCGTCAAGAAAATCGTTGGGATCCATTGGAAAATGAACAGATTGATGTGGATAAAAATGTGTCGAAAAAAATCAAAACCGATCCAATGTTTAAATTGGAAAATGAAACAATGGATAAGAGAAAAGCTACGGAAAATAAAAATGTTATTGAAAATCTGGAACAATTTCAAACCCGATGGAAAGATGATTATTCAATCAATTGTTCATTACGTCGAACATTTCGTACGAAACGTAATGAATTGAAAACACGTGCCAATAATGATGTTTCATTGTTACAAAAATCATCACTACCAATCACAATGCATCTGGTATCCGAATGTGAACAAGATAATAAAATGGCCAAATTAATGAAATTACAATCAAAAGAAACACCTGAACAACAAAAACTACTTAAACGTAAACAAATATTGAATCAATCAATTTTTGGCATTACGCCTAAATATCCAAAATGTTCATTGTCATTGGAAAAACCGAAACAAACAAATCTGTCGTCGTCATTGTCGTCTATGACCGATATGGTTAAATTGAAAACCACCATTAATACATCATCATCAACGACAATGATGAAACCACAGTGTTCCATATCGTCCATTGTCAATTACAATGAATCAACCGATGATGATGGTGATTAGATTAGAAATTGAAAAATAAAACATAATCGATCATTTTGTGTGTAAATAAATAAATAAAAAACCGATGAGATCTGGTCACAAATTTTCAAATAACCAAAAATTTCTCAAGCAAAAAAAGAAAAATACCCACCAACCAAACCATCATCACATGTAACAAAAACGTAAATCTCAGCAAAGCAGATTGTCGAAAAAAAATCATGTGATCATCGAGTGTGTGTGTGTGTGTGCGAGAGAGAGATAGTTATGATCAAATCATGAATGAAATGAAATGAATGAATGAATGGAAATAAAAAATAGTCATGTGATAGTAGATTTCGCTTGCCAGATTAGTAAAAGTATTTGTATATTGAAAAAAATTGGAAAGATATAAATAAAAAAAAATGTCAACAACAACAACAAAAAAAAGACGAGAATCAAAAAAGTAATGTAGTTGCCACTAGAAAAAAAAATTATTCAATTAGCCAAATTGGTAGCCATTGATGATGATGATGATGATGATGTTATGGTCGTCGATAATGTTGTTACTGGTGTCGCCGTCGTCGTCGTGGTTGTTGTCAATCCCAATGATGATGATGATGATGATGATGTGGATGTTGATGTTGATGTTGGTTGATGATGTTTTCTTATATGCAAAGCTAGATTATGTTTCCAATATGATGCATAATTACAATCATTATATGTACAACGAAAATTTTTCGGACCATGTAATGCCATATGTTGTTTCATGGCCACTTTATATGCAAATGCTTTACCTTTGATTTGGGTGATTAGAAAAAAAAAAAAAATGGTCATCAAATTTGTTGATTTTTGTTTTGTTTTGTTTTGTTTTGTTCAACTTACCACAATGTTGACAAACATGTCTATAACCATTTGGATTAATCGATTGTAATGTTGTTGATGTTTTTTTTGTTCCATTATTATTCTGACCATTCGTTGTTACAATAAGACCGGATTTTCGTGTTCGTTTGACAGTTTGACTTATGCCATTATTATTATTATTATTATTATTAGAATTGATTTTTATATTAGGCACAGTTATCACCGGAATTTGATCAAATTGTTGTTGTTGTTGTTGTTGTTGTGTAACCACATTGTTGTTTATTAAAGCTTGATGTTGTTGAGCATGTTTTTGCATATCGGTTAAATTATCAAATCCAGCATCACAATATGTACAACGGAATTCTAATTTTCCATGTTGTTGTTGTTGTTGTTGTTGTAATTGTTGCTGCTGATGGACATTATTATTATTATTATTATGTACACGTTTTTCATGAACATTTCGAGAACTTGTTTGTGTAAATTTCCTATTACAACCATTTATTGAACAAATATATGGCCGATCACCAGTATGGCTACGTTTATGTGATGCTAAATAATGTTTATTGAAATATTTACCACAATATTCACAAATTTCTAATTTTTTACTATTGGCAGCGATATTATTTGTTGTTGTTGTTGTTGCTGCTGCTGCTGCTGCTGTTGTTGTTGTTATTATTGCCACTGTATTATTATTGGCCATAATTGGATATGTTGAATTATTGTTATTCTGATGATTATATTGTTCTAAATCTTCTAATACCATTTTTGGAACAAATATACTACCACCACCACCACCACCACCACCGACACTATCATCATTCATTTTAATTTCAGTTGATAAATCTTTTTTAAAATATTCTTGACTAATAATTTCCTGTGCATTTGTAAAATCACCACTATGATAAACAACAACAGTATGCTGCTGTGGTTGCAATTGTTGTTGCTGCTGTTGCTGCTGATTCTGTATGTTCGATGATTCCAATTGTTGAAATGTTTGTGCAGTATTTTTTGGCGATGATGAATCAACCAATGAAGTTGATAATAATTTTAAATGTTCTTTGAATAAATTTCCTTCGTTATCTATTAGTTAAAATTAAGAGAAGAAAAAAAAAATTGAAATTAATTCCATCATTTGGTTGTTTTGTTACTTACCTGATATTCTTGTATGTGATGATTGAATGGATTCGGTGAGAAATTGAATTTGTTTATCATATTTCAGTATATTTGTTTCATATGATGATTTTTCGGTATAATAATTTGCATATAGTACATTTTCTTTCGATACTGATATCATTTTCTCAACCATATTCCTTAAATGATTTAAATATTTCAATATTTCCACATGTCTTTGTGTTAGAATTTTACATAATTCTTTATAATTTTGTTGTTGATCCATTAGTAATTTATTTTCTGATTCAAGAAAATTTATCTTATTCGTTACATTAGCCATGGTTTTTTTTTGCTTGAACAAATAAAATTCGATGATGATGATATAGAATGATGATGAGAATATAATACACACTTACACCGTTTCGTGTAAAGATTCGAATGAGATTAAAAAAAAAAATTCATTCAAATATGACGAACAACCATGGCCAAACACTATGAAAAAAAAAATCGAATATAGAATTTTCAAATTCACAACAACATAATTCAATTCAGAGATTCAGATTCAATTAGAATTTGAAAATTATTCTTCGTGTTTTTTGTTCACCACAAATTCAATAATTGTTAATGAATTGAATATAGATCAATAACAACAACAACAACAACAAATTCGATGATGATGATCCATTTCATTGTAGCGATTTCATTTTTCATGTTTGTTGTTGTTGTTGTTGTTGTGGTTTTGATGATATAATAATGATCAACCGATTGCAAGTACCAAAAAAAAAAAAATTTTCTTTAAAAAACTATTATAAATAGACAAAATTAGACACAACAACAACAACAACAACGATAATAATATATTGAATTGAATTGAATTGAATAAATGAATACACATCCATCCATCATATATAAACATACATACATATATAATAAACACACACATATATGGAAAGTCTCCTCGAGTTGTTGTTGTTGTTGTTGTTGTAGTTGTGGTATATATAAATATCAAATGTATATGTTATATATAGATGTATGAATGGTATGTGTGTGTGTGGATGTGCATGTATTATATTATGCTGATATATACAGTGATAACTCGCTTAAATATTGGTTAATCATCGTTTCCAAGAATGGCCAACAATCTTATACATCATATAGATAGATACCACTGTATATAAATATATATGGATGGATGGATGGATCCATTAGTGTGTAAATACGTTGTATATATATACATTGATGATGATGATTTAGGTGTGTGTGTGTGTGTGTGATATGGAAATTTTTCGGTTTTTTTTTCATTTCATTTATTTTTGTTGTTGATTGAACAGATTTATAATTAGAAATTTTTTTTTTAGCATTACGTTGTTGTTGTTTGTTGTTGGATGTGTAGAAAATCATAGAAAAAAAACTCATCCCACACTTATAATATAACGAATGTTTGGTTTTAAAAAATAAAAAATAAAAATCTAACATTTGTGTGTTATATAAAAATAAAAATAAAATGTATATATTCACAGTGTATACACAATATATACAAATTCAATTTTTTATTTATTCGCGCCACATATAATGATTAACTTGCATTGTATGAATTTGAATCGAGTCATTCAATGTGTGTCTATTTATTTTTCGAATAATTTTTTCGTCCAAAAAAAAATTATGGCTACTGTTGATGATAATGACAGCGATTCAAAAATGGACAATGAATCAAATTCTGAATTACAGAATTCTGAAATAAAAGAAGAATCGGCTAAAATAATACTTCCTGAACCATTGACAAAACTTTCACCACCATTGAATGTTTATTTTCTTGAACAAATGAAAAATGGTTTATCGATCTCAAATATTTCGATCATTAAAAATCGGCTAATTTTTGGCCGTGCACGTGACTGTGATATTCCTATGGATCATCCATCAATTTCTCGTTATCATGCCGCTTTATTATGGGCACCAAAGAATGATCAGGAATTTGAAAATGGTTAGTTTACATCTAAATTTTGTTTTTTTTTTCAATTTATTCATTGGAATTTTCTTTTTCTACTCAACACAGGAACAAACAATGAATCTTTTTGGTATTTGATAGACTGTGGATCAACTCATGGAACTATTTGTAATAAAAAATCTATTGATCCTGGAAAAATGATCAAAATAACTCCCAATAATAATTTGTTTCGATTTGGTGCTTCCACTCGTTTATTCACATTGGGTTCTCGTGATGAATATGATGATTCGGACAATTCAAATGACGAAGTGATACAACAACCGAAACAAATGGTACACGAAGATAGCGATGCCTGTACATGGGGAATGTCATTAACAGATTGTAATGATGAAGATGAAGAAACTGGCGATAGTATGGCCCTTAAATCTATTATAGCGGCAATGAAAGATGGCCAATCATCGCTACAATTGGCCAATGAAAATGTCTATTCAGATAATCCATATAAATGTATTCAACAATGGTTTGAACATGAAGGATATGATTTTGATTACAAAATTGATTCGATTCATAATAAATTCAAATGTACATTCGAACTTCCTATCGATGGTCAATGGATCCCCGTTGAAGGTCAATTGATGACCAAGAAAAAAGAAGCAATCACCGATGCCTGTCTTCGCTGTTGTAAATTACTCGATCAAGCTAGTTTATTGTTTGCATGGCAACGAAAAGATTCGGCTAGAGAAAAAGCTCGAAAAAAATTCTATGATGATGATGATGATGATGATGATCTTCTGGATGAAACGATCAAATCGAAAAACAAAAAATTGAAAAAAGATACCGAAAAAGTAGAAAATTATGATTCTCTCAATGCTAAATGGAAAGAAATTAATACCGAATTATGTCAGCTTAAAATTCGTTTGGCCACCATTGGGCTAGAACCAGGCGTCACACCAGAAATTCCGGAAAACTTGACCGATTCACTAGATGTTTTCATGAATTCATTAAATCAAAAGAAATATGGCCTGACTATGAATGAAAAAATTGAAAAATCCAATTTAAAGATGAAAATCAAACAACTTGAACAAGAACAGACAAAAATAGAAAAACTGATTCAACTAGCTAAACCAACTGAAATTATTATGAAAAATTTGACCACTAAAACAGAACCAATAATAGAACGATCTTCTAGCTCAAAAAATGAAGACGAAATTAAAATTGAAAAAAAGAAACCGGAAAAATCGATAACCGAAATATCGAATGAAAAATTTATTGAATCCTCTACGAATCGAATGGCAGACAACAATGATAAATGTGAAACAACCATACAACAGAATTCTCAATCTATGAATTCTAAGAAAAACTATAAAGAAATTCGTAAAATTCGTCAAGAATCAATAATCGAAGCTATTAGAAAAGAGAAACGTTTAGAAAAACAACAACAACACCAACAACAGCAGCAGCAATCGATTGAACCGGATGATGATTTTGTTGATTGGATTCCACTTGATAATCAAACTGGTGATGGTCGTACACATTTAAATGAAAAATTTGGTTATTGAAAATCATCTGACAATTATCATCATTTCATCTTATTTTATATTCCCGTTTTTTGTTTCTATCGATAACACTGTTAATTACGATTTTCTCGGTTCAGAAACTAGACAAATTGCTTCAACAATCAATTGGATTGGTTCATTATTGCAAAGGAACAACGATTTTTTTTGGAAGGAATACGAGTGTCATGTTGATGCTGTTGTTAGTTGTACTCGTCAAGCAGCTGAATCCAGTTTTGAGTCTCTCAAAAAAAAAAAAAAATTTTTCTCTCTTTCTTGATTCGAATCCGTACTCAGTTATTATTACTTTATTATATATATAAGCAACAAACATTTTGTTTATTATTTTGTTGGAGAAAAAAAAACTTGACATGTAAAAGAAAATTTTGAAAAACAACAATTCAATTCAATTCAATTCAATGGCCATTGGCCAAACTGTCATCATTTGTAAATTGGTGAATTATCGATTTTGAAAATTATAATAAAAAAATGAACCTACACACTCATCATCATCACTTGATAAATTGATGATTTGATTTGATTTGAACTTTTATCTTTATTGTGCAAGTGTGTGTGTGTGTGTGTGTGTGTGTGTGTGTACGCGTTCATTTTCAATGATGATTTGATTTGTGATTTGAAAGTGATTTGGTTGATGAGTTTTGTTTTTTTTTCTATTCATATTTGTCAATCATCATCATCATCATGATCGAAATTTTCAATCGAATCAATCATCTACAATAAAAAAAACAACAACAACAACAAGAAAACCTTTCAATTGTGTGTGTGTGTTCATGTAAATCTCTGCAGGTGAAAAAAAATTTTTTGTGTGCATTTTTTAATATAGAACAAATGACAACATCCAAACAAAACAAAACAAAAAAAAATTCAAAATCTTCAGCCCTTCCATTTCATTCCGCACACACACACACACAAATCATGTAAGTTGAAAGATCAAAGTCATCATCATCATCATCATCGAATTGTTCTCGAAAAAAAAAATTTATTGTTCAACTTTTTTATCTTCTGTGTGTGTGTGTATGTGCATTTGTTCCACCATTATCTCTTTGTTCCATATTGTTAAAGGTCTTTTTTGCTCTCTCTATTTCGCTTTCCTGAGTCATCACATATATCTCTGGATCATGGATCTTAATTTTCTTCTGCAACAACAATTGTCTGGAGAACAATGATAATTAGTCATTTTTTTTTCTTCTTCTTCTTTGTTGTTACTTTGTTGTTATCTCTAGTTCAATATGGTTGTAGTTTGAAGAAGAAAAAAAAATTTTTTTTTCCATTCGATAAGGTTCGTTTTTTTTTGCTGTTGTCTTTGTTCTCAAACACACACACACACACACACACACAAGTTACCTGTATCTTTTTTCACAGTTTCTGGACGCAATACACACACACATATACAAAGTAAATAATAAGTGATTTATGTATGTATGATGATAATGATTGACATTGTTCACGTATATATCAAAAAAAAAGAAAAAAACAAACAAAATCACAGAGACATATTCTTGTGGTTGTGTATCACAATCATCATCATCATCATCATTGTTAATTGATTTTGTGTGTATATGAGGGTGGTGCGAAACAGAAAAAAAATTGATGAAATTTTGGAATTTCCATGATTAAAAAATTTACATGTGTTTGTCCTCAACTAACCAACCAAAGACCCACCCACCTTGCAATAAATGCCAAATTTTCTCAGGAAAAAAAACTTTTTTTTTTCGTATATAAATTTAGATTTTTTTTTCCTTTGAAAATTCATACTCATCATCATCATCGCTGTCATCATGTCGATTGAAGAACAATTCGATGCTGCCGTCAAAGTCATACAATCATTACCTAAAGATGGTAAAAGATGAATATTTCTTTTGTTTTTTTTTAATAATAATTTTTTTTTCTTTTGAAATTCTGTTTAGGATTTTTTCAACCATCCAATGAAATGAGACTTAGATTTTATGCATTTTTCAAACAAGCCACTGAAGGTCCAAATACAACAAAAAAACCAGCATTCTATGATATTATTAATCGTTATAAATGGGATGCATGGACAAAATGTGGTCAAATGTCACGTACAGAAGCAATGTTATTATATGTTGATGAATTGAAAAAGGTTAATTTTGTTTGTTTTTTTTTTTTTGATCAATTCATCTAATGATTAATATTTTTTTTTTTTGGTAACAAAAAAAAGGTAATCGAAACCATATCAATGACACATGAAGTGTCTGAATTTTTGGATTTACTTGGACCATTTTATGAATTTTTACCAGACGATATGACTAATGGCAAAACTAATAATGGATCCACATCCGCTGACACCACCACCACCACCGCCACCACCACCACTAATACAATGACAAAAAAAGTTAATGGTGAAAATATTGGCCAAAATCAAATAGCTACGAGTAGGTCTTGATTTTAATTTAACATTGATTGATTGTGATTTTTTGCATTTAATATGCAATATATATTTGAGAACAAAACAAAACAAAAAACAAACGAACAAATCATAAGCTTCAAAACCTCAACTCAATCTCTATCTCTATCTCTATCTCTATCTATCTCAACCAATGATAATTGATTTATCGTTACAAACAAAATTGGAATTGGTCATTTTTTTACGTTATTTTTTTCCACGAATAATAAACAAAATATATAATTTGATACAATGAAATAATAATAATAAAATACAAACAAAACGATGAAAATATCAAATTTCGAATGTGTACCAATCATCATCATCATCATCATCATCGTGGCAAAAAAAAAAAAAAAAAATATCGTTCATTGTGTACGTTCGAAATTCGAATGTCCAAACATTCAAATTGTTCATTTTGTTTGTTTGTTTATTTGTTTGTTTGTTTGTTGATTATTATTGAAAAATCAAAAAAAAAGTGCTAACAATTTCTTTTTTTTGTTTCATTTTTCTCTTTCTCTTCCTATATATATATCATTCCATATTGTATCTTATTGTTTGCTCGTTCAATTGTATATGTTTGATTCGAAATGTATGGTAGCCACCATCATTAATAATAATCATAATCATCATGTTGAACAAGAAAATTTTACTATTACCTATGATAGTGATGGTGATGAATTTACCGATACAATTGATTCGTCATTTTCACCACAACATCAACAAGTACCGAAAATTTTTTGCAATACATTCAATGATGATGATCATGATGATGATTCGATTATCAATGCTCATCATCATAGTAATAATAATATGAATAATCAAAATATGTCTAGTCTTGTTGGTGAAAAAAATTCACCCATTATCAACAATCGATCCGAATCGAAAACAATAAATCAATCATCGTCATCCGTAGCAGCAGCAGCAGCAGCACCACCACCAAACGTATTACTCGATTTCAATGAACAATTAGCTGTGGCAATATTTCAGTTACAAAATTCATTGGATCGTATAACGAATCGTGTACATAAATTGGAACAGCAGCAGCAGCAACAACAACAACAGGTCACCATCAGACAACAACAACAACAATCATCATCAATATCCGGTATAAATGATAACAATCAAAATAATAATGGCTGGCCATTTCGTGAATTACGGCCACAAACAACTTTATTTATATTGACATGGCCAATGGCTGTCTTTTTTCTACTCAATTATTTGCAACGAATACGAAAAAAATGATTCAATCAATCAATCAATCAATCGATCGATGGAGAGAAAAAATTCATAATTTTTTTATTATTATTATTATTAAACTCAAGTCTTTAGACTTTATTTGTTACAACAAACAAAATAGATAATCAAAAATAATAAACAAACAAAAAAAAAAAATGCAAATTTGAAATTCATCATTTGATTATATAAAATGGTCAATCATGTGCTAAATTATTATCAATTTATATCAATTTAAAAACATTAATTTTACTTATATTATATCATATTTCTGTGTTTATGTATGGGTGTGTGTACGATATAAATTATTGATTTGATAATTATTGAAATGATGATGATGATGATTAGACGAACCAGGAAGAAATATTATATTTGATTACAATTGGAAAATTTTTTTTTTTTCAAAAATCTATTTTTCTTGCTATAATTTTCTTCTTTGATTATAATGATGAGCAATAATTGTAGTAGTAAATAAAAACAATGTCTATCTACATAATTGATGATGATGATGATGTGGATGTGGGTGTAGATGTGGATGTGGATGATAACGAGTATTCGTACATTTTTTTTTTATTTTTATGTGAAAATGTGTGGTTATTTTTTCTGTTGTTTACATAAATTATTATTACAATTTTTTTATATCTAAAATCATCACTATCACAGTAATGGTGATAACACATACACACACACACACACACAATATAACAACAACCGGCAACAAATATTGATCCAAATTCCAAAAATTGATTGAATATATAAGTATGTGTGTGAGTGTGTGTGTGTGTGTGTAGCAAATGTGATGAGTGGAGAAAAGAAAAATTGAAGAAATTATTAGTTAAAATTAATAGTTTTTTTATGAAAAAATAATTTTTAGTTGGATACGCTCATTCGATCATTCCATTTACCATTACCATTAGTATTATTAGTGCTACCGGAACTCCAATCATGTGTTCCTTGTATAGATGTATAATGTTTACTTGATGTTTTATTAAATACGGGCAATAATTCATTTGCTTCGCTTGATAAAACTTTTAGATAAATTATTGCATCGGTACCATAACCTTCAAGTGATGATATTACTAGATCACCTTGTAAATATCGAGCATATAATCGTGATATTGGTAAACCATAACCATAACCGGCTAATGGTGCAGAATTCATTCCAGAAGCAGATGGTTGTGGTGCCGTTGAATACATGTATTGAAATAACATGTCACGTGATGAACGTGGAATTCCGCCACCTTTGTCACAGATCTATAAAATTGATTATAATAATTGAATTATATTCCCGATAAAAATCACATTAAATTTATTCACCTTAATGGTCAAATCTTCTTTGGCTTTGACGATTATGGTTTTGATTGCTGGCAGATCATCATCTTCATGATGTGATTCAACAACAGCTCGCATTGCATTTTTATACAATTCAAACAAGATATGATAAAGATGAGAAGGTGTATATACTATTGTCACTGGACCGTCTGGATCGGAAGCTGAAGATATATGCAAAAAATTAAAATGGCAAAAATAGAAAACAAATAAAATTTCAATTTTAACTTACCATTTAATGTTTCAATATCGATACCAGGTGATGTCAAATAATATTGGTCACAAAGAAAACGAGCATTATCATAGGCATCATAGGCTATTGCTTTTACATCGCACTGGTAATGTAATAAACAAAAATGAAATGAGCAAAAATGATGATTGTAAATTAATTAATTTTACACAAACACTCACATTAGGATCAATACAGCCAATATTACGTGGACTTTGGTTATGAAGATCTGAACCGAATAATGCAGCATGTTGATTGATGAGCATACGAATTGAAATACGACTCATATAGAATCGATTCAGAAAATATTGTATACAATGTTCAAGATGTTGATCAACCGATGATGATTGTTTCAATTCAATAATTCCTTGAGCCATTGTTTCGACAACATTCGAATGACGATTACGTATTTTGACCAATGTATCACAAAATAATTCCAGTACTTGAGCCGAATCTGATGATGCATTTTCAAAGTTTAATATTTCATCAAAACTTCGTTCATACCAGCTTTTAACTAATTCAACTGAAGGCATCTCTAATAGGCTATTTGGTAATAGATGTAATTCTTTCATAATGTTCGCTATACGAACTGGTAATTCTTTACGTAAAAATAGGAATGATGTTTTTTCACATTTTTCTTGGCCTAATTTTTAAATAAACAAAAAAAAGAGGATTTAATATCGATTAACAAAGAAAAAATTTTCAAAAAAATACCAAATTGAAGAAATTTTTCAATCGAAAGTGGTGATGGATTAAAACGTGAATAATAGTCCACTTGTTTGAGGACTTCACGATAAAGAATTCTTGTTATTCTCATTGTGTAAATTGTGTGAATTTTTTTTTTCTATTGTTCAATTGTCACACATATACAATATATGAATGAATGAAATGCAAACTAAATGAAAAATCACTTGATTTTTTTTCTGTTTCGTTATCTAAACAATCATCAATAAGATGATGATGATCACATAATCATGCGATTAAAATTTAAAAAACATTCGATCATTACACAATCAATCAATCAATCAATCAATTAGGAAAAAGACCAACAACAACAACAAAAAAAATAAATAAATACGCGGTACACTTATTATAGTGAAAAAAACAACTTTTCTAATTTGGCACAATCAATCTGATTGGACTTTGTTATTGACTGGATTTATATATCACACCACACTTGATGTTGTTGTTGATTATAATGATGATGATGACAAAAACAAATCATAAAAAAAATGTTCAGCGGCCTTGTTATTTAATTCAATATATTTCTTCGTATGAGTTTGAGTCTGAGTATTTGTGTGTATGGTTGGTTGGTTGGTGTTGGTGGTTGTTATTGTGGTGCAATTTTTTTTTTCTTCTTTCATTCAATTAGGAATTTTTCATTCTAATTTCTTTTCTTTATATAATGGTGGATACAATGATTATTTTCGATGATAAGCTGATTTTCTTTTCATATCTTCTTTATATGTACTAAAACAAAAAAAAAAAAATCTTAATCAAATTTCAGTTGTCATGAAGAAAAATAAAAAGTAAAAAAGTACATTCAACAAAACAGGGCTACTTCGATTATGAAATTTCAATTCAATTTCAATAATGATGATGATGATGATGATGACGAAGATTATTGGTTCCGAATATTTTTGTTCGTTGAATTACATTAGTTTCAGATCTCTTTCTCTCTCTATATATATATATAGCAGAACAAAAATAAAGATGATGATGATGATGATGTTTTTTCTGATGAATGTTTGATTTTGTTTGATAAAAAAAAACTTGAAAAACAAAATTTGTTTGTGGTTTTGTTTTTAATAAAGAATCCAGATGCCGATGATGATAATGATGGAATAAACGACGTCATCGGCTGTATGTCTATGTGTGAATGTAATATCACAAAAACACAATACACCTTTTTTTGGACAAAATATCTTCAATTGCATGGATGGATGGTGGTGGAAAAAGACAAACGAAAACTATTCGTCAAAACAACATAAATCTGCGCAAAGGGCTTTTTTCCACTCACTATTTATTTGAAGCTTGTGAGTATGTCTTTCTCTTTTATTTTGTTGAATTATCCAGCCGTTTTTTTGTTTGTTTGTTTCTTCTCTCCACGACGACAGACGATCCTGGAACACAAGATGAAAACAAACATTAATAATAATGGAATGGAATGGAATCAATAGAGCAATCATGTGATCTACAATGTTTATCGATTGTTTTTTTTCCTCTATTGATTCATTCATGAATTGAAAGTAAAATGAAAAAAAAAAAAAAGAAAAATCATTTATCATTTTTTTAATTATTCAATTCATTAAAGCATATATACACTGTATGTATTTATAAAAAAAAAAAAAATACGGAATAGTCTTTTTGATGTCAAATTTAGAATGTTTTCCATGGATACACACCTACCGTTTGTTAGATATCATATGATGATGATGATAATGATGATGATAGTGGTGGTGGTGGTTATCCTCGCGTCGTCATCAACGATATCGTAACATTAAAAATAGTAGGGATAGCACCATGGTGAACAACAACTTGAAATAAATGTACTTTTTTTCTGTTTGATTTGTTTGCCAAAAAAAAAAAAAAAAATTTTCTGTTTATCACCGATATTTTTTTTTCTGTTTGGATTCGAATTTCGAATCATCAAAAATAGTAATAGTAGTAGTAGTAGTAGTTATCGATATAATCGATATTTATAATTTTCAATATTTTGAAATTTTTTTTCGGTATTTTCAAAATTAATATAAAATCAATGAATCATTCAATGATCTTTTTCAATTAATCATCATGTGATTTATGACGATGATATAACCACAGACACACACACACACACGAACGGAATTATTATTATGCATTGTTTAATATTTATCCACAATTCAATCAAAAAAAAAAACAAAACTCTAAATTTAGATTTGAAAACATTTCTTCAACAGTCATTGTATGTGATGTACTTTTTTTTCTCTCTCTCTCTCTCAAGACATTCATATCTTTTGTTACAATCATCATCATCAACGACAACGACAACAACAACCACATGAAGTTTTTTTTTTGCTGTGTTTGTTGTAGGTTCAGCAAATACCAACGGTAAACCAAAAAAAAAAAATGTACATTTTCCCTCAAAATCAGACAGAATTGAGTAAGACACTGAAAAAAAATTTGTCATTTTTCGGACATAAACGAATCAAGTGAATGAATGGAAAAAAAAATATTTATTATATAGATCAACAAAAATCAAATGGTGGTAAATATAATCATCAATTTAAGGCAAATCATCAAATGTTTTTGTTTTGTTTTGTTTTTAAAGCAAAATTTTCTTCTTCCGATGACTATGACGATGACGACGACAACCATGGACGATAATTGATCGGGTTTTCTTTTCTTCTCATTTCTCTTGATCTTGCTATAGGTTTGCCTGTAAGATTTTTTATGTTGTTGCTGTTGTTGTAAATTTGTATTGTATAAATTTTTAAATATAAAAAAAAATTTGAAAAAACCTATTACACACACACACACACCGTTATTATTATTATTATATGGTGTGTTTGTATTTGTAGCTGTTAATATATTCTTGCTGTGTATGATATATATTTTCCAGAATTTATACATTTTTCTTTGCTCTTTCAGGTGTTTGTTCCATCATCATTAGTTAGTTATTACCAACCTTTATTTCTTAATGCATTGAATTTATTATCAGTTTGTAATGATTCATAACGATCATTATTCGATGATGATCGTGGCAATGGTGGTGGTGGCTGTGCTACAATACGTGATGATATTAAACCAGATCGTACTGGTTGAAATGTTTTAGCATCGGCTATTGCTTCATCTGTTGCACCTAGATCAGGAAATTCGGCAGCATCATCAATTCTTGGTGCTTGTTTATCCGATTTTTTATTCATTTGTATTGAACGATTTGATTTCGATTTAAATAATGCGGCTGATAATTTCGATAGATCAATACCACCATCATCGGCGATTATTTTTTCATTTTCTGGTTTCTCCGTTTCATCGGATGGTGTTGCAGTTGATTCATTTTGGTCATCATCATTATCCACTTTTTCTGCATCAGAATCATCATCATCATCACCACTATTATCACCATCTTTTGTATCCTCCTCTTTACGTCCCCATGGTGTATCGATAGCTTCTTTTTTAATATCTTCTTCTTTTTCTTGTTGTTCATCGTCACTAAAAAATTTTTTTTTCAATAAAATTTAAAAAGTTCAAAATTCAAATTAAATGTATATATATGAACAATACTTACTCAATGGTTAGAGCTTGTATTTTTAGGCCAGAATAATCTTTATTTTCATCTTCAAAATCATTCCATTCACCATCGTCCTGTTTTCATGTGAAAATTCGATTTTTATATATAGTAAAAATAACGGTAATTCATTCATTCATTCATACCTGAACAAAACCTTCCAAATTGCTCAACAATTGTACAGATGTATTATCTTTTGATTCATTTTCTTTACATTTTGTTTCATATTTTTGCACAAAATCTTCACTGGAAATGCCTTTCGTTTTTTTCTTTCGATTTTTATCCTTTTTGGCAAAAAAATCATCAAGGTCAGCAGACATTTTTTTTTAATTTCTGTTGATTGGTTTTATTGCTAAATAGTACAATGTGCGTGTGTGTGTGTGTGGGAAAAGAAATGCAAAAAAAAATGATGATTAAAAATTTTTGTGGAAAAAAAACTTTAAAATAGATCTACAAAGCAGATTAATATGTTATTCGTCTTCGTCTTTGCAAAGAAAAACGAAACAATTAAAACGAAAATGAATTCTCGATCAAATTCGATCCATAACATACCTTTTCAATGATGAGAAATATGGATGATTAGATTGAAATTCTGGAAATTTTTGTTTTCTTCAATCAAAATTCACTCTAATCACTCGGAAAAAAAAAATTTTTTAGGTAAAAAAAGATGTACGCAATCAAAATGTAATACATGCGTTTCACGTATATCAAATAGCAACGTTATACACACACACACACACAAATTATTACAATAAATGTGTATTCGTATGCTTTTCTATGATGTGTGTGATGTGATGATAGAATTCGATGCCATTCATAAATGACATAGACATGATATATAAACGTCCACTTTAAAAAAATATATATGAACCTATCGTACTGCCATCTATTGTACTAGAACAAGATTAAAATGGATATATTTGATTTGATTCGATTATTTTTTTTTAATTTCAAAATATATTCAATCCATCCATAATGTGTGTGGAAATTAAAAACGTTGATTGGTGATTGATTGATAATCCAAGCAACAACAACAACAACAACAAAAAGGGGAAAATACAGATACAATGTATAGCATATATAGAATTTTTGTATATATAAAAAAAACAACATGGATTTCAAAATAATAAATAATTTAATCCTTTTTTCGGATTTCAGCTTTGCCATTTTTCGAAAGATCCGCTTTAACAGTACCATTTTCTGATGTATTTTTAGCTATTTATAATAAGAAAGAGAAGAAATATATTAAATTATTGAAAATCTTCATCATCATTTTCTTTATCTAATCTTACAGGTTATAAAATCAGAAAGTGAATCCCAAATACCACCGAAACATAATGCACAGAAAAGATTTTCAAATGGCAAAAATGGATCATGAATGCCTAACAATACGGATGATAGCTTGAAATAGATGAAAAATATGACAACACCTAAATAGACTAATGAATGTGGAGCAGAAATTAGATCGGTTTTTTTATCCAAAATGAACACCACTGAAGCACCGATTGAAGCTTTGGTTGCACTGTAATGGAGAAACAAAATTGATTGATTGATTGAACAAACATCAAATGAATGAATAAATGATGAATGATGTAAAAACAAACTTACAATGATGGTGACATAAATTCAATGGCCGTCGGTGTCCATACACCACGAATACAACGTTCTAAAAGCTTTGAAAATGAGCTACCATTTCCTTTGACCGTACCGATAATGATCATTATTATGAATGAATTTGGATAAAGACTAGCTGCATGATTAACACCGTCATTAATTTTTTTACAACGTATAATCTCTTTCATGATTATTATTCCCAATTTACATGGCAAGAATTTTATCAATTTATAGACAAAATCGAATGGTGAATAGAATAGAACGTACCTGGAAAAAATGAATTAAAATTAAAAAATTAAAATTCAGATCAATACAATCCAAACATGTGTATTACCAAACAGCCGTAGCCAATATAATATGATTTGTACTTTTGAATGATGAAACAATTGGTTCACCGAGTAGAAATGCCGATAAAATATTGCCAGCAAATGCCGACAACATGAATGAAATCCAACATGCAAATGGATGTTTTCGTGAAAATACATGACATCCTAGTGAATAATGCAAACAAATGTAAACACAAGGGAATAAATTCATTAGATTTGTATGATCATACCTGTTGATAGATCATCACGTAGATAAAGACCAGTAACAATGAAATGGGCAACATCAAAATATGGATACATTTTGAGCTGTGTAAGCTCATTGGCTAGATCCAAAAATATAATTGGATCCATCGTTTTTGTTATGATTATGTTTGCTTCGATCCGATGATCAAATCCGATGGTCGAAAATTATCAATGTTCGAATTGTTGAATGAAAAAAAAACACGATGAATGAAACAAAAAAAACCACAACAGCAGTTTATAAGGTCGATGGCGAATGACAGAGAATCGTGTTGAAAAAAAAACGAAATTCAATTCAATTCAATTCAAACAAGAATGCCATACAATATATATTGTGTATGATATTCGTTAATTAACTATTTTTTTCTATAAGTGAATTCGAGGTCGAGTGGAAACAAAAACAAAAAAAAATTTCACTAAAGCGATTCTTTCCCACTTGAATGACAATGAGCTGAATACAAGAATCATCATATAGAATAGAATGTATGTCGGGATAAAATTAGCATCATCATTTTTTTTTCTTCTTCTTCATATCCTCATGTTGAATACATTAAACCGGCAGCTGCATCACATTTTCTTTTCTCTTTTTTTTTCTTTTTGGTTCATCGTCGATATATATTCGTTCGACGCATTGTCTGAATATGTTGTCTATATATATTACATATTTGATGGTAACACACTATATTCAGATAGATTAAATTATCATCAACCAATCATTATCATCAAATATATGTAATTGATGAACATCTTCAACACTGTAAATCATATATTAACAAAATCGATAAAATGGTTGATTTTTTTTGTCGCCGAAACTAACGACTATTTAAATCAATGATGAATAAATGAATAAAGTGAAACCAAAAAGGTTTTACTATCAATATATCTGATCATTTTATCTGGTTATTCAACGAGATTTTTTATATAAAATTATCAAATTAAATTTTTTTTTTTAACAGAAACAGAAAGTGATATAACCGAGTGTTGAACATTTCATATATACAATGTTCAGTGTTTTCGAAATAACGATATAATCGATTATGAAAACTATCGATATCGATATCGTATTAAATGCCACATGCATTCGTGCATTTGCGCATTCGCACATGCTGGTTTTGTTTTGTTTTTTTTATTGTTCCTTTTCCTGCAACATACTGTGTGACTCGCGTGTTTTTTTTCAAACGTTTGTGTTTCATTCAAAATTCTGCATTCTACATTCGGCATTCTGTGGTGCAACAAATTCTAATTTGGTAGAGCTATTATCATTATTATTTTTGAAATAAAAAAACAAAGCTCATCCACATCACAAAATGCCACCAAAAGTTGATCCAAATGAAATTAAAATTGGTAAAATTGTGTCTAACAAAAATTTGAAATTCTCAATGATTTTTTTTTTTTTTTTTCTCACTCACTTGTGTAATAGTATATCTTCGAGCCGTTGGTGGTGAAGTAGGTGCTACATCATCTCTGGCCCCTAAAATCGGTCCTCTAGGTTTATCACCGAAAAAAGTTGGTGATGATATCGCTAAAGCTACGGCCGATTGGAAAGGTTTGAAAGTTACCTGCAAGTTGATCATCCAAAATCGTCAAGCCCAAATTGAAGTAGTACCATCGGCTGCATCGTTGTTGATCAAAGGCCTAAAAGAACCAGCACGTGATCGTAAAAAAGTTAAAAACATCAAACACAGTGGTAATTTACCAATGGATGAAATCATCAGAATTGCCCGCATCATGCGACCACGTAGTATGGCACGTAAATTGGAAGGTACCGTAAAAGAAATTCTTGGCACCGCTGTTTCAGTTGGTTGTACTGTTGATGGTCAACATCCACAGGATATTATTACTAAAATCAAAGATGGTGAAATTGAAATTCCAGATGAGTGAACACAAAATGCTATAATTTAACACATGAGATGAGATAAATCTCATCATTTTTTTTTGCAAATAAAAGATTTTTTTATTCAATTTCATCATCAGTGTAATACTGTTCATATTCATTCATCTTTAGTTTATGATTTTTTTTTTTTTTTGCTTAATACAATTTTTCATTCATTTTAAATGCTGGATAATTATTGTTTGTTCGAAATGAAATTTTTTTTTTTTTTTTGCAAATATTGATAAATTTCTCTGCTTGCTTGTTGGTCATTTATGATACTGATGGTATTTTTTTTTCCTGTGACCCGTTTTGTTTGTTTGTTTGCGTTTTACCAAATTCCACTTGAACGACCACCAGGTGGATTCTGTACACGAATGGCAGTTTTACCAATTTTATCATCATCGATTTGTGCACCACTCAAATTGAATGATGAATCCTGTAAATTACGAACACCAGATCGTGTGGTACCTTTGTAAAAATTTGGCGTTCCCATATTTTCTTTGGTATATGGTGGTTCAATTGTTTGTGGAAATTGTTGTGGTGGTGTTCCAGGCACCATTGATGGAATAAGAGGTGTATTTCCATTTTGAGCAGCAGCAACAGTAGCAGTAGGTGGTGTTCGAGGAACTGTAGGTTGTTGTTGATTTGGTTGCTGTTGTTGTTGTTGTTGTTCATCTTTACCATCTCGATCAATTCGAATCGGTAATGTTCGTTCACGATCACGAATCGAATGCCACAGGAAACTAGAATTAGGTGCACAAGGTAAAAATCGACCACTGCCTTGTACAACATGTAATCCATTTTCATCGAATACAACTCGACCATTACTGATGACAACCAATGGACCGAATGAAACTTGTGTTCCTTCGAAAATATTGAAATCTCCATTAGAATTATGATTTTCGGCACGAATAACATGTGGTTTTGGTCCCCAGATGACAAGATCAGCATCCGAACCTTTTGCCAAACGACCTTTACGTGGATAAAGATTAAAAATTTTAGCTGCATTTGTACTGGTTATGGCCACAAATTGTCTTGGATCCAATTTTCCCGGGCGAACTGCTTTTTCCCATAGTATCATCAAACGTTCTTCGACACCATTCACGCCATTCGGTATCATTGAAAAATCTTTCATGCCACGTGCTTTATCAGCTGTTTTAAAAACACAATGATCTGATCCAATCGTTTGTAATTGACCAGAAGCCAACATATTGATCAAATGTTCAGATGTTGATCTATCTGGACGAAGTGGTGGTGACATAACATGACCGGCTGCATGTTGCCAACATTTATTGAAATAATGTGTTCCATCCGATCCAATACCAGCAGCGATTGGTTCACCATACACTAAACAACCACGTTTTCGAGCTTCAACAATAGCATCAGCGGCTGATTTACTATTAACATGAACAATATAAACTGGACAATTCACTTGATTGGCCATTGTAGTTATACGAGTAACCGCTTCGGCTTCAACTTCTTCTGGACGACTTTGTAAATGTCCTTCTGGTCCGGTAATGCCCATATTTTTCAATTTACGAATATTATAATCAATAATGTCACCATTTTCAGCATGAACCACAGGCAATGCACCAAGTTGACGACATTTAATCAAAACATTTATCAAATCATCATCACGTAACATTAGAACATCTTTATATGCCATGAATAATTTAAAACTATTGATTCCATGTTCACGAACCAATGTATCCATTTCTGAATCGGTTTTGCCTTTAATAAATTCCGGAATAACAACACGAAACGTATAGTCACAACATGCCAAACCATCAGATTGTGATCGATATTTTTTAAATGATTCAATCAAACTTTGACCTTTTTCAGTCAAAACAAAATCCATAATAGTGGTTGTACCACCAGCTAAAGCAGCACGAGTTCCACTATAAAAATCATCGGCTGTTTTTGCGTTCATAAATGTTGCATTCATATGTGTATGTGTATCGATACCACCGGGTAATACAAAAAAACCATTAGCATCAATTGTTTTCACACCACCCGGTACAATTAAATGTGGACCAACATCTCTGTGTAAGAAATAAAAAACATTATGATCATGATGATTATTGATCAACTGACTCACTTGATAATTCCATCTTCAACATAAATATCTGCCTTAAAAATGGCATCATCATTGACAATTTTACCATTTTTGATTAGTACACGATTCTGTGAACTCTGTGTAACAAGAATAAGAAAAAAAAATTAGAAATTAAAATTTCAATCAATAAAGCAAAAATTATGTTTTCAATAATCAAGACAAACAACAAAAAAAACCAAGAATTTCAGCAACAAGAATTACATGTACACCCAAAACCAAAAAAAAAAAAAAAAACACCAAACATTATACCTGAAGATGAATTGGAATCTTTTTCAATGATAATGTTCCATTTGTTGTTGGTTGAGAAACGGCGGCAGTAGCCGAAGCAGCAGCAGTATCTACAACAGCTGCTGCTGTTGTTGACTTCGATGTTAGTGTTGCCATTATAAACAAAAAAAATGTCACAAATAATGTTTTAAAAGCAGTATATATAAAACAAATGTGCAAATGTTTCAAAGGTTCTATTTTCGGTTAAATATAAAATAATTCGATTTCAAAATCTTGTATGGAAAGCAAAAAAAAAAAACACACACACACACACACAACCAAAACTATTAATATAAATGATGATTCGCTTCTCTTTTTTTTTTTTTTCTCTAAAAGCAAATCAAGTGACACACACACACACACACAATCATAATAATCTTTGCACAAATCAACCAACAACTTTTTTTTTGTACAAAGTAAAAGATCATAAAAAAAAAATCATAGATCGGTCGTCGTCGTAGTTGTTGTTGTTAGTGTTGTTGTTGTACAGGGTGAAGATAAAATCAAATTTAAAAATATAAAAAAAAAATCAAATCAAATTATTAAATTGATTGATTGATTGATGATAATCAAATCAATTGAAGCGAAAAAAGTTTGTTGTTTTTAAAGTGTGTAAAAAAAAAAAAAAAAATATGACAATGGTTGATTATGATGAAGATGATGATGATGATGATGATGGTATTCACTGCCACTACCAGTTAAATGAAAAACAAGTTGTTGTTGTTGTTTTGTTTGTTGTTCTAGTTTGTCTCAATTATAGATTTAAAAAAAAATGAAATGACACAGTTATTATCTTGCACATCTCTCATGTGGTGTTTGTTTCACGAGAACAACAAAAATAAAAAAAAATTTCGAATGTTAATCATCAACATTCAATTCACTCCTGACACATACATTTAAATTCAACAATGGGTATTATATTATATATAAAAAGAAGTAGTGCGTCTCAAAATGATTATCATCGGTTATTGTTGTTGTTGTTGTTGTTGATGAACATGATCATCATGATCGCTGCTGGTTTTTTTTTTTTTTTTTTTTTTAAACAAATTGAGTATACAGCCAAACAAATAAATGAATGAATGAATGAATGGTAAAAAAAATTAGTGAAAAACAATCGTTTGATGCGCTTCACCAACAATGATCAATGAACAATGATCATCATCATCATCATCATAAACACATTCGGAAAAAAATGGATGACACAAACTTTAAACCAGAAAAAAATGAAGCATTCCAACAAAACCTAAAACAACAACAACAACCATGAATACATGGTATATCATGGAGTACAACATACAATTTATAGAGAAAAAAAAATTTTTATGGCAAACCAGTCCAGTATCGTTCTTTCTCTCTCTCTCTCTCTCTTCTCACTCTCTTTCTCCCGCGCGATTTCTGGTTCAACCCAATATAGTCATATATTGATGATGATGATGATGATGATTGTATAATATTCACAAATGTATACACATTTGTGATAATATGGCGGCTGGTTTGGTTGGTTTGGTTGATCATATACCCGACTCAAAATAAGGCGAGAACATATTATAGATGAGTTGGATTTTTTTTTACAATTTTCGCTCTCTCTCTCTCTCTCCTGAAATACCCGAAAATGAAACCATTTTTATTTTTCGGGTAGGGTGTTGTTTATATATATATATATAAAAAAAGGGAGAGCATATGGTATGTGAGTCATTCATTCGATTAGCTAGGGCCGATTCTATATTCGGTCATGTTGTCAAGTTGGGAAATTCCAGAATGTTTTTTTTTTTTATTGCGATTTTTCTTGCGCATTAGCGTTTTATTCAGGTTCAATGAACACATATATATATAAATATAATTCAAATGCAACTGAAAATCATAAACAAAATTCTTTGATTCGAATTTGGCTATAACGGAATTTCGAAACCAAAAAAAAAAAAAAATTACAGATGGTCAAATAGAAATCGAATCGAATAAATAAAGTGATGATTGACATTCACTAGTCAATATATAGCTAGCTAATTATTTTTGTTCATTTTGATTTTAAATTCAATTCAAAAAGTTTATTTATATTGATCATCATTTTTCACTGTCATGGTAAATTTACTCAAACACAAACAACAATTTTGATGATGATCAAGTATCATCATCATCATCATCTTTCATCATAAACACACTGTTGTGTAAATAGATTGGACAGATCTCATATATTTCGGGTAATCATAATTTTTCTTAAATCACGCTCGATTGAATTTGGATGAAAAAAAAACCTCTCCATCAAACATTACAAACACAGGGTGGGAGAGATCAACACACAATCATAATCATGTCAAGAATTTTGTTTTTCTCTCTCTCTCTCTCGCCACTCGCAAATGGTCTTGGGGTAATTCTCATTGAGTGGTTTTTTTTTGTTTTGTTTTGTTTAGATAAGAATTTTCGTTTTCTCGTTCGAAAATTCTTTTGTTTTTTGTTTTTGAATATTTAACTAACCTCTTGTTCAGTCTGTTGTTGTAAACGTTGTTCATCAGTCATGATTATGGAAAAACTTTGTAGCTGTTGATTATATGGCCACTTTCGATGATTATATTTTTGATGATGAACTATAGTACCAGAAGATGATTGTTGTGAAAAAGGATGATGAAATGAATTTTTACAATCAAAATTATTATTTGAATAATAAATTTGTGGCGTTGAAAATGATGGATAAATTTTTCCTAATACACCTCTGCTCGTTTGTTGTTGTTGTTTCTTAGTAACAATATCGACGATAGTGTTGTTTGTTTGCCGCCGTCGTCGTTGTCGTCGTCTATCATCATCATCATCATCAATATTCAAGTTTGAGTTGTTTTCGTTGTTGTTGTTGTTGACGGTGGCGATCGATGAAATTGGCAGTAATTGTTGTTGCTGTTGTTGTTGTTGTTGTAAAAAATAGCTACCATTATCGGGTGAAAGCTCATTTTGTTTGACTATTTTTCTCGGTTTATTTGTTGGCAAAATAGTAGATGGTATGTCATTTATGATTGGCATTTTTATGATTCGATTTTGTTTATTTTATTATTATTATTATTAATGGAAGATGGAATAAGAATGTTTGAATCCGATGAAACGCGCCAACAATTCATCTGTTGATCATCATCATTATCATTGTAGTCATTTTTAGAATGTTTTTTTCCAGTTATATTACCATTAAAATCATACATCAATGATGATGGTGATGATGATGATGATGTTTTATTATGATCATAAACATCTCTACTATCATCATCATAAGAATCATAGTTACCAATAGATCGAAATAAAATCGAATCATCATCATCATCATCATCACCATGTTCGGGTAACATTAATGCAGCACGAACAGCACTTGATTCATTACGACTTGCCGCTGTTTGTATTTTTGGATTTGTTGCTCTTTGAATCGGTGTCGATGTTCTTTGATGATATTTGTAAACGTCGTTGACCGATTTATAGTGATGATCATCATCATAATTTTGTCGATATTGTCGTGGTGATAATGATGATAATGGTCTACCCAAATAACCAATTGCATTTGAATGTTCAAGTTGTCTGGCTGATTTTTTCGTTGATCGAGATTTTTTCTTATTATTTCCATTATCATCATCATTGGAATATTTATCCGTTATTGTTTCAAATAACACTAAATGTGATCGACTTTTCTGTTTTGAATCATATAAATTCGATGTATATAATGGTGATGATTCAAATAATTTATTAATAGTTTGATGTGGCATTTTATCTGTTGTCGTTAATGATTTTGGCATCAATTTTGTTGTTGGTAAAATGATTATAATTTCAATTAAAATCATCAAAACATGGAAAAAGATTTTTTCTTCTAAATTTTACCACACATATTCATTATATATCTAAATGGTGATGATAAACAATCAACAGGTCGTCGTCGTCGTCGTCGTCGATTTTTTTCATGTAAATTTCATCAGATGACAATGTAGAATGGAAAAGTAATTTTTTCTGTCATTTTTTTGTGTGTTTGTTTGGCAGAATGAAAATGATTTTGTCAATTTATATAGCACACACACACACACACACACACACAATCACAAATCATTCAACAACGGTTTTTTTTCTGTTTTTTTTTTTTTGATAGAATTTTTTTTTTGCTTATTTAACGGTTGTCGTTGTTGTTTGATGCACCTGTCAAAAGAAAACAAAAATTTTTTTTCCGCGTGGTTTGGCTTGGCTCGGATTGGATTGTAAATAAATTAAAAAAAAAAAAAAATCCAGATGCAGAATCATTCCACCACAATGACCACCACCACCACCACAAAACGTGATCTTATTGTCAATGTGATTGATAATGAAAGTTTAAGAAAAGGCAAAAAAAACAAGCAAATGATCAATGACATCGACACCGTTGATGATGACCACGACATACAAGGTCATCATTACATTATTATTAACCACATCGATAGTTTAGTGTATAAAAAAAAAAATATTTTGTTATTTATTTTCCATATAAATTTACAACAAAAAACTATTTAGCATTTTTTTGTCTGATTGAGAATAAAAAAACATGTTAACGATCCATATCCTCTTTTAACATTTTCAACACTTTTTCAGCTGTCGTTATTGTTGGCTGTTGCTGTTGTTGTTGTTGTTGTTGTTGTTTTTGTTGTTGTTCCAAAATTAATCAATAAAATTTTATTTCGAGATTTTGTACCAACATCCAATTGGATACATTTAGTTTTAACACCCAAAACGTGACTCATATAATCAATCAATTCTTCATTTGCTGCACCTTCTCTATTCAAACAGAAAACAAAACAAAATGAAAAAGAAAACGAAGAATTGAAAAAGAAGGAATAATAATAATAATAATTATGAAAATGAATGGTGGATGGCCAAATATAATTGATATATGAATGAATTGAAATGAAATGAAAAAATAATTTGTATAGAAACAAGAATCCATATTAAGATTGAAATTATTATTATTATATTTACCTTGGTGGTGCAGCAATCTGTACACCAATAGCATCATCATCGATACTGATAATTTGTGATTTTTTAGCACCAGGTTTAGCTCGTATTATTAATTTTATCGTTGTTGATGATTGAACAATTGGAACAATAGATTTTGGGGATAATAATCGAAGACATTATTATTATGATGTCATTGTAAAATCAAAATCAATCAAAATAAAAATCGATAAATGATGAACATGATAATCAATCAAATCAATCGAATGAATGAATTCGAATGTTTTCGGTTGTATACAAAATGGTTCAGCTGACAAATTATTATTGCCATATATTGACACAAGATGGCGCAATTATCATTATTTCAAGAACAAAATAAAATCGAAAAAAAAAGATTCCATTCTGGCCATAGATCCCGACGATATATATCAATCATCAATCAATTGATTGATTCAATTTAATTGATTTTTTTTGGCTGATTTTTTTTTTGTTTTGAAACAATATAAAATACGTGCATCAATCAAATTACAGTACTACTAGTTTACGTCATTGGCCACAAAAACTGAAAATATGAAATCCAAAACAACAACAAACAACAACGAAATGACAACAGGGACAAAAGTGTCCAGTAAACAACTAATCCGGTCTTGATACCAGGAAAAATTAACAAAAAAAGAAGATGAAAACGTTGTTGTTGTTGTAAAATAATCTACAAAGGATATGGTCATATCCTTTTGAAAAAAAAACCTACTGTCAACATGAACCACATCATCATCATCATCATCGTAATTTGTATCGAAATTGTGAAGAAATTTTTAGCATTTTTTTCACATTGATTTTGAATGAATGGTAAAATAAAAAATCAATCAAAAATGTTCAACTGTTTGATGGTTTGTTTGTTTGCTGCATTCATTCATTCATTGATTTAATTCAATTGATGATGATGAATTGAAAAAAAAATTCGAATGAATTTTTTTCCCGCTATCAACCAAGTGATGAGAGAATAAAGAAAAATAATGTTTAAACAATCATTTCATCCATTCAATCGTGGTAATTATTATTATTATCGACAAACATGTGTTTTTTTTCTTTTCATTTATAACATTTCTATTCATTTACAGTATCATTTCAGCTTGGTTTGTCTCGATCTTTGTTTCAATCAATGATGATGATGATGATTAGTTATGGTATGATCATCATCATCATCATCAGCATCAGTTTTGTTAATGGACAAACACCATATTCTGAAACAGGCGATGATGTTTCAGCCATACAACAATGTTACGGTATTAATTGATTTTGATGATTTTATTGAGAAAAAAAAGTCTTTTTAATTTTATTGATCAATTTCAAATCAGATTCACCTGCCGATTTGTTTCAAGTGTTTCCACAAATAAATGGTACATTCAAGATTAAAATCAAGAATAAATGTCTTCAGCTACCGGAATTGGAAATTTATCTTTATGTATTTGATTTATCTATTGTTGATCAAATATTTATCAAAGAAATTGATCAATTAGATGTGACCAAAGTTAATTCGATTAAAATCAATAGACCAACAATGTTGTTTGGCCATACAGAATTGACTAATTTTCATCCACCAAATGCACGTTTTAAATTTGGTATCGTATTCTTTGATCATACTGGTGTTGTTAATATTGCATTACATCCAAAAGTATTCTATTGTAATTTGAATTTTTTTTTTTTCCCAAAAATTGATTTTTTCACAAATTTTTTAATTCGATTTCATTTTTTTTCTCTTAGTTTTTACAAATCAATCAAATTCATCGACAACTGAAATTTTGTTGATAATTATTTTGGGCATTTTATTGCTCATCACCTGTATATTGTTGGCAATGTTGATTTATATGTAAGTTTTGATTGTTTTTTTCTGTTTTGAATGAAAATCTCTCATTTATAAATGTGTGCACAGAAATTATTGTGGAAATCGGCGACAAAAAGAAAATGGAATCCTTTTCTGGCGTAAACAACGTCCAAGTAATAAAATGATGAAAACACATCTACTCAATGATCAAGAGAATCCAGCAGCAGCAGCAGCAGCAGCAGCAGCAGAAACATTTGTTTTTGAACCAAAATCCAATATAATTCATGTGGATAAAATCATCACCATGATACCGGATCTATTGAATGAAGAAAGAATACGTCAAGAATATGATAGTGTACCTAAATCTAAAATGAATAGCTGGAATGATGGCCGATTACCGCAACATAAAACAAAAAATCGTTATGGAAATCTATTACCATATGATCATACTAGAGTGATATTGAAAGAAGATTTACCTGAAGATACAAATTATATTAATGCCAATTTTATTGATGGATATCGTCGTCCAAAACGTTATATTGCATCACAAGGTCCAATCGATACTACTATTGAAGATTTTTGGCGCTGTATTTGGCAATACAAATGTCAACAGATTGTAATGTTAACGAATCTAGAAGAAAGTGGCCGAATGAAATGTGAAAAATATTGGCCTGAAATCAGTCAATTTTATGGAAAAATTAAAGTCACATTACAAAGTACAGAATTATTTGCTGATTATGTAATAAGATCATTTTTATGTGAAAAATCCGATTCACAACAACAACAACAAATGATTGTCAATCAATATCATTTTATATCATGGCCAGATCATAATGTACCATTATATGTTTGTACATTGATCAGTTTCATTAATCGTATACGTACACATCCATTCTATAAAGAATCATCACATATTATTGTTCATTGTTCAGCCGGTATTGGTCGTACTGGTGCATTTATTCTTATTGATTCAATGCTAGAAATGGCACGTAAAGAGAAAAAAATTGATATTTTAGGCCATTTCTGTAAAATGCGTTTACAACGTATTAATATGGTTGAAAAATTTAGCCAATATGTATTTGTATATCATATATTGGTTGAAGCATTATCACATGAATCATCGGATATTTCTTGTAATGATTTTGAATCATATTTTGAAATGATGACCAAAGGAAATCATCATCATCATCATAATAATCATTATCATCATAAAGATAAATGTCGTTTACGTAAACAATTTGAAATATTGAATATAATGTCATTCCGTAAATCGACAGCAAATCAGGCATCAAAATTTGGTTTGATAAATAATAAATTAAATCGTCGTGAAGATGTTATTCCACGTAGGTTGAGAAATTGAACTAATTTTTTTTTCTTCTTACTTTTCGAATTCTTATTCAAATTATTTTCTATTTCTACATATCATATAGCCGATCATGCTCGTGTGATTCTACCGAATCATGAAGATTATATAAACGCTGTCTATATAAATGTAAATGTTTTTTTCTCATTTCAACCAACGTCCATCTAATATTTTTGTTTGTTTCATTAATAATTCATTTTTTTTTTTTGAACAGGGATATCGTAAAAAAGATGCCTATATCGTTACACAGATACCGTTTGAAAATAATCGACAACAATTTTGGAAAATGATTGAAAATACCCGTTGTACGACCATAGTGTTGTTGGGTGATGTTTTCAATGATGATCAAATTGTAAATTTTTTTTTCTTTTTTTGGTTTTTGTAATTATTCAATTATTGATTGGTTCATTGATTTATTCTCTTTGTGTGTGTGTGTGATATTGTAGTATTGGCCAACCATTGTGAACAAGAAATTTGATTTCAACAATAATGAATTATCAATCACATTGGTTAAAGAAGAAATGTTATCAGGTTCAAATATATTGATGAGAACATTTCAAATTCGTCCAGATGAATTGATTGTAAGACAATTTCATTTGAAAAATTTAAATACAATCATAGGCAATATTGACGGAACAATAATAAGCAGTGGTGATGGTGGTGGTGGTGGTGGCGGTGTTGTTAGTTCATCAACGACAATCATTTCTTCAACAACAACTGCTACAACAAAAACAATGAAAACATCATCATTATTACGATCATGTTATGAATTAATAGAACTTCGAGAGAAATTGGATCAATATACAACAACAAATGTTTCCAGTTCATCGTCGTCATCACATCCGTTAGTCATACAATGCATGTAAGTGCAAATTTTTTTATCATCATTTTTCTTTGTCTATCAAATATCATCATTCATTTTTTTTTTTTTTTTTTTGCTTTATGTAAACGAAAACGAAAACGAATATTTCACGATTACAGCGATGGTGTACAATTAAGTGGCCTATTCTGTGCGGCTGATTTTATATTCGAACGTATTAAAGAAGAACAACAGATTGATGTTTTTCTTGCTGTACAAAAAATTCGTGCCAATCGGCCACAATTTATTATTAATTATGTAAGTACATTTGTATTATTATACAACATACACAGACGTTATGGATTTTTTTTTTTTTTCGATGCCAATAACATTTTATCTAAACTGATGATGAATAATCATCTTTCTTGCTATCTCTATATATATATATATGGTGTGATTTGATTTGATTTTTTTATCGTTTCTTTCTCTTTTTCATATATATATTAATCCATGTCATCATTTTTCGATCAACCGTAAAAAAAACAACTAGGAACAATATCTATATCTACATCAAGTGGCACTGGCCTATTTACAATCATTCGATCAATATGCTAATTTTAAATAGAAAGGGCGAAAAAAAAATGAAAATCTTCATTGAAAATTGATTTTGAACCACCCATTCTTTTCTTTTTTTTTCTCGTTTTTATCTTTTCAGGATCATCATCATCATCATCATCATCATCATTATCATATAAATGGCAATAATAAATAAATATTTAAAAAAAATTGGAACATTGGAATTTTTATGCAATTTTTTTTAAAGAATTTTTATTGTTTAGAATTGAAAAAAAAAAATTGTGGCTGAGTGGTGGTGAGCACGGACCGGACCATCGATCGATTCTGGGATATATATTAGAAAATTAATTATTTTACAAAATTATATAATTATAATGATGATGATAATAATAATAAGCAAATTTTAATTCGTCATCGTCGCAGTAGTAGTAGTAGTTACGGTTTCGATTTCGATTCCGGTTTCAATTCCGGAATTGTTGCTATTGTTGTCATAAATAAATTGACAAAGAATTTTAAAATGAAATGAAAAATTTAAATTTAAAAAAAAAATCTTCCTAAAAATGTGTAGTAGTGCCTGTGTGTGTGTGTGTGTGTATATCAAGTTTTATATTCAACGTGTAGGCGTGTGTGTGTGTGTGTGTGTGTGTGGGTGTGCACGTGGGTGTATGATCCAGAAAAAGTCTGGAAAACTTTTTTTTTTTTTTTTTGTCAAAGTTTGTTGTGTGTATCAATTACATTTGCACACATAAACACACAAAGAAAAAGTCAAATTTCAGATATTAAAAAAAAAATTTTTCAATGCAAAACACACACACACACACACACAGTCAACGATCAAATGACAATCGATTAATCAATAAGAAAAAAAAAAATTAAATTGTGAAATTTTACAAAAAAAAAAAAAAAAAAAATTTTATGTGCTGAATAATAATAAAAAAAAAATTTCAATTCTATCACTCTCTTTTCACACACACACACACACACACATTAACATTAAAAGTCTTTTGAATTCTGTTTTTGTTGTTGTTGTTGTTGTATTCTTCAATTCTGTGTGTGTGTGTGTGTGTGTATAATGGTGAATGTAAAAAGAAAATTAAATTTTTGCTTGGTGTATAAAGAATCAAATGTTCATTCTGTAAGTGTGTGTGTGTGTGAATGTGTGTGTGAATGAATGTCGGACACAATTGTTTTACATATAGAAAAATGAAAATTTGACATTTTCATCATCATCATCATACACACACACACACATAGAAAAACATAATGAACAGAACAAGACAGTTTTTCAATACAATACAATTCAATTTGTTTTCAATTATATTATTTTCTCTGAATTAATAATTTATTTTCAAATTTTCCAAAATGAATCGATTGATTGATTGATGATTATACAAACAACAGTCAGATTGTTTTTTTTTTTTTGTCTTAGTGTAAATGTGTGTGTGTGTGTGTGTGTGTTTTTATCATCATTATTATTATTATCAACATGTTTTTTTTCCAGAGAATTAAAAAATGATATTATAACGATACACTTGTGTGTGTGTATGTGTATATGTATTTTTTGTGTTCAAAGAATGATACATTTTTTCGATGATTTTTGATTCTTTCTTTTATCTCTACCACGACGTTCACGATCTTTACGTATTTCACGTACTAATGAATAGAAGGCTTCATCGACACCCATTCTAGTTTTGGCCGATGTTTCCACGAATGGTATACCATAATTTTTGGCAACTTCGGCTGCTCCATTTATATAAACAGAACGGACTGGCAGATCGCATTTATTTCCCACTAGCACCATGGGAACATCTTCGGCATCTTTGACCCGTTTAATCTAATATATGTAATGATGAACGAAATCATTGCAAAAAAAAGATAACAATTAGTGGAATTAGTAGAATGATGATTTGTAACATACTTGTTCCCTGTATGTGGATATATCTTCGAATGATTTTGCACTATTGACAGCGAATACCAATAAGAACCCTTCACCAGTTCTCATATACTGGTCACGCATAGCACTAAAAAAAAAAATAATTAAAATCATCATCATCATCATCATTATGACAAAAATTAATTACCTATATTCTTCTTGACCAGCAGTGTCCAATATATCAAGTAGACATGTTTCGCCATCGATAACAACTTGTTTACGATAAGAATCTTCAATAGTTGGATCATATTCATCAACAAAACTGTAAATTATTCAAAAAAAAACAAAAATAAATAAACAGGATGATTTGCCAAAAAAACAAATATTGCAAAATAACAACAACAACAACAACAACAAACTTACTGATTTTGAATTAATTGTATGGTTAAGGCACTTTTGCCGACACCACCAGCTATTATATATTGATGAAAAATAAAAAAAAACAAAACAAAACAAAAAAACAAATATTAATCAATGATTATTCGACCAAGAAAAAAAAGCAAATACAAAACAGAATTAGGCAATATTCAACAAAAAAGAATTCCAGGGAGGGTTAAATATATAAAAATGTAAATCTCATCTTCATTTATAATTATGAATATGAATATTTATTATTGTCCCAAAAAATGCTCATCCATTCATCTATCTGTCTTGTTTTGTTTGTCTGTTTGTCTGGGGCATATTACTGTCGAGGAGACATATTGTCAATGAACATTGGAATTAATTCGCATAGAAAAAAAATAAATGGGAACAAATTTTAAATATGCTAAATAATGGTATGATTTTAGCTTGGTCATCATGAATGATTATATATCATGTATCAAGTTTTTACACTACACTACAATACACACACACACATAGAATGGGACAAGAATTTTTTACATTTGCTCTATATCAGTCTATCCATGCAAAAAAAAATATCATAATCATAGTAACAGAATTTTCTCTTTCAAAAAAATGGGGAGTGAAAATTTTTTTTAAAAGTCAAAAAAAAAATGATGATGATGATAAACAAATAATTACCGCCGACTACAACCAATTTATATTCGGTCATAATGTACAATGTCGCATTTCACGATTGGCCACAAGAAAAAAAAATAAAAAATTAATGAACAAAAAAGAATCAATCAATATAACAATAATTAAGCAGCTGATTGATTCTGATGATGATGATGATGATGATGAAAAAAAATCATATGATGGAAAACAGAGTCGTGAAAGAGAGAAAAAAAATTGAAGACAATTATTGTCGAAATGGTTGACCGGCAATGATGATAATAATGTTGTTGTTTGGAATATTTTTTTCTCAATCGATCGAAAAAAATTGATAATTTTTTCAAAGGAACTTTTTTTAAAATAATTTCTCCAATAATCGAATAGTTATAAAATCAATCAATATTCATCATCTTGTTTGTTGTTCAATTTGGCGAGTAGATTTATCAAAAAAAAAAAAAAAAAATGAAAATGAAAAGAAATTGTAGGTAACACAACAATTGAACAAAATAAAATAAAAAAAACTCAACACTTGTCTTGTTGTTGTTGTTGTCGTTGAGTATATATGTGTATTGTCGATTTGATTTCTTTCAATTTTTGTTGTTGTTGTTGTTGTTGATGATGTTGTCTCACATTCGACAATATATTTTTTTGTTGTGGATTATTATTGATGATGATGATGATGATGCGCGTGTCTTTTTCATTTCATTCTCTCATCACAGACATAAAACAAAAAACCAGACAAAAAGAAAAAATCTCACAAACCAAAACACAATCAAAACACCACCAAAAAAAAAATTGAATATATATGTGTTGTTTATGATGAAATAATAATAATAATAATTATTGTCTATATTTCATATCATCATCGTTTTTTTTTTTGTTTTTGTTGAAATTTTCATTTTTCTTCTTCTGATTTGATGATGTTCAAAGTTGTTGTTGTTGTCGTTTAGGATCAACAAAAAAAAATGTGTGCGTTTGTTGTTTGTTCGTTAGTTTGTGTGTGTGTGTTTGTGTGGGTGAACAATATTCGAATTTGTATTATATGATGATGAAAAAAAAAATTTAATCGTCATGAAAAAAGGACAGATTTATGATATATGATTATGATGATGATGATTAAAGAGAATAATTATTACATGGATTAAGATTATGGCCAAGAGAAAAAAATACTACACCATCATTACAAATGAAGAATTCAAGAATCTGAATTGACGACGATGGTGATTGTTTGTTTGTTTGTTGATTTGGATTCGAATTCGAATACATTCGAATATGTCACATGGATGTATTGTATGTATGTATTCTATGTTGATATTTAAAACAAAACAAAAAATGAATCATAAAATCAAATGGGACAAATTATGAATGATTGGCAATTATAAAATAAATATATATGATGAATGATGATGGCAACAAAAAATACCGCAAGGCAGGGCACACATTATCATTGCATATATATATACAACAACAACAACAACACATTAACTGGCTGAGAATGTGATTCACAATGATTCAACGAATGAATTAAAATTGTAATTGATGAAATGCACACACCACCAATAATAACAGCATGTGTGTGTGTGTGTGCGCGTAATTGAAATAAAATGTGAAAAAAATTTTTGTTGAATGAATTGATGAAATTCAAATAATTCTAATATCAGATCAATTTTTATTTTGTTGTTGTTTGTTTGTTTGTTTGAAGAATTCACAAATTGTTCACATATACACACATATTGAAAGAAAGTTTTTTTTGTTTTCGATCACACACACACATACACACATCAAAAGATTCAACCGTATGAAATGGGTGAAAATAGAAGAAAAAAAAATTTCCTAGAAACTCTCTCTTACATTGACACTGTGTGTATGTATGTATATGCTGGGTTCTTCGGGTTTTTTTTTCGCTCTTTCTCCTTTTAGCTTCTGCTATCTTTCTCTCTCTCAGTGTGTGTGTGTGTGTTGTGCGTGTTTCTTCAGTGTACTTTTGATGATTATTACACAGACTGGAACTCACACCACACACACACACCTCATACTACGGCAACTTTTTTTCTTTTACTTTTCTTTTGCTTGTAGTTCGTTTATTTTTTTTTCTTCTTCTTCTTTCTCACAAGCTTTTTGTTGTTGTTGTTGTTGTTGTTATACACTTGGGTCTTTTTTTTTTTTGGCTTTATCGTTGTCGTTGTTGTTGTTGTTGTGTCTAGATACATTTTTTGCTTTTTCGATTTCTCCATGGATCCCATAAGAATTATTGCAACATATACATGATGAATAATTTAACATCATGGACCACTACCTTTTTTGAATATAAGGTGTGAGGAGGAAGAGGAGGATGAATGTCGCATTTTTTGATTAACATTGTTAAATACATCTATCCATTTTTTTTTTGTTCAATAGCGCAACAAAATCGGAAAGACTGTATCCGACAATGTATATACAAATGAATGCTACTACCATAATTTTTTTTGTTACAATCTACAGTATGATTCTGATCTTTGTTGATTTCTTTATTTTGGTCTTTTGGGCGGGAAAACCATACGATATATATAATATTTAATTACAGTGAAGATCGACTGTAATTTTAAATCCTTGTCCTTGTATATTGTATTTGTATATGGTCCGCGTGTGAACAAAATCTTTGTTGCTGATGTTGTTGAGACCATGTTGACACCCATGTATATCATCATCATAATACTACATTAATTTGAAAAAATGACTAATCAAAATGTCTTAATCATTGTCGATTTCGACAACAGAATCGGTTAAACATTTCTGCCGGCGAATCATCCACAAATTATGTATTAACCATTAAATCACATCAAGCATGAAATTATCATTGAAATCATTCAGGCGGTTAACGCCGTTTAATATTTTTATCGTCCTATATGATCATCATCAAAATGAATAAATGTGAATGACAATGATCAAACCATAGATTCGATTCTTAGCTAGAGTAGGTCGGGTCGATGCCTTCGTTCGTTGACTTGTTCCAATTTTCTTCAAAAAAAAAAAAAAAAAAATAAATCATATGTCTGACGAACAAAGACAACAAGACAAGCACAGACAACTTTTTTTCATAGTTTTGCAATTTTTTTTTCACTCTCACTTTTTTGTTCGAGAAAAAAAAATCTCATAAATCATTCTGTTAATTAAGTTCTCGTTAATTAGGGTAGTTCTTTCATTTCTCTGGTCCATCTGAGTGAAATCTTGTCGTTTTTGTTTTTCTTCCAATCAAACTATGTAATCAATCATCTGTTAAATGAATAGATCAATCAATCAATCAATCAAAAATCATTTCATAATAAAAGACAATTGTCATATCATATATGGACGGATCCCACTAAATGAATAATAATTTTTTGGCGCTAATTTCAAATAAGCCACTGCCCATTTTTTGCCGCTGCTTTCATATTATACACACACATTGAACGATGGCGGTTATGGCAATAGAGGGGAGTATGACTACAACAAACACACACACACACACACAAACAAATGAGCCATGCAAATACAAACCACAATGATGATATACAAACGAAAAAAAAATTCTTCCCCCTATTTCTACATGTTTCACAACAAAATAAACCAAAATAATGTAAAAATAGGCGAAAGGTAGTGGTAAAAAAGGGGGCAGGCAATTGAAATAAACACTTATCATACACACAGACAGCCTTTGTCTGAGGCCTGTTGTATGTCTGTCCATCCATCTATCTATCTATCCATCCATTTATTCAACCATCCATAATATGGTTTGAATTGTAGCCCATAGTATAGATTATATTATTCTTCTATTATTACCAAAACAAGGAAAAAAAAACCTTAATACTTTGGAGGGTCTAGCTATAAGCTTGCTCACCCTATACTTTTGCCTGAACCTTGTACGTGTGTGTGTGTGTGTGTGTTATATTGTCGTCGTCTTATGTCAATCATGATCATGATGATGATAATGATGATGATGATGATGATGATGATGATGGTGGTGGTGTAAACGAAATGTTGATTGATCAAAATCTTTGAAATTATATTTATATTATATAATTAATTAATTACATTAACTAACGCGTATTGTCTTTCCTCGACAAAAACTGTTGTTTGAAATTGTTTGGTTTCCACAAAATTCACGACAACAACAACAACAACAATGCCTGTGGATAATAATAATTTTAATGAAACAAAAACAAAAATAACCACTGCCAAAATGAATTTTGAAACATTGGCTACAAATGTTATTGAAAAATCTGATCATTCATCATCGACAATTACATTATTGAATAATGGAACGAAAAGAATTGATCAAAATAATGATAATGAAAATTCCATTCCATCAAAAGATTCATCGTCATCATCATCAACAACAATTGTCAATACACAACAACAACAACAACAACAATCATCAATAACTAATGAAGAAATGTTAAATCTTAAAGTAAAAGATTTTAATGATGTCATCACATGTTTTCTTTGTAAAGGCTATCTAATTGATGCTACTACTATAAATGAATGTCTTCATTCGTGTAAGTTTATTCATTTCTCATCAGTTAATCATTTTTTTTTTTGATTGCTAATTGTTTATTTTGATTTTTTTACATTTATTAAAGTTTGTAAAACATGCATATTAAAATATTTTGATGATGATAATAATCCAAAATCACGATCATGTCCAAAGTGTGATACACAAGTCCATAAAACTAAACCAAAATTAAATATTCGTTCCGATCCTACAAGACAGGATATCGTATATAAATTGGTTCCTGGACTTTATAAAAGTAAGAATTTTAAAAAATTGATTCAATTCGTTCGATTGTCATGATTTTTTCGTTTTCGATCCATTTATAATTTATAATTAGGCGAAATGAATCGACGTAAAGAATTTTATCGTCGCCATCCAGATAAAGGTAAATTGTTTGATCAAATTTTTCCATTGCTTCTATTTAAACATTACATTACATTTATTTATACAGCCATTGGTCTTTCGAATGAAGAAAAAGGTGAAATCAATGGTGAAAGATTGATATTATCGAATGATGATCAGATACAGATAACGATTGAATATTTTCCTGAAGTATCGAATCCATTTCCATTGTTACCATTTAATAATGATGAAAATTCCAATATCACTAAACTTACGAATCTTAATCAACGAAGATATTTATTAGTTAAATCAGGAATGCGTGTTTTACATTTGAAAAAATTCATACAATATAAATATGAGCTTGATCCATCGATTCAGGTGGATTTTTTCTTTAAACACGAACGTCTTAAAGATGATTATACAATCATGGATGTTGCCTATATTTATTCATGGAGAAGGGTAAGAGAGAAATGAAATTTGCTTGTGATTTTTCTTATTTTTTTTTTTTTTTTTGGCTATTAACTATCATTCACAGAATATTCCTATACCATTATATTATCTGATATTGGAGCCAAACAAAACACATGATGATTATATTTGGCTAAACAATGAACCTAAAATTACACCATTATCTGTTGGTCGTCAACAATCATTACGACAAACACGTCTTCAAATGCGTAGAATGAGCAATTTACATAATAATTCATTGAATAGAAATCTTCGCCGTATGCGTTCGAATAGTACGAACGATTTACTAGTCTCTTCATCTTTTAATACATCCGATACAAAATCAGTTAATAATGTTCAAGAAAATTGTACAAATTCATCGAACCAAAATAATCGAAGAAATTCAACTTCAAAATTTGCTCCTAAAACAGCATCCACGCCTTTATCAATGAAAAGTACAAATAATTCTGGTTTGAAATCAAATTTAAATGTGCCCATATCATCATCATCATCATCTCCATGTACGACATCATTACCGGTGGTAACATCGGAAAAATCCATCACAGAATCTAATGTTGATAAAAAAGACGATAAAATTGTAGCTAATAAAAGATCATTAGTCGAAAATGGTTCACCAGATATTCAATTAGCATCGAAAAAAATCAAATATGAATTCAATAATATATTAACGGTAAACTCTGTGCCAATAACTGCCACAAAGATCTCAAACCCTCCCATTGTATCCGATTCGGAAATCAAAACGGCAACAACCGAAGAAATTAAAAATGGAGAGATTAAAAAACAACAACAACAACAACAAATCTCAAGTGTTACAATTCCACTTTGTTCAGATTCTCAAAATTCATTCACTTCATCATCGGCGATAACGTTGAAAATTGATGAAAATCATAAATTGAGTCTGTCGAAAGGAAATGATACGACGAAACCAAAACGACATGATTCCATATCATCCACATCATCATCATCATCTTCGTCCAGTTCATCTCGTTCATCATCACCGATGACTTTATTGGACAAAATAATCAAAAAAGTTGAGGAAAGAAACTTACAACAAGTAAGTAATAGTTCTACTTTATCGCCTGTGACAAATCCAGATCCTTCCATCGATGAAAATAATGACAAAATCGAAAAAAATGATGATAATAACAAATCATTGGAAACGGTAATGAAACATCAATCAGAAGAAGCTTTAGATCAATTACCTTCGCTTATACCTGCAAATAGTATCGCTGCAATCGATTTGAAACAAAATCAAAATTCCAATCAAACATCATCCTCGAATGGTGATGGCTTAGTATTTTCAACTTTGATAACTATGAATAGCCAACAAAATTCACCAACAAGTTGTTCATTAAAAATTGATAACATTTTAGAATCTCTTGCTTCGATCGTTGAAACAGATAAAATCGCTGAACATAAAGCTTCATCTTCACCATCCAACAATAACTTACATATAAACGGTATTGAAATGAAAAATGGTGTTTTGGTGGATTCCAAATCGGATACAGTTACGCCAACGACAACAACAACAACAACAACATTCATTGAATGATAAAACAACCAAAGTTCAAATGCTTAGCTCTAATGATAAAATTCCTCTAACGAATCATACAAACACCAGTGATAATAATAATGATAATAAATCATCATCATCATCATCATCGTTAATAACGGATTCAAAACCGACACATTTATCATTGATTAATACAGTATTGAATGGAAACAATAATTGCGATACAGGAAACAATGGTGGTAATAGTAATAGTAGTATGGATGATTTTCAACAATTCCAAAAATTACTTTATGAACAGATTAATAAGGCAACATCGAATACATCAACAACAAAATCAATCGATACTACGACCATTAATAATAACAATAGTAATGGAACAGCAAAAAATCATCATTCATTAGAATCATCATCATCATCATAATAGTTCTTTGTTTGATTATTATCCAAATGTTTGATTTGGTTTTTATATATAAAAAAAAAATTTTCTCACATATGTTTTTGCATCCACCCACCACCATTCATGGTTATGTAATCATCAATTTTTCGATATATTTTTTATTTTATATGAAATTTTTTTTTTTTGTAAATTTTTCCACTGTAAAGATACTATATATTTTTTTTTTTTATATTGTTTTTATCATCAGAATGCATGCACACACCAAGGTGGTTGGTTATATATTTATTTTTTTTTCTCTCTCTCTCTGAAAGAAAACAAACTTCTTCCATGAAACTTTCTTGATATATTTTTTTTTTAAAATTTTTGAATTATTAATATAAAAATTGGAATAAATTGCACTTATATTTTTTTTAAAATTATGACAACTGTTGATCATTATTGAGTATAGTTTTAATAAATTCTACTGCCGAACAGAATTGTGTCCAATAATATGATTGTTCACCGGTCATTTCATTACGATAGAATGTATTTACATATTCAATTGTGGACAATATTGATCTGGCATTCGATTTGATCACCACAAATATTAGTACCGGTAATAGATCATCAGCTGATGGTATACTATTCTGGCTTGTACTCAATAATGTAATAATATGTGAACAACATCGATATATGCATTGGATTTTATCTCTAGGAGTTTTGTATGCTGATAGTAGCAATAATTCAGCTTGTGCTGATGGCCATGGACTAGTTGTAAAATATTTGATAGGAATGTTTAACAATTTAGAATTATGTGATAGATTCGAAGATAATTGTTGTTGGATCTGTTGATGAAGAATTTGATCACGTAATTTATCAATATCGCCATTAGGATAGAAAGCCAACAGATAAATTCGATTCATAAGATGTCGTTCGAGTATTTGTCGTAACAAAATCAGCTGTTCATCGGTGAATAATTGTGTTTGCAATTTGTTAATGGTAGTGTCCAATAATCGTTGTACTAACAATGCTTTTTCATCGGTTAATGTTGATGGATCACGAAATTTTCGTATCAATTCTTGAATATTCGATTCCTGTTTATCCAGAATAAGTTGAACAAGGAATGAAATAATAATAAAATCAGTACACGAATGATCTTTTCGTAATGATTGTCGAACAGAATCAATCTGTTTTAATCTTTGCAATAAATATTGACGAGATTTCAATAGATAAATTATGTAAAAATTTCTAGTTTTCCAATCAATTTCAATCTGTTTGAATATATTGGACAATTCTTCTTGACCCATATCCTGTACTATTCGTATGATGTCCATGATCAATACTGAGGTAGACATTTCATTTGTATCGTTTGATTGTGATAATAAAATCTGTGAAATGAAAAAAAAAAGAAAATTTAAATCATGAAAAAAATAAAGTTTTTTTTTATCGTACCTTTAAAAACATAAGAAAATCATTTTTGTTCACAAGATTTAAAAATCTATAACGACGATAAACATGACAAAAATCGATTAAAGAAATTAATCTATAAATCTTGCTATGAATATCGTTAAGAAAATAATCAATATCAACAATTGAATCGCTATTCATTTGTTCATTTAATACAATCGATTGATCAGTACTGTAACCATGATGATGATCGATTATGTTTTCATGTTCCAAATTTTTGTTGTTGCTGATGCTGTTTGGTTGAATTTCGATATTTGTCAAATATTTTATCAGTCTCTGCTTTTACTATTTCAACAGATGATTGATTAACATTATCATCATCTATGACATGATTAGTTTTGGATAAATCAATTGAAGCTGTTTTCGGTAATTTATTCTCCTTATTCAATGAAATATTTTTCACTTTATCTTTAATGTTTTTAAAACCAGACATAACTTTTTTTCCAACAGGATTACCACTGATGCTGCTGCTGCTGTTGGATTTATTTGAAATTGATTCATTTGATTTACTCATTGATTCGGGTGAATTACGATTTGAATTATTATGATTCATTTCCTCTCGGTTCGTGGCCAAATGTTGATCATCAATATCACCAAGTTGAAGTGTTAATGTTCCCAATGATTGCATATTAATTTCGGCAAATAATTCATCATCATCCATTGATTGGCTAGATAAATCTTCCATTTCATTTATCTGATCATTTCTATCGTTTAAACATAACAATGATGACAAATTATTATTCACTTCATCAATCGACAATATTGAATGCTTGTCATCAATTTGTGTTGAACAATTAATTTCCAAACTAAATAATTCATCAATTTCTTCACGAATTTTATCAACAGTTTCAGTCAAAACAAGTTGTTTATTTTTTATACTTTCAAGAATTTTTCTTCATTTTTCATACCAACAAATTTCGTTGAAAAATCTTGATTAGAAATTTTAAATATTTGTTTTGAATTGAATAAACATTTCAATGTTGGTAAATTATCACCATTATTAGCCAATAAATGTTTGATATTTAAACTGGAAAATTCATTCAAACTATCAATATAATCATCAGATGATTTAGATTTTCTTATATTCAGACGAATACTATTTTCCGATTTAATCGAATGTTTACCACTTTCATATTCAAAATTCAATATTGATTGAGGTAGCTTACGAAAATAAGTGCCCAGTGGTTGATCAGGTTGATCATTTCTTTCTAAAAATAATCCAATATATTCAAGTAAAAATTTCAATTCAATATCTGATATCAGAAAAAATGGTAATTGAATTGATTCGATTGATGATGATCGTGGTATGATCATTGTCGAACTTTTAGCCACAGTAAATATATGTTCCATAATGAATGATAAACAATTTCGATCAAACAATGAACAAACTTGTTGATAAGGTCCAGTAACTCTTTCCCAATTTGATAATGCTAACATTTGTAAAATCTGTGCACATTGCATTAGATTATAATGAGCAATATGATTGATATGTAAATCTGTTATGCCAAAAAGATCAGGATTCTGAATGGCTGGACAGAGTAAAAAGAAGAAAATCATGTCAACAAAAATGGCATTGACTTTTTGATAATCAAATCGTTCGATTAATTTTGCATACATTCGAACCATTAGCCATATGAGTGATTGTGGAAAAGCATAAACATTATCTTTCAATGAACGTATAAAATTATTGACAAAATATTTCATCTTTTGTATGGTTCGTTTTTTATAACGATTCAATTTTTCTTCATATTCCGGTGTATTTTCGTGGCCAAAATGTTTTTGTCGTTCTTCTTGACAGAATCGCATTACAGCACGATTTGAATCGATATCCAAAAAAAGACTATCTTCCGATAGTACCAACATGATTGGTTTGGTCAATGCAAGCCTATAGAATGTTTTCAATTCAGATTGTTCATCACAAAAATGACGATAAACAATACCGAATGAAGAATTTTTACTATGTAAATGACGACGAAGATCATCATAGAAATTTATATAGATTTCAATCAATTCTTCCATCATATCGATTAATGAAATTTTATCCTGTTCCAAGAAACAATGATTGTATACAGTTGAAATGATTATCTTACATAAAAGATCCAAAAAATTTGTACATTCTTTTTCTGCATAGAACAATAGATACGAAATTGATTTAGGATTATCACGTAAATGTTGTAATAATTGACTTAATAACGATTCATTGGATCCGAATTTTTTATGACCAATTATAAAATCAGCCTGTTGAATTTTATTCGATTCATTTATCAAATTTATTGGATCATTGCTTAACTGATGATGACTTTCATGAAGTTTATCACAAATGTATCGTTGATTTTTAATAATCCATACTGATTTAATCATGGAATCAATTTCATCGTTTACCTGAAAACAAAACAAGAGAAAAAAAAATTCATTAACCATTCATTCATTCATTCATTGGAAATTTGATTCGAAACACAGAGATACATACATCAACATTTAGCTTATGAATGTTTTGACGTTCATCTTGAATATAAACATGTTGATGTCGAACTTTTTCAATGATATTCACTAGATCCATGATGATAATTATATTATAAAAACATTAAAATCAATATAATCAATAACACTTTTGTAGTTGTTGTTGTAACAATATAGGATTGAACAGTGCAAAGATAAAATCAATATAATTCTGAATAAAAACAAGGAAAACAAAAATTGACGACGTATCTAACTGTCATTTATGCCACTTTTTTTTCTCTTTTTATTTCAAACAAACAAAAAAACGCCGAGAAAAAAAAAAAAAAAAAAAACTTTTGACAAGAGCTAAACCAATACAAAAAAAAAATTTCTACGATACAATCGATATTTCGGTAAAACGATTGTATTGTTTTTTAATTTTAAAATTCACGCGCTTGAGCTCAATGTATAAAATGAACAGAATAATCATCAACAGGCGTCAAGGTTTTATTTTTTTTTTGAAGAAAAAAAAATAATTTTATTTACAAAATTCATAATTGTGTGAAAAAAAACATTTTTTTTTTTTTTGGTTCTTTCTGAAATAAATACACAAAAAATTCATCGATGAAATGACATGATAAGAAAATATTTACAAATTGAATGTAAAAATGAAAAAGAGTATATAAAAAATGAACACGATGGATTTTTTGTTTTTTGGGAAAAAAAATTTTTCAATAATTACTATCATCCAATTTGGCTCGAAATGATGTCTGTTTTTTAAGCGTTGCAACACGTGTCAATGTTGATGGTATATTATAATGATTATTATGATGATTATTATTACTATTTAATGGTGTTGTAATACGATATTTTTCCGGTTCTTCATAGGTATTTGGTTCACTTGATATTGTATGATTCATCATTAGATCAGGTTTATTATGTTTTTGATTATTATAGAAACAATAAATCAATATGATGGCTGTTAAACCTGAACTTAATATTATGGCCAACATGATGGCAATGATTAATAATGTCCAATTCATTCTATAATCATTTTCAATACGTCTTTGAGTGATTACACCATTTGAATGACAAAATTTTATTTCTTTATAATGTCCATCACATGATGATCGATCTGGTAGCTGACAAACACGTTCTCTAATCTGTATATCATTATGACAAATGGACCATTCACTCCAATCTGACCATATTGATTCATCATCACAGCTACATTCTTTACTGTATGAAACATAAAAAAACAAAAACAAAAAAACATTAGATAAAAGATAATTCATTGATCAAATGTTCAAATTATACTTACATTAAAAAATCTTTTCCTTTAAAATTATATGTATGTCCACCACAATTGTCACAATATTTCAATGAAACAACACGTTGTTCATTTTTAGGTAGAATATTATTTTTATGCATCACAATTTCATTTCTTTGTTCCACTATTTCATTTGTATTGAGATCACTAATAAACCAATCGGTCCATTCAATATGTTTTTTACATTCACATTTCATTGTTTCAATATATGGTCCTTGACAAAAACCATTATCAACAGCATTACCATTGAAATCTAAACATTGTCTTGTACGTTTACTAGTACTAATGATATTACAATCGGATGAACAATTTGTCCATTCACTCCATGATGTCCATGTACAATATGGTAAATTATCACATTGACGTTCCTATATTTATAAAAACCAATCGAGAAAAAAAAGAAAACAAAATTCAGCAATGTTTGAATAATAATAATTGGCGCCTATTTTAACTATTCTGACATTAAAAATCAAAAATTGAATTGCTAATCAGAAAAGAATTTTTTTTACTTTCAAAAAATGAAAATCTACTACTGAAAGAAAAAATAGAATAAATGTGCCAGAAAAATAGCCACTAATAATATTACCTCTCGATCATTTCCAGAACAATATTTTCCATTATTCGATGGAATCGGATTGTTACAATTACGTGTACGATATTGTATGCCTCGTCCACATGAAGGCATACATGATGACCAAGATGTCCATTCTGACCAGCCACCATTACGTGTACAATTTGAAACTTGATATTCGTATCCATCATAACAATGTTGATCGCCCAGATTATTGGCCATCATACATGGCCTCTTACGGCATTTACAAGTTTCATCCGTATTTGTTGTTGATCGGCTTAAGCCATTATCAGCTTCATTACATGTAAACCATTTACTCCAACGAGGTAAACATGTAGGCTGATCGGATTGTATCCAATTTTCATCTCGTAAATTATTGCCTGGAGGTCTCATACATTTCATTTTAATTTCATGCCAACCACAATATGGATCACCACTTTGTATACATTCATCTTTATTATGATAATTATGACATTGATGTACGGAAGAACGAATAAATTCTTTTTCCGTTCCAAAATATAATGATTCTGTATCTTTCCAGAATTGCATGGATAAAAATTGATTTTCATTCGAATCAATTAATTGTATTTCATCAATCAAACATGATTCAGTCATATCAGGCCATTTAACGTATTTCAATAATTTTCCATCAATCGTTGCAACAAACATTACTTCAACTGTACTGAAATATTTTGTTTTGATCAAATCAACAGCAATAAATTTAAAATGTTCATTTTTAGCAAAAATAAATGGACGTCCATCAATAGGCTGAACGGCATCATCCATTTGTTGATATTTGGAATTCAAACGTAATGTTGAATAGCTTTTCGATTGATTAGTAGTATTGGTCACTTGACATTCAAATACATCATGATTGTCATCTCTTCGTTCCCATAAATGTGATGATGATGGCTGATATTTAAATGGACCTCGAAATGCTTCCAAAACGGAATCCATTGTAAATGCACAGACGGCTGAACCATGTATCGAGTTCCTAATTTGAAACGAAAAAAAAAAAATTTTTGTTTTTGATTAATTATCTTGTCTATGAGTTTATGGTGGGCAGAAAAATGCTACAGATGTAGGAGTAGGAGAAGGATATGATAAAAAAAAAGTTCAAACATTGAAAACACACTTACTGTGGTGTGTTGAAAATAGCATATAACGTAGGTGTGCCACCATAATTAATCAAATCAACTGATTGTATCTCATCAAAATAGAATGGAAATGAGCCAGGTAATGAACAATTTATACGTGCTTTTAAGAATGAAGTCCAACTTTCACGCCATCCAGGATCATCTTTACAAACACGACCAATTCGTGAATAGACACGTTTACCAACATTTAAATATTCTACAGCCGTTTCACGGAAAAGAAAATAAACATGTTGATTGAATTCAAAACTGAATACAAAATTTGCATCGGCACTAATCCAATTAGAATCATGTTGTACGCTTCGTACAATACGTCTATCAAGATATGTAGCTAATGGTGATTTTGGTGGAACAATTTCTTTCTGTTTGAATATCGATGAATCAATACCACGAAGATCCAATGGTCCACCATAGAAAAATTCACCAGTAGTAGTCAACAATGATGTTGTATTCCAATATGGACCATATGAATTGATTGAAATACTTTTGCTGACCATTTCGAATGAATCGGTTAATCGTCTTATTTCACATTCCGGTGAATAAGCATTTGTACCACATACAAGAATCTGTTTATCTTTATAATTCATTGTCGGTATTTCCAATAATGTTGTTATAAAATTATGGCATTCTTCTGGTTTCATTCCTTTCATATGACATTTACTTTTCTTTTCGGTCGTAGGTGGAATATAATAATCACGTTTATTGGTGGTGGTAAAATCTTTTAGATTTAAAACCAGAATATGATCTCTGTAAAGAAAAAAAAAATTTAAATCAATCAACAGTGGAAAAAAACGAATATGGCGGTGTTTGCGTGTGTGTGTGTGTGTCATTTCACCAACATGCAAATATATAAATTTTTTGAATTGCAATTGAATGCCTGATATAATCTCTGATGATGGTGATATCTCGTCCATTGCCCCCCAATTTGGTTTCCGTTTTTTTTTATCTTTGCCAAACGAAAATTTAAATATTCATAAAAAACGTGAGGGAGGCAAATTTTTGAAACCAAATGTCTCTCTCTATCATTCACTGAATGATTATAAATGGTGATATAAACGAAGAAAAATTTGGTTCAATTTTCAATTAGATTTTTTTTTTTCTATTCACGAAATGAAAAAAAAACGCGCCCAAATTTGTTCACTATGAATGAATGAATAAGTGTTTTGGTTATCTCTCTCGTTAACATATATCTTCTATATTCAAACATTTACGAATGATCCATAAAAGGTAAAACAAAAAAATTTGAAAATTCTCCATCATCGTGTCTTTTTTTTCTAGCTGTTGGATATATTTTGTCACTTTTTTTTACAAAACGCACTACTTACTTACTACCAACTATATTTGACAGTTAATTGAACACACACACACACACACAAAATCATACAATCATCATCATCATCATCATAATAATGATCATCGATAAAAATGTAATGAGAAGAAGCAAGAAACAGAAATGATGATGATCATCATCATCATGCAATATTAAAAAGAAATTCGAAAGACAAAAAAAAATGTGATTGTGAGTGAAAGCAGAAGAAAAAAAAATTTAGTTCACGAAAAAGTGAATTGATAAAAATTGTATCATATTTATTGTGAATATGGTGAATATATCCGATATAATGATGATGATGATCAGATTCAGATTGAGAGATTGAGGCTTGAGGCAATGACACAACAACGACAACGATGGTGGTGGTGTTTACATCGAATTCGAATCGATTTTTTTTATAAAACAAAAAAAAACGGTATATACAACAGTAGCGAATGAAATTCGATTTGATAATAACAACAAAACGCCTTAAAAAAATCAAAATTAATTTGATCATCATCTGAAATGAAACAAAAATGCAACAACATTTGTGTGTGTGTCGAATAAATTTTCTTCTATTTCTACACATCTACTATTTCAACAACAACAACAACAGCAACAAGTTGCCTAAAACGATCATCATTATTTTTCTTGTTGTTGTTCAATGTTCAATCACTAATTGGACAATAATTTATTTGTTAATTATAATGAAATGGATATCAAATCAGATCAACAACAACAACAACAACGACGACGACGACGACGAAAGAAAACAAAAATTTCTCATTGAAACAACATTTGATTTTTATATATGATGATGATGATTAGGTGAAACCCAAAAAATTTTTTAGATAAATCTAATGTACACACACACACAGACATGGAAAGTAGAAAAAAAAAAAAGCCACATTCAGAAGATGTGTAGAAAAAAGAAAAAATTAGATCAGAACTTGTTTTGAATCAAAAAAAAAATCACACACAAAAAAATGGATTTGATTCATTCATTTTTCAACCATCAAGAGTTTTTTTTTCTTTGATCAAATGGTTGTTGTTGTTGTTTTTGTTGAATTTGGTTATTTTGTTTCGAATAGCAACAACAACAACAACAACCAAAAAAAAAAGAAAAAGAAGTGGAACAATATAATATCCACCTACACTCGACCTGGCTGATTTGTTGTTGTTGTTGTTGTTGTTGATGATGTTCATAATATAGGGAAAAATGAAAATGAAAATGGACAAAAAGATCCATTTTTAATCGAGGTATTTTTTTACCAACCTGTTGATTCAAACATTGTTTTATTCTCTCAATGACCATTTTTTTTTAATACTTTTGTGATTGTATTTGGTTAACTTGATGATGATGATGATGATGATGAACTTTTGTTTTTTATTGTTGTTGTTGTCTTGATTTGATTTAATTGTTATTAAATTGTAATTGTATAATTGTATGCAAGGCCATTTTATTGTGTTAATAAAATAGAGAGAGAGAGAGAGAGAGATTCAGCCAGATTTTGGTCAAAAAGAAACTAGATTACCTATTAATAATGATGATGATAATAAAGTCCAGACAAATTTTTTTTTTTTGTTTTGTTTTTTTTTGCTCCACCAAATGATCATTCAATGGATTTAATTATTCACCATCAATCGGTGATGATGATGATGATGATGATGATGATGATCAATGTTCGAATCAACAGGTAACCGTTTTTTTTTCCAAAAGTGTGTGTGTGTGTGTGTGAGTGTAAATGAATATATATTGAAATTGAAAAATTAATCAAATCAGACTAATTAATTATGCAAACTTGAGGAGTGTGTGAGAGGGAGAGACTTTTTTTCGCCCAAAAAAATCAAAACCAAAAAAAGCTAAAATTCATTTTGTCATCACAAGTTTTTTTTTTAGGTCATCACTTCTCGTTTTTTGTTTCTTTCTATAGCATCGATAATCATCATCATCATCATCATCATTACCGATGATGGTCTTCGTCGTCATCGTAGTTGATGATGATGATGATGATCTTTATCGATTAAATGAATGTACATTACACACACACATAAAAATATGTTTATTAAATATATATAAAAAAATACAACCAAAATGATAAACTACCAAATGATATTGATATCTATAGATATATCTAGTCTAATGAAGATTTATCGAGAGTTTTTTTCTTTATTTTTGCTTACAAAATATCCTGAAATATAATAAGAAACACACACACACACACACACACACACCTTCAACAACCAACAAACTGGCTACAGAATAACATAATGATTTTTTTTCGTCACATTTTTGTTCGAGGGTTTATCGAATGACAGTTTAGGTTCAGATTTGATCATCACATGGTATTCATCAATGGCAAAATGAAAAAAAATATGGTTGACATGTGTTCAGTGTGTGTGTGTGTGTACATTCGGCACATGTTTTTTTTTCATATATATGTTTTTGGTTTCGGTTATATTTATATGAACCAAATATCTAGTCCAGATGTGAAAATAAAAATTGTCGTCATTATATATCGAATTAATATTTTCAAAACATAGAAAAAAAAAAATCGAAACACGCACATTTGGTCATATGGAGATTTGTTTTTTTTTTTTTGTCGAAAATCAATCGCATGTGTGTGTGTGTATTTCATATAGTCATCTCATTCAGGCTAAATCGCTTCTACTTGTGCAAAAAAAAAAAAAAAATCTCGAATCTAAAGCCAGTGAAAAAATGGGGGAAAAAAACATATTTTTCTGGACAAATTTTAGAATGCAAAATAAAAAAAAAGAAAAAGAACAAACGAATGAAAAAGCCAACATATAACAATATAACATCTGTAAAATGTGTCCATTATGACAATGATGATGATGATGATGATGAATGTTATATAATAACAACAACAATAATAACCAGAGAGAGAGAGAGAGAGATTACCATCATTTAGGTGGTACCAGAAAAAAAATGAACACACGATTACATATAAACGATTATCATCATCATCATAATCATTAATGCTGCTGCTGTCAATGGCATATAATCATCTTTGGTTTTTGTTGTTTTTTTTTTTTTGGAAATCACTCACACACACATGCACACACAAATGAACATGCACAATACACACACACACACACACAAATGGCACATCTTTTGAAATAAATTCATCAAAATAAAAAAAAAAACATTTTCATTTGGTCATATAATCTTTAAATCAAATCTAATGGATTGTTGTTTGTGTGTTCTACATTTGTATTCTCAACCCGAAAATAATATTTGCATCATGATGATGATGATGATGATGATGATATCAAGATGAAGATAACGCCATTTTTTTCTGGTTTCTATTTTTTGTTTTTTGTTTATGGTTATGATGATGATGATGATGATGAAAAAACCATGTATGAAAACCATTTTTCCATGTTCTATATATACACAGTATGGAAATGGATGGTGAAAGTGGATAATGATTTTTTTTTTTTTTTTTTGGTTTTGTACCACACCAATTGATGGTTTCCACCTATGGTTTTCATTGAATAATAATGATGATGATGATGATAATACAGTAGCATTTTATTTTGGAACAAAACAAACACAATGATTTTTCTGTTCCAAAAAAAAAAACATCCCACCTACACCATTCTGGCCAACTGTTTTCTATTAAATTGAAACTAATTTTTTCTATATATTTGCCCTATCTATTACAGGTATTTAGTAGACAACAATTAATAATTGAAAATTGTAATTGGAACACTTACTGTGTGTGTATGTTCCAAAGAAAATTAAAAAAAAAGTAGAAAAAAAAGTTATATAAATCAACCACACACTGAAACCAACAGCAACAGTTTGAGAGATATAAAGATTTTTATTTTTTTTTTCTACGTTCGTCATTGTCATTCAACTGGCCATTATTCTTTTTCTTCTTCTCAATTCATTCATCCATCCATTCACATTGAAAATCTAATAAATTTTCTTTGAAAAAAAAAGATGAAAAGAAAATTCAGAGCAGCAGCAGCAGCAGCAGTGTATGTCTGATTCAGCCATGATAATGATGATGATGATGATGATGATATATTACGTTTGAATTGAAATAAGAAGAGAGAAACAGATAGACAGACAGAACAAGGACAACAGAAGCAATGATCGAATCCAACAAAATGATCAATTGAAATTTGTTATTGGACAGTGGGGAAAAATCAAAAAAAAAAAGAAAAAAAAACTGGACCCGATTTTCTAGTCCTGGACAATTTTTTCTTGTCTTTCTGTCTGTCTGTAGAATTAAAACTGACCAAGATATAAGACAGCACCAGCAACAACAGTAACAATAACTGTGTGTTTGTATGAGAAAAAAAACGAAACGATCGATTTTTTTTCTTTCTTTTGGTTAATTTCATTTCAAGCTCATTTATTCGAATGGTGGTGGTGGTGGCTGGTGTACCTCAATTATCATCATCATCATCATCATGATGATCGTGTGCACGAAAAAAAAAAAAAAAAAATCACACAATGTACAATTGATGGCCAACGGTCAATATCAAATTATTTGTGTGTGTGTGTGTAGGGTTACCCTGTCGAGAGAAAAAAAAACGTGCATTGTGTGTTTTATGTATTTTTTTTTTTGTTTAATTCAAATTTTGTTTTGTTTCTTTTTTTCTTCTTCTTGGAGAAAAAAAAACGTTTAAAAAAAATCTGGGATCAGGGAGAAGGAGAAACAAAAAATTTGTTAACGACGACCATCGATGGACAACAGCAACAACAATCAAACGAAAGTCCAAACTAAACGACCTTGAAGAGAGTGAGTGTTTTGAAACCCGTAACAACAAACATAAAAATGGTCAAAGATCAACAGGTTTTTTATATCATGAACAAAACATAGATACTGCTGCTAGTAAAAAAAAAACCCATTTGGCAATCCTTTTTTTTACAACACCAACCATACCCTTTTTTCAAATAATAATAATAAAAAAAAAAATTCGGACCGAAGAAGAATAAGAAAATCTAAGCCAATGTGTGTGTGTGTGTGTAATATAAGCCATATTTTTTTTATTGAAATAAAGAAAAATCAAATCAAATCGAATCCTATTGATAAAATTGAAAATCAATCTTGATCAACAACAGCAAGAAACAACAACAACAAAAAAAACAACATATACAACCTGTTGATCAAAAAAAAAATGGAGCGAATCTAATGTCCAATGTAAAGGTGTGTGTGTGTGTGTGTTATTTTGTCCATTGTGTCGCCATAGACACACACACACACTTTTCGTCGTAGATATCTCTCTCTCTCTCACTTTGGTCATGGTTTATAGCCATTATTATCAATCACTAAACAATCATCACATAACATACACAAACGTGTAAAAAACAAACTAAAACGGGGAAAAAAAATTAATAAAATTTCATCTCTATCATTGAATTTTAGGTCTAGTCACTTGTTCTGTCTCTTTATGGATAGAGAGAGAGAGAGAGAGAGAGAGACAATATTTTATCAATATCGCGTAATGATAATCATCATCAACAGAAAAGACTGGACAGTTTTTTTGTTGTGCATAAATGTTTGAATTGGCCACACACACACACACACAACATAACAGTACAAAGCGCGAAAAAAAAAATCATAGAAACAAAAAAAAATCAAACAATTGGTGTGTGTGTGTGTGTACAAAATCAATTTGAAACTTTGGCCCATTTGATGATGATGATGATGATTTAGCTACTATTAAATATAATTCGTAAAACGAAAGAAAAGTAAAAAAATCCAATCACACCACAAGGAATATTAACAACAAAAAAAAAATGAAGAAAATGGACCATTGTAAATATGAAAATAGATAGATTGATAGATAGATAGATGGATGGATGGATGGATGGATAGAAAATAAATAAATAAATCCAATAGACGAACATGAATGTCATGAATATATTATCAAGTCAAGGACAATTATCATGGACATGTGTGTGTGTGTGTGTGCATGGTACACACACATACACACGATGACCGCAACATTCAAATAAAAAAACAAACAAGCAAGCCAGTATAAGATAATATGGACAAACATAGACTATGAACTGGACAAGAGATAAATAAAAGTTCAAAATTGGAAAAAATCTTTACAGCATACACACACACACACACATTACTTTGAAGATCATCAAGAAGAAAAAAAAACCTGACGACAAACATGTTTTTTTTTTTTTTTTTTTTTTGTTTTGTTGAAAGATTCACCACCAGAAAAAAAAGACAGAACAGGCAATGAAAAAAAAAATCAAATATCGAATTGGAATAGAAAACCAGAAAATGGTTATATCATCATCATCACCATCAAGTAAGTGAAGATGGAAAAATGATGATGATGATGATGATAATATCATCGAACAGTATCAATCAATATATAAATATGTCTCTCTACCTGTTTGTTTGGTCAGTGGATTTTGTCTGTGTGTGTGTGTGATTGCCCTTATTGAATGAATGATAAATGATGATGATGACCGGATGATGGTGATGATGATGATGATAACCGGTCACTTGTTTTTACCACCATCATTTCATTTCAAGGTGATATTTGGTCAAGAGATTTTTTCATCATCATCATCATCATTCTATTTATATGAATAAACTACACACACACACATATTACACAAGTTTATTTCTGGGTCGTCGTCTTCGTCTTCTTCGGTGCTCGTGTTATAAATTATTGCAAAATTATTTACCCGACACAAACGGATAAAATTTTATGCAAATAGAAAAAAAAATTTGAAATAAACAAAAATCCATCCATCCATCCTCATATTCCATATTCAATGATCATGATCCGATAGTATTCATTTTTTTTTACATGGATAAATTGGAAAAAAAGGTCAAACTTTCAATTTGTTGTCGCGCTATGTACAAATCATCATTACACACAGGCACAGACGCAGACACACAAACTATAGGTGCCCATCATATAACGATGAATAACAGTTTTTTTTTTTTTTTCATAATTAATAATTAACATTAACATTTTGTGTATATTCATTTTCATTCATCATCATTATCAATGGAATCAATTACACACATATCATCATCATCATCATCATCATCATCATCATCATCATCATCATCATTATTTCGACAAAAAAAATGTGATTGAAACAGCAGAAGCAACAACGAAATAATAATAATAATAAAAAGAATTAAAATCAAATTTGAAACACGCACACACACACACACACATGCAGACAAATTAATATAAACAAATTGATGATGAATAAAATGATAACAAGTATAAAATGATGATGATGATGATGATGATCGTTTCATATTCATTTTGGAACAACAACAACAACAACAACAACAACAAATTACAGACATTTCTGTTGTTGTTGTTGTTGTTGTTGTTGTTGATAGTCAAGTCATGTATCCATCATCATTCATTCATTTCATTTATAATTAACAAAATTTTACTAGATTATGAAATTTTGCTGTTTTCTTTCTCTCTGTTATTCACATTGTAGTTGTTGTGATGAATACAATATGTGCATACACAGACATGTTTTGTTATTGAACAATAATTCATGATAATAAAGTGATAATGAAGAATAACACACAAAACATACCTTGCACCAACAAAAAGTTTTAATCGATTTGCATCAAAAAACATTGGTTTATAATGCTGTATTTCCGGATGTGAATATCGTTCAATATCGGCATCTATATATATATATTGTGATAACAAAAAAAATTTTCAGATTAGAAATATTTTAAAAACAAAGATTTTTACATGATAAAAATATATATAAACAAGATATCCAATATATTTCATCATTCATAAAGTACATATATATATCATACATATAATCAGATATCATTCTCTCATTCCTTGAATTAATATGAAAAAAAAAGATTCAAATCAAACAAGAACATTTCTTTATTTTGCATTTCATACGAATGAAAAATGGCGCCATTCTAATTTCCATATCTTCACACTCAATACACAAACACAGAGAGAGAGAGAGAAAAAAAAATTGTTCCGAATAACCGTAATCATCATGTGAACAAGATTATTGATAACACAATGAGAGAGAGAGAGAGAGATGGAGATGGAAATAAATTATCACATCTTTGTTTGTTGTTGTTGTTGTTGTTGTTGTTGTTGTTGTTGTTGTTGTATATGTGTAAATGATTATTGATTGAAGAATATGATAATTTAAAGAGGCTCGAACAACAACAACAACAACAACAACAATTTTGTATTTTCCCAAAAAAAAAAAAAACAACATCCAAACATTTATCAATAACACTGAGAAAAAGAAAGAAATCAAAAAATCAATGTTGGTGGTGGCTGTATAATAATTTGGTTTTATTATTGAATAAAAATTGGATCATCATTGAAAATATTATTTTTGACGCTTGACCAATATACGAAGACGAAGTTTTTATTTGAATCAATTCAAACAAAATACGGGTCGTTCATATATATGTCAAAAGATTTTATTTCTTCTTCTTCTTCCAAATACTTAACCACAATAATAAGATTCACTAATACACAACAACAACAACAACAACAACAATTGTGTTATAGCTTGCTTGCTGCACCCAGCTAGCTATTTTTTTTTCAAAGCAAAGCAACAACAACAACAACAACAATAAAAAATCCATTCAAAACGATGACCCTTGAATGAAAAACAAAACCAAAAACCAGAAAAAAAATTATTGGACAACCAGGACCCGATAATCAATCAATCAATCAATCAATCAATATTATGAATGGGATATATTTTTATCGAGAATGAATGAAAAAAAAAAATTTTATTTTTACTTTTTTTTCGCATAACTTTTGATCGAGATTTTTTTTTTTTTTTGCTTTTCACAATTGAAATTCAATTTCAAAAGCAAAGCAGAAAAAAGAAAAGAAAATCCGTCTGTAATTCTTTCATTGATGATTAACGGGTCATACAATTGCAACAACACAGAAGAAGAAGAAGAAGAAGGACAATCTCTGACAAGTGTGGAAATGAAATAAGAATTTGTTAGAGTAGAATTTTGTGTTCCATTGCCAAAATAAATGTGTATGTGTGTTTGTGAGAGAGAAAGAGTCATTATTTTGAAACTTTTCAAAGAAACTAAATGATTGATCCAAATCACATTGATTGAGCCAAGTATAGTTTGATTCATTTTCTCGGTCACATGTATCTGCTGTGTTGAATCAATCTCTATCTCTCTCTTTCTCTCTTTATCCAGCTCTTTTTTTCAAAGTTTTTATTATCGCGCCAGGAAAGGATTTTTTTTCGATTGAACAAGTTATTGGATCGTATGGATGCCAATTTTCATTTTGTTTTTTGTATTTCAGTTGAAAGTTTCGTTTGAAAATTGTCTTGTTTTTTTTCCGTAGAAAAACGCTATTGACACACGTAGACACACGCAGACACAGATATCAATGGATAATGATTGATAATTTTTTTTTTGTTTTGTTTCTTTGCAAATGTGTCAGATTGATAAATAAGAAAAAAAAAAAGTAAAATCAAAATTTTCAAAAACGAATTGAAAATTCAAGTTCATTTCATCATATCATTGATATATAACACGAACACGGTGGTGTTTAAAGAGTAAAACGGGAACATTATGTTTTCATTTTTGTTTTGTTTGTTGCCGATTATGTAATCAAGCTGTTTTTTTTAACACTGTGCCACAGAAAAAAAAGGTGTTTGAATGCAAAATTTGAATGAATAAAATGGATTTTGTCTCTTTTTCTCTGGATATTCACACAAATCGATCATTAAATCAATTGATGATCGATTTTTGTACCAAAAAAAAATCCAGATAAATCATCAGATTTTTATATATAAATAGAAAGCATCATCACCATCAGCGGATTGATGATGAAAAATTGATTGAATCATTAAATCAAAATGGATTTTGCCTCTGCAAAATGAACAGAAAAAAATGGTTTTTATCAATTTTGAATGGATTATTATGGATTAAGTAGCCAAATGGAAAAGATGAAAAAATTCGATAAATATAAACGGATGCATTTTGTCCAGAAATAAATAAATATAGCCTGAAACATATGTCGTGTGTGTGTGTGTGTGTGTTTGTGCGTGTATTTAAATTTACATCCGGAGTTCATTAGTAGTAGAGTTAGTTACCACACCACCACTGATAATAAAAGTGTAGTGAAAAACCTAAACAATTACCGCCATACAAAAAGATATTACGTGAAATCAAAGAAAAATAAAAACCATCGGATTGTATGTGTGTGAATCGATTGAAAAGTCAGGTAGTAAATGAAAAATCAGGAAATAGATTTGTGTGATTTGAATTTCAACAACAACAACAACAACAACAACAAAAACTATGACGACGACAACGACTATCTAATCAATATTACCCGACGTTTATCGTCATTTAAACCTTTTTCTTTTTTTCATCATCATCATCATCATCATCATCGGTAAATATTTCATCAAAAAATGATCGGGGGTGTTACATACACACACACACACAATCGAGAATTATGATTTCCACACACACACACAGAAAAAAAAACAGCCCAAAACATCCGATTTACAAGAAAAAAAAATTGTTATCATTCAAACAAACAAACAAACAAACATAATCACTGGTTGCTAACCAAAATGAATTTTGTTTTGTTTGTCGAATGCAAAATTGCAAAATGTCCTCATTATGTTATGGTTATGATGATGATGATTATATCATCATCATCATCATCGATTTTCAAATATTAGATCGGAAATGAAATGAAATACAAGACAATACAATACAATCAAATATTCACGGGTAAAGTGAGAAATGAAATGAAATGAAAAAATAAACTATAACAACAACACAATCATCATCATCATCATCATCATCAACATAAACACATAAATTGTTATGATTATTATCATTGGATTGGATTGGATTAGTTGGATTCAAAGAACCAATATAACAACAATAAATATTTGGTACATGTACAATGAAAAAAAATGTTATTCAAATTATGTAATCATCATGTCCATTTGTGTGTGTGTGTGTGTGTGTTTATTCATTGGAAGCCATCAACACATATACACACACACACACTAAATACTTTGAACTGAATACATCATTGCATATATATGCATAATAATGTATATATTGAGGAAATGGAAATGTTCAAAAAAAATATTGACGCCGATGATGATGATGATGATGGAAAAGTTTTTCCATTATATAGCCACAATACATATATATATATCGGGCAGTTGAATTTCCGATGGAAAAAAAATGAAATTTTTTTGTTTCGAAAAACAAAACAAAACAAAAATGAAAACAAAAGTTTAGTTTCGGAAGCATATATATATTTTTTTTTGTCAGTCATCAATTTTGTTTTGTTTTTGTTTTGTTTTGTTTTGACAATCATCAAATGGACTAATCATCATCATCATCATCATCATTTGTTATTTCAATTTTCATCATTTATATTTGTATGTAATCATTATTAGTGTGTTGAGAATTGTTTAATTTTTGAAAAATTTTTAACTGATAATTTTCAAGATTTTTTTTTTCTACAAACTAGAGTTTCTCTTGGGTTGTTGAAAAAAAAGACATTGTTATCCTGTGGAAAAAGAAAACACACACACACACATGATCACCGATAATGAAAACAACAACAACAACAATGATGATGATGATGATAATAACATGGCAGCAGACCTTATCCAATTTTCAATTGAGGATGGATGTGTATAATATCAAGTTGAAAATGTTTTTTTCTATCTCTCTCTCTCTCTCTCTCTCTCTCTTGGCACATTATGGTTTGGTCTGTGTGTGTGTGTGTGTGTTTGTTTATGTAAACATTTCATTTTCATTTATTTTTCATGTATGTTTTTGTCTGTCATCAACAGAAAAAAAAAAAAATTTGGTATGATTGACTGACACAATCCTATCAACCAACAACCAACAATAACCAACAACAACGACATGGGCCATAAACCATTGTACCGATAAATTTACAGCAACAACAACAACAACAAAAAAACCATTTTATTTGTTTGGCAGGTCGCTTGCAAGCGGCCATCTTCAAAAAAAAACAAAAATCACAATTGATGTTGAATGTGATTATATGTGATAACCAAAAAAAACAACAACAACAGACCGACAGGTAACAACCTGTTTTTTTCATATATATTATTGGTCGAAACGAGAAAAAACGTAAACAAACAAAACAAAATGAAATGAAATAAATCAAATGAAACGAAACAGAAGAAAAAAAAATCAAACACTATTTACCTATTTGAGATTCGATTGAACGGAAGACGAAACAAAGAAAAAAAAATCGATGGCAATGATGAATGTAACCACCATATAACCACCACCACCACCACCAACGCCGGTCAATTAGTGTAAATATCGATGAAAATAAACAAAACAAAAAAAAGAACAACTCTGTGAAACAATAAAGATAATAAGGGCGCGTACCTGAGAATCAACATTATTATTATCATCATCATCATCATCCGGCAGGAATATTTTGGAACTTCCCACACACACACACACACACAAAAGTCATTGCCATTCATTGAGTACAAACCAAGCAATATCGTGATTTACTGGCTACTGGATTGATTATTATCAAAACAAACAAACAAACAAACAAAAATTCATTCGACAATTGTCTGCGTGTGTGTGTGTGTGTGTAATCGATTTATTGATCAACCAATATATATATT